GCAGGATTTGGATGTGCAGCACCTTTCCGAATGGCATGTACTTTCCACCAAAATCACTTCTTCGTCTTTACGGCGAAGAAGGAAGTGCATTTATTGACTCCATCATTTCCGGAGCTGAATTTATGGGATCGTAAAATTTGTCACAGGTGGATCTTAAAGCTATTTCGGATCTTTCTCTCTGATTCAAGACAGCAAGCAGGCAGTCTTCCAAGGACCAACAGGCCACTAAATACTACTCCTTTAAGCCAAACTTTACCCTCAAGTTCAGAGGCAGACAAATAAATATATGAAAATTCAAGATGTCATCGTACTAGGAGTTTGGTTAAAACTGAGAAAGTCTAAAAATTGTATTTCTCTCTAATGACGCAATTGTCACGGAAAGCTCTGCAGTCAAAACAGGTACACATATTTACTCATGCAGCTCACTAATGCTTAGATGATTTAAAGAAGACATTTTTATCTCGGAAAGCGAGGATAGTGTAACAGTCATCAGCACAATTTATTACGAAAGAAGGCAGAGTGTTCCTCTGCACAATGGAAAACTTAACTCCTTAATCCATGCAATCACTCACTACATGTATTAAAATGTATAAGAACAGGTGGTGGCTGGGTAGATGGGTGGGTTGTTGGAGATGGGAAAATAACTCTAATAATAATATTCCATTTAAATGGCAGCAATTTACCACTGCGAAGGAAAGCTTTACTCCTGCACTCGAATGGCTTAATGGAACGTAACAACAGTTAACGATGTGACACTATGATAAATGTAAAGATTCATTTTAAGTCAAATAAAAAGCAATAAAATTAAACAGGGGCCACTCCCGTTGTACACTTTCTTCTTAGCGAAAGTGGAGGAACGTGGATAGCAGCTCCACGACCTGTAATATAATGTCCCACTCATTTTGAATTCCGGAGAGATGGAGCACATTAGGTTGGTTGGCTGGCTTGCTGTGACATGAAAGAGATTTCAGGAGGAGACCGTGGTAGGTTCCGTGGGTCCGTCGGTCGGTGGGTCGGTGGAGGAGGAAGAAGAAGGGACACATTGAAGAATGGTGTCTGTGAGGCTTCCGAGGGTTGAGAGAGATTTGAGAGGAATCAAGGAAGAAAGGAATAATAATGCATGTCTGCATGTAAAATATACGTGCAGAGGACGTCGTGTGATATATATATTCCATTCCACCATCGCTGCGATCTCACCATTCAATGTCATCTATGCGCCCGTGTGTACAAAACAAACTGTCACGAAGGAGATACAAACAACGGACGTCCCATTGTCATGCAGCTAATGAATTGTCTCAGAGGGACTCTACGTGTGTTTCGTCCATCCATGGGCTGGATAGGACGAGCAATAGTTTAAAATTGAGGGTGACATCCTCCTCCGTCTCGCAAGGCACTGATTTCCATTACCCACCATGCACTTAAGCAGATACAACTTTTCCTGGATTCCAGCTCCTTGTAATGTGTTACAATAAGCATGTTGTCACAAGTGTCACACATTATTAGGAACTATGCTTTGCCGTGGGGTGCCTGACACAAAATGTATTTACGAAATGTACGAGTGTCGAAATGACTTAGGCGGAGGACGAAGAATAAAGATTCCCAAAATAAGTAAGTCGCAAAAACCCATTACGTATTATTTTATAAGCATCACAGAGGAATATGAGAACAGGATTTCGTGGAGTGAAAGTTGGAGATGTGAATGCCATCTTTTACCCGGAAAAGTGGGGGTTGTGTAGGAGAAAGTATGCATCTAACGATTTGTGGGTACGTATGAAAAACTTTAGGAAAGGCAATCGGTCAACAAAGTCTCAAATGGTGCCACCATCTTTATTGGAAGATAAGCATTTTCTTCTTGAAGTAGTGTTCTCACGACGCGATAGGTGACGGCACCCTCGTCGGCACCACTTTTATGCCAACTTTTGTATTTTATTTCTGTCTCATCATTATGCCTGTTTCAATAAATGTCTCAAATTTCCTACTTCAAGTTAAGATTCAATATTTCCCTAATCAATTATATTTTAATAATTATATATCTTAGATTATTTAATTGGACACATTCACCCGTTTTTACATACGAAACTGAAAGTTGTAGTGCGTTCGAGATCAGGGAGTCTCATGATGTAAATGGACAAAAACGAGACGAAAATCTTTTGTTGTTTCTCTCCCTCGCTTTAACCTTGGGATATTGGTTGGATAGTTTTAATGGGGCCGACTTGATCAACGATGTAGCCCACCAAACTGGTTAATAAAGGACTTATTGAACAAAATAAATCCAGTTTGAAGCAAATATGTTTGATTTCGAGATGCGAGTAGATATTAACACGGGGTGCTTAATGTTTAGATGATTAATATTTACGTTTATAAATACTATCAAAAATGAGGACTGAATGCAATACATGAAATAAAGGTTCGTCAACCGATTTTCTTAAGAAAGTACGGATGGACTACCGCGTATGCCCTTATATTATGGGAACCTAAAGGAACCGAGTATTTAGAGGGGATAAATTTGGACGAACTTGGTTTTATCATACCATGTCTATTTGGTTTAGAAAGAATTCAGGTCAATTTTAACGTTCAGAGTAATTTACAAGAAGGGAAGCTGAGTTGAGTTGTGCTGTGGTGGTGTAGGTGAAGAAATGAACTGACCCCACCCTCTTACTGATGATCATCGCATGTGGTGTAATGATGCCACTTTTTAACAAAAGTTGAGATGTGGGTTCTTATCTGTGGTAGTCTTGTGGTGAAGTCGTATTGAAGTATTTTTATGGTTGCATTGCGCATTGCCTGAAAATCCTTTGTTAGTCTCAACTTATTTGTTCTATCCATTCGTAAGAAGCTGAACGTTAGAGATTGATTCACCGGTGTTGTTATGCCATTTTCATTTTCTTTAGATATATGTAGCTGCTGCCCATGGGTTTCAGTGTGGTATTTATCTATTTAGATGATGAACTTATCGATATCACAAAAAGCGACAAAATGAATTAAAAAGTAAAAAATCCAACGTTGCCCCAAAATGTTTCGAATGCGATTGCCAAATTGTCCCTTTTTTCAGCCTCCTTTCTTTGTCAGAATACATGTGATATATGATAATGCACAACGTCTCACTCGAACAAGCAACGGCATTTCTACTAAATTAGAATTCCTTTAAGCATAAAAATGCCACGTATTTTAACTTTGGTAATAATGACTAATGGAGTTGGACCGACGTCTGTGAGACTGCGAAAACTGAAAAAACCTTGCAATTGATTGACAGCGAGAATAATCCGAATTTCAGGCCGACTTGTATGTGCTCCGCTAATTATACGACAGCATGTAGGATCCGAATACCTTCCTCCTCTTCATCCAAGCTGATAAGATTAGATGGTGGGGCTACTCCAAAGGATGGGTTCAGTCACATTGGAATAATTAACTCGACGACTCTCCTCCGTGGGCCCAAGCAGCATCACTTATCATTATCTGCAGAATTATTTCACCGAACGATGTGTGGAGTTTGTTTGTCTTCCCAGGCTGAGTTTTAAGAATAGAAATTGAAATGACACTTTGCCGTGGAAAAATGTCTGAGTCTTGGCAAGGTGGAGGCGGCGAGGGAGAATAATGAGACGTACAGAGAGAGAGATGATGCAGGCAGAAGACTGTGAGACTGACTCCACGCCACCACCTCCTCTTTGCCAAATGCTTCAAATTTCGTTTCCTGATCTCCTCACACACAATCCAAGTGTAAAAGTTCCCGTGTGGTTTTGGTTTTGGTTCGGCTTTGGTTGGTTAGTTATGAGCTGGTTGGTTTTACTGCTGAGTGATTCTTTTCCTGCAGTACTTCGTATGTGTGTAATACCCTCTCGCCAAATGAGCATGTGAAGCTTCATGACTTTGCGTGGGAGCAGATTCTCATCAAAGAATGTTACGTTTGCGACTTTTTGTTATTTTCTCAAACAACCTCGGCGTTGGGCGAAGGTGGCCAAAAATGGTTGGGTCCCATAAAAATATTAGTCGATTGTCTCTCACAGATTGAGATGAGATTTCGGTGTATTTATAAAGTACAGGTCCCTGCTCAGTGTTCACTCAAAAAAAACCCACAATGTGAAAAATATCCTTTGTCCGGGCATCCATCTACACACATTTTTGCCCAGTCTCGAGTGAAATTGCGTCGTCGTTTTTGTACATGTGGATACATAATTTGCTGCACAATAATCCACCAGCGTGGAAATGGCATGGAAAGGTCATAGGAAAGGAGAGGTGAAGTTATTTGACAGTAACGTATGTATTTGGTGTTGAACCATGGAGGCATGAGTTTGCACAAGACTAACACACACAAGACATTTGAAAGCTTTGTGTTCACATCATCTGAGAATCTCAAATCCATTTTGTTGGACTTGTTGATTCTACATAAAACTGTGAAACACTTTGTGTTTACTACTTTAATTAATTTCTTTACTTTGTCGGGTCTGGTGCTGACGCTCACGCTGACACCTCCTTTGTAAAATGGCAATGTTCAAACAACTAACGGTCGCTTGTACACTGTTCCCATTTTTTCAAGATCAAAATCACTCTATAGCTCGTACTGTGTATCACTGTTGCCAGACCCATGTGCAAAAAAATCAAGCAGCAACAACGATGATGTGCCGATGATATGCTCGAACAGAAGTGGATGAGAATAGCAGCAATCACAAAAATTTTATGTAGCTAAAATCCCGTGGGAATGCGTGTGGGTGGATTTAAAGGATGCTTTGGTTGGAGCACAATATTAAAACTCGAAAGGATTTTGTTCTCTTGCCAGAACTGATTTCATTTTCTTCCACAATGTCAGTCAGAGTTAATTGTTCTTGAGGAATTGTTTGGCGACCATAATACTTTAGACTTTGTTATTGACGAGATGAAAACCACACGTCTCGTGTACTTGTCTGGATTTCTGGCAATTTATTAACCATAAGACCTCATGCCACCAGACAATGCAGACGAGATACATAGAATACACATGTACATATGTACGGATCGTAATTTTGTAGGAAAAGTACTGAAAATGAATCCGACTTTATTTTGTCCAGTTTCTCACCAAATTGAAAACATTACCGTATTTTATCTCTATGTATAGATCGACACATTTCAAGAAACGAATGAGGAAGCGACATTGTGCAATGACTTCAAACAAAAGATTGGACGGTGTGGGAATTTTCATGATTTCTTGTTCATCTCGCTTTGAATGGAAGGGAGAAGGGGTAGAAATGCGTAGGGTGGTGGTGGTGGTGGCAAATCTGGACAAAACAAGACTTTAGAAAGGGAAAGTTGTGCTGAGCTGATGCGTAATTAAGGAGGTGCTTTATCACCAGTGGCTGCATTGTCAGTCTTCGCATACCGTCACATGCTCAAACTTACCTGGGAGTGATGTGAAGGAATCGGGTGGGATGCGGGTAGGGAGGGAGGCAGGTAGACGGGTCTGAGAGTCGTGGGACAGTTTGCTCAAAAGGAGATGCGAAAGTGCGGGTCGTTCCCACGAAAGTCACTGAAACGGTGGGCATTGTTCACACTCTCCCCTCGTCACATCTTCTTCATTGATGCTTACCAGGGATTGAAGGGGCACAATCTCTGCCCAAGATGTTTTCCCACGTCGACAAGGCCTGATTCCCCTACACTTACTTTGGGTGGTTTGCTCCAAAACTGCTTAAACCTGTTGATCCTCCCGACCGAGGGAGGGTCCTATTTTTTATTGTACGCCTAAGCCACCCTCCATTTCGGCGGGGTATAAGACACCCCCTTTTTGCTCATCCATATGCACCTACTACCCAAGTAGGAAAAAGGACTTCAGGTCAATATGCGGAGGGAATTGTAGGAATGCGGGTGATCTTATGGTTGTATGTGGGATAATTTTGTCAGAGCGTCAGTCTTCAGATTGGATTCATCCAAAGCAACACGCTTCTTCTCAAGGTTTGAAATCTTCGGATTTGTGTTTCGAGTGAAACTATCTCGTACTTTCTTGCTCAAATAAGTAATTGGTTAAATAGTTGGAACAATCGCCTTACCCGCAGGCCATATAAGATCTCATACACTTGAGAGCCTGTCGGACCGTCGGACATTTTGTGGAGTGTCAGGTTGAAGAAATAAAGAAAAGTGGATGAATACCTGCTCACCTTCCAAGGTGGTGGTGGGTGAGTGATAAGTAAAGCAACAAACTCCTACTACGAAATGTGTAATAGGAAAATAAGTAGTATTTAGTAAGTAGGAATTATTAAGGGGCTCCTTGTCTCAACCAAAGTAACTAAATATCTCCACCACACTTACTTAACTTTTACCAGAGAGCTCGTTACACACGAAAAGCATGGTTGTAAGAGAGTTAGATCATTGAATGTGTTACTGTTTCGTGTGGACATAAATACGTGGTTCCTTGTAACAAGTTGAGGTTTTTATATATACCACGGCCCATCAGATTCTCAGATCAGTTGGCAAGTTAAAGAGTGAGGGTGGCAAAAAGCACACATTCCACTTCTCTCTCCAATCTCCTCTTCATCAACTCTTCTCTTCGGCATCCCATTATCATCAAGACATCCGACTGTTTAACAACCGAACCAAGCAAGATACCTTGTTCCCCATCGTACACTTGTTTACTGCAGTCTCTCTCCCAGTGAAGAGTTTTTGGAACCCGGACTCCTCCAAAGAAACTCTACAAGTGACTCAACGACGACGACGACGACTACGTAAAAATTCTCTTGTTCAGCATCACTTAATCTGATCAGACCAGACATTTGCATGTTGTGTTGTTGTGAGGTGATTTAAATTCTGGGAGATCTGCCCGTGTCAACCAAACTGTCGCCTAGGATTTGGCTGAAACTGCTCTTATTTGCAAACAATTACATACTCTTGTGTGATCAGTAGAGAGAGAGAGAGAAGAGCTGAGAATATTAAGAGGCTGCTGCTGCTCAAACTGTCTTGACGGCAGTGTAAGGTTTTTGGTGTTGACTGAGACAAGTATTGTATTTCTTCTTGTGCTTGGTGGTAGTGCGTCGTTGGAAGGGATTTGATACTCCTCGCACTTACCTAATTCTTCTCCCATCACGTCATAAACATCGGAGGAGGAGGAGGACGCGTCCAACGAGAGGATTGAAAGTGATCGTTGTTACCGCACATTGGCCTGATTTCCATTTTGTGTGTATCGAACACGGATTAAAGTTACTGGACCCGGTTAAACTTTACTGCGTTTGCTTTTCTTGGTCGACAAGGAGTGTGTAATTGAGAACATTATACATGTGAGTGCTGCATGTTGTTAGTGAAAATCAGTTGCGAAGGCTGAACAGATACTTAAAAATCGCCTCAAGTGTTTGATTATTCGTCTTGTATGAAATATCAAGTTACTCTCTGCATACATTTGATGGGAAGTACTTGACGAAACTTTTCGTGCTTTGTGGACTTGAAGAACTTGATAATTTGCTACTGATCACGTTTCGTTATATTTCCTATCCTTAAAATGACGCTGATAAGAGGTAAGCTCCACTGACATTTTTGCTACCACTTGTGCACGTTTCGATTCTGACCAACTTGCAAAAATATGTAAATTATTTGTGATTAACAATTTTAGCTAACGGCGTTGTTAGATGTACATGATTTGGAAATATAAATATGACAAGAATAACCTGCCTTGGCCATCATGAATAGGCGCCTAATGAGATAATAATCTGCGTGGATATCCCGTAGATCGATCACACTCATTAAATAATGTCTTATCGGCGGGCGCCTAGGTGGGTGGACGAAGCACTCCATCTGAATTTATGTATACTCTGGTCTATTACGAGTCTGAAGATTATTCAATCGTAAAATGTGGGAGGATTTTTGTATAATTGTCATTTACATTATTCGTAAAATGCATGAAAATTCCTGAACTCTCCGTAATCGTTATTGCATGAAACGTAGTTTGCAAAGCGAGAGCAAAGAAGAGGGTGTAAGACAAATGCTCCACTTTGAGCAAGCATATTAGAATCTAGTGCAATATACAAGTTCTCAATTTGCATGCATGCGTATTATACATGTGAGATGTGTGCATTCATGTAAAAGATGGATGGATGATGGGAAACGAAAGCAAAGCAATCAATGTGAGCACATATCACACTTATTTATTTATCGTCATATGATGCATGATCTGATAGCAGATCGCAAGAAAATCATAATAATCGCTTCTCTGTCGATAGCACTGGCAAATACGAAACCAGCCCCGTCTACTACGCCAAACTATGTACCACCACTTGTTCATAAATGCTTGCCACTTATTACTCTACCTGTTGGATTGGAATCTGGTCGCTCATCTCTTGTATTCAGTATCCCGAGCAAAGTACGTATAAGATCTGGCTTGTGGAATTCAAGGGGTTTGTTTCTCTTCTTGTTTTTCCGATGATGAGGACGAGTGGAGGTATTTGAGCAAGGACGAAGATGTGACCTTAAGGTGAGCCAGCCGTGGGCCGTTGCAATTAACCCACCCACTATATTGTGGCTAGCCACCACCCGCACCTCGCCTTGCCCCTGGCATTCCAGTATAATAATCTACAACCACCTCGCTCTACACCAACCTGTTTGACCAATGTTTCTCATCTCTCTCTCTCGAGAAGAAGAATAAGAAGACGACGAAGAAGATATCTCCTCCTCATCTCGTGTGGTGTTGCGTTGCTTACCTGTTATTCGGCGGTCGGCATTTATCTCTCTCTGATTGCTCTTCTTTTACTTTGGTCCACGATCGAGTGAGTGAGTGGTTGAGCCCAACTTACTTTTCTTGTTTTTATTCTAGTTGGTTGACCACTTTTCTTCTCCTTCTCCTCCTTCTTGGTCTCTGGCATTCAATCGCATCATTAACACAAGGATGTTCAATTTCCAATCCCAGCGGAATTCGAACTAGAATTGAAGACAACTCTGCACAATAACATACATGCTCCACCACCATCAACTATTAAACCTCTTGGTGTAGTTTAGGTTCACAACAACAACTACGACCTCCACCTACCTCCGTCGTGTAGGCAATTTCATAGTTCATGTGTGTTCATCCTACTTCATTATTTATCTGCATCCTTCACAGTTAATTCTCATCTCTCTCACAAACTCGCTCTCGGAAGAATCCTTTTCTTAATCCCCCAACAACTCATACGTACGTTAATATATAACAAATCTGGGTTTCCTACCTACCTTCTTCACGATGGAATGCAGCAAATTCTCCTGTTTGTACACTTTGGAGAAAAAGTTCTGGGAAATGGGGTACTTGATAGCACACACCACACCGTTTAAAATATGTACAATCTGAGCTCAAATCTCTGCTTGAAGATTCCTTCCAGGCAGGAGCAGTAGTAGTGGATCTAATAATAATGAGACTTGCATGTAGTCGCAGGCAGCTATCTGTAGAAAATAAGTACGTACTACTGCTCACTCTTCTTTTTTTATTATTATTATTTATAATGTAACAACAACTCTAAGGTTTAACTCCATTTATAGCTCATATATTATGCGGGAGGCGAGGGTGTTCGTTCACTCATACGAATACGTAGTCAACGTCTTCAGACAACGTGAAGGAACGGCTTCATAACAAGGCATCCATTATACGGTGGTCATTCCATCAAACATCAAAGCATTACAATAGAAATCGCTCCAAGCTCCCAAAAAACTTTTTTTTCAACTGAGATGGCATTCCAAAGTATAAGCCTTGACGTGCATGTATGTTCATACGTATGTAAAGGAGAGGAGACCACACTATTCTTCTATAATTGGAGATTCGTAGGAGGCTACAACTACTTATTACCTGCACCTTCTTTATCTTTCTAGTCTCATCTTTTCTTTCTCTCGCTCACACACACATGCTGCACACACTGAAACGAGACAGTGCCTAAAATAGAAATTCCATGTATTATTAATGAATTGCAACTAGATAAGTTGCTTGGTGCAATGCGTATACTCAACTCTGAGACTTATTAAGCAGGCAATAATGGCATATACTTTACGTACGTATGCTCGTCATCTTGGGGTTGACTGACTATTCGACATCATCTCATCGTTCTCTCTGCACCCAATATATAAAGCCGCACGAGTTCTCTTCCTTGCGTACGTCGCACATCGCCTGAGTGAGTGAGTGTGTGTAAGTTGGAAAAAAGAGATGGAAGGGAGAGACAAATCTGAAGGAATTGCATTATTGTGTGGACACCATAAGACTTTGGCCCCTGTCGATAGTGCGAAGGAACTCTTGAATGCAAATTGTGTTGCAAATTTGAATTGATTGATAGGCCCGTAGACAAGCGAACGTATGAAAGATTTGATTAGCAATATTGGATGTACGTGTGCACTTATGTATGCCTACACATAAGCTGGGAGTGAGCTGGGATTTCTGAGAATTCAAACTCAACCATCCTCCAAGATACTCCCAATGATAGGAGCACTATGGAAATTGATCTTCCATACGACTATTTGGTTACAGGTGAAATCAGACGTCACACCACGCACCACTCTCCATCCATCCTAATGGAGCTACATAAGTAAACAAATAATGTCGAGGAGTGTACCGATCCAAAAGGTCAAAGCACAAATTCGACATCTTCAGATTTGTTTCATGACGTATCATTTTTCCCATCTCACAAAAAGCTGTTGAGTTGAAGTCTGGCTCGTAGGAATAAAGAGCAAAAAAAAAGAAATGATGATTGAAGGCTAGGATGGACATTATATTACATACATATTACGTAATAATGTCCTTATTAAGTAATTCAAATTTTTTGCCACATCTGTTTCAAAAGAGTCCACAAGAATCTTGAATGTCAGAATAATTACATACGTAATCCATATCAATATGTATACCCACATTTCCACTCTTTCATCTAGGATGTGTTTAAGTAAGTAGCAAAAATCTCGGCCAGTAATTCAAAGTGTTTGTTCTTTGCATAAAGTAAAAAATTTGTCGTGAAAAGACGCGAGTAAATTGGGACGGATTGTCCCGAGAAGGGCCGATGGAGACTGATTGTAGGAGAGTTGGTTACATGGCGTGGCGGAGAGTTGAGACTTTTTCATGATACTCCTGCTGGAACTGGATACTCTGCATGGCGTTGCTCTCTTTTCTTTCATCTCCTTCTGCTTCACCAACATATTGGCAAATAACCTACAAGTTTCATCCATGCATTCCTATGCGACGACGACGACTGGAGAGGAAAGCTCAGCTAAAGCTCCTCAGTCGGATACGCGAGAAGCCAGCATAGCATATCGCTACTCCTACTGGGCCATTTCTTTTGCGTTGTTTCGCTCGCATGGCACACACTGCATTTGCCTTTTCCATGAACGTATGTCTGGCAGAGTTGGGGATAGCGTGGCTACTCGCAGAAAAGAAGAGACGAGCGAATTCTGCGAGAGAAAGTAATTCCTGAACTGCTGCTTCTTTCTCGTGCTGCATGGCTCATGCAAAAGTGGCCTGGCTGGCTGGGCGAGGAGCAATTTGTGTGGAGAAAGCATGTCACAAGAAGTACGAGGACTGGAGAAGTAAGACTGCTCTTGCTTGCACTTTAGTCGAACCTGAACTTGGGAGAGCGAAGCATCGCCCAGTACCTGCACTCGAGAGTCGAGACCAATGTGACTGACACTGCGGCTAGTCCGTAAGTTGCTTCACACGTCGTCTCCCTCACCTTTTCTCTTACTACCAACCACACTTAATTTCCATTTCACGGGCTGGCCCTCCAATACTTTCCCTCTTTCTGCAGACGCAGCACAGTACAACAAATAGTCCATGTACAAACAGAGATTGAGATACGTTTACCACAAATATTGTATAGTATGACTTCGAGTCATCCCACATAAAAGTACGTACATACTTTCACTCATCTCTGCAAATTACCAGTGATTTTACGATTCGAACTCCTTTTGACGAGGATGTTGCTATTTTCGCTCAAGTCATCCGAGCGCACCATGTCGAGTCAACAATGGTTCAGGTACGCATACAAAATCCATTCGTGTTTACAAAATTCTAAGCATGTTAGGACATTGAACTTTATTTAATGAACACATATGAAAATGGTGTGGCAGGTTGTTGTGTATTATTTAGTTTGGCCATGCATTCATTCATTCATTCATTTTTGTTTGGTTTCCTCCTGACTCCAAATTTAATTTGATAATGAAACTGGCGAATTGCCATGGCTATTTACTCCAGTGACCTGGATATCGTATGGCTTGCCAATCCATCGCACACAAAACTTTGAGCACATAATAAAACTCAGTCACTGGGTATTAAACCTGCACCAATAACAACAATCGTATCATATTTTCAGCCGTCATATTTTATCTTGTTGTGGAAGTAGCCAATTTCACAATCTTGACTCCCCCGACTGCTCGTTCACGTGTCCCCGTTCCCGTGTTGTCGTAGTCGGGACGACCGGAGTAATAAAAATGTTACTACGAATAGTAATTTACACAATAGAAAGCAATTTCCTGTTACGTTATTGCATCCTTCTTGTTTGGGATTGTATTGTGGAGGCTTGTTTTCATGGAAGAAGAATCTCGCTATTTTAGTCAGATTTGTAAATGTTTTAACTCAAATGTTGTTAATGTCTTCTTGATCGATTTCTCCGTCCTACTAAATATTCTTCAAATTTTTAACTCATCATTTTTACTAATTGGAGAAAGTTTTAAATGGAAAGTTACATGAAACTCAAATTGACTGTGGGTAGTGTGGGGGCAGAGTTGACACACTTAGTATTACGACAAGATGCATGTTTATATAACATGTTAATGTTAATTCTGAGTTTTAATTGGTTGTCAAAATATTCATTCCGTTCCATTAACTCTTGCTCATTTAGAAATTCTGTCGTATTCCATATATTTTATTTTTACTCTGCGCAATGCATAGGGCACACACGTAAGGAAAGCATATGCCAGGCTGGAAGAGTGGCATTGATTTCCATGCACGAGTTTGGCTCGAATACCACAACAGGATGAAGAACTGTTTGTGTTTCTAAAGCCAAAAAATGGAAAACAATCATAATTCAGCAAGTGCACGAGAGCGGGGATGGCATTGGTGGAGGGACGGGGCGACGTTGTTGTGTTATATAAAGTGCGGCGTGGGTGGAGCAGGCAGCGTGTGGCGTTCGGAGGGAATATGTGGTGGTGGTCTGCACAATGTTCTCTCCTAATCTGCCCCGTGTTTACCTTTTCCCGTGAAAATGACGCACACGAGCCCGGCTTTTGCGACGATGACCCATGAGAAAGTCTTGTATGTACTTTAACATAATGCCTCTCTTTCCCCACTTCACTCCGCCACTCGAGGCCTGCTTCTTCTTGATATGCTGGCACAGTACACATCGATTGCTCGTAAAAAGCCCGGGTTTGACGTCAGAGAGAGAAGAGAGAGACTGGTTAGGACCAGGATTCGGGGAAGCCTCCACCATTACTTATCTCCCACTACTACATGCATACGGACGTACGTACGCCACACAGCCAGGTCGGTGGAGACTCGAAAACCTTCTCCGCCGTCAGACGCTTTTGGGAAGCTTTCTTCGTCCTTCACGTCGGACGGACATGCTTTATTGTCTCGACGGAGGAAATGCTTTTCAACCAGATCATCAGTAATTACAAAACCATACAACTTTCTCTGAATCATATCTTTCACATCCCATGTCACTTTCTATACAATTTCCTAAAAGTCCCAGTAATATGTCGCGCTGAAAGGTTATGCATGTACATGCAATGCTTTGGCTTAGTAATCTCCTTTCCAGGAACTCACATTCAACATTCGACGGGATTCGTTTTTTTCATCAGTGCTTTCAGTTTTTCTTTGAACTTGTACATTACGATAGTCGGCTTTTTGCAATTCAAGATTTTTGCAAAGAAAATGGCGAAAAGTAAGTAGGTGTATCTTATAAGATGAAAAAGTAATTAGATTGGTATGTAATATGGTGGTGATGAAATTGATTAAACCACCACATTCGTCAACACTTGATTAAGATAAGTATGGTGAATTCCATACCATCAAGTCGTATTCATGACGGGATGAATTGGCTCATTATGTACATAGCTCTGGTCTCTTCGCAATGTATCATTTATTCATAGTGTGTCCAATATTTCGCTGTGAAGTTTCGGGCAATGTTTTGAAAGTCTCAACTTTCTGTCGCTCTTGGTAATTAGTCCTACGTGTGGAAGTGGGAGTACTACTCCTCAATAATCAATGGCAGTATCCGTGTGTAATTTGTTCCGTCCTTTTGTCGCCGAGTGCAAGGTTGACGTCGTGTGTAAGCCAGTGTCGTATCCTACGTGCTTAGTACTCAAGGTTATGTCAAGAAACTTATGATCACGGTGACACGGACGATATGTACTTGTGGCTCTCTTCAATCTCGGAAAGGTCGCTTGCACAACATGCAGAGAGAGAGAGAAATGGAAAAAAATGAGAGAAGGTGAACTTGAGGTAAAATATTTCCCACAGGGTTTACAAGAGGCTTAAATAAGCGGTCAGAATTATTAGTTTTATAACGAAAATCTCTTTGTTTACAAAGCCCTCATGAGCAAGATCTCCACTTTGTTTCAACTCACTGACGACAATTTTCACCTTGGAGAAGGGCAATGAAATTAATGCGTTGCCATTACTTGTCATGGGTTCAGCAGCTTGGTACACATTATAAAAATGTTCCCTAGGTTGACGAGATAATGCGATTTTATGAGTCCAGTAATAACCGTGCCTAAGGTGTTATTGGGTCTTAGGAGAAAATACGTTTTTAAAAATGCGGAATTTTGGTAAAAGGTTGTTGACAAAACGAAAGCAAATTCCCGTCATCTTGATGCTCTTGAAAAAAATTGAATTATGTGTTGATTTCCATTTAGCGAGTTTACAAAAGGTCAACTGCTCATTAATCAAGTTAGTCCATTTCTAAATTAACGTGAAATGCCTAACCAAATTTCAAATTGCTGGAGATTATGTAAAAATGCCAGAGCATAAACACTGTGCATTTTATGAAACTGTAATAACGCTCGTCATCGGGGATGACACACATGGTGAAAGCACTTAAATTCTCAACCCGTGTGTTTGTGTGTGGAATATCAGGTACACATCACGGGACGTGTGGAATTCGTCCGACTACTTGGTTCACACGTAGAAAGTAATGGGCCAACATGCAGGCAGGAGGACCCCGTTACATATAATGTCGGGTATCGATCTCGGAATGTTGGTAACTTTTCTGCAAGCAAGGGCGAGAATTTCAAGGCTAGGCTCTGACCTCCTCCTCTCTCCCACCTCCTCAATATCGATCTCCCAGCCTGGGCTGAGTTCCTCGAACTTATGTATAAGGCACATTCCCTTTACCTTATCACTGCCATCCTCCTTCTCCGTCTCGGCGCCTTTTCTGCCTGCTTAGCCGCCCAAGCTCGAATAACTTAATACCTTCTGTCTGTCATACCTTTCCATGATTTCACCTCAAATCAAAGTACTTATCACTGGGGAAAGCGTCTTAGTGCGTATTAAAGTTCCGTACATGTCAAAGCTCATTCTTAATTGGCTGGCAAATTGGCAAACAGGTTGCTTCGTTAAAAGTCGAAGTTGAGATCAAATTAAGAAAATGAGACGGGCCTAATTTTTCTGGTGACATCATCCTTTTCTGGTGCGAAGGATATGAGGGTTATACACCGGAAAGGGAAAACTTTCTTCTGCAGGATGGGATTAAAATGAGCCAGGAGGAGATGCTGTAAGATACAACGCTATGACAACGATTTACGTCAAAGGTACACACACATACGTATTTATATGCAGCCCAGAGAGAGATAGTTGTCATAGGGTTATAAGGTTTGTTGGGAAAGAAGAGCAGGGTCGGTTGGTGTGGGTTTGGTGTTGGTGGAGTGGAGACTCGCCTGCTTTCCCACGTTTCCACTTGTTCATATTTGTGCACCCAGCGAAAAGAGAAAGTTACACTGAAAGGAATGTGGCAAATGTCCCTTTGGCAATGAACATGAATTTTCGCTGTGGAACTTTTGCAGATCTTTTCATTTGCGTCGGGGCTGAAATTTGCTGCTTCCAGGTAACCCGATGGGGTTTCAAATATATTCCATTCCGTAGATTATCAAGACAAATGTGATGAAAGACTTTGAGAGGAAGTTTGATTTTGCTTTGGTTGCTGTCTGGCTGCTCTTTGTGCGCTTCAATAAATTACTCTTCAGTCGGTTTTGTTATGTACATAGTTTAGCTATCTTCTTCGTCGCTACGATACACTGATCACCCGAGCACAACTTGTATCGGGAATCCATCTTTTTGATATCATTTGAGTCGAAAAAACTTGGTTTTATTTATCATGAAAGTGTTGGTAATTGGACGTAGCATACTAATGGAATGTTTTTCTCCAGGATAGATCAAAGTTCATAGCAATTCTCCACCTTGTTAACTTGGATTTTCATATTTAATAACGATAAATTTTCCTTGATGTTGGCTACCTACATACGTATACACTCACAACTGTTTTATAGATTTTTGCAATAAATACAATCTTCCGGTGTGCATTGAACAAGATGAGTAAAAGGTCAAATAATATACTTAAATGTCAAAACTTGATGTGCAAACATTGCTTGACATTCAAAAACTCTGATCATGACATTTTTCGGCACACTTATTTTGTCCCACCACTTGAAGTGCGCACATCGTACGTACGTACAAACACCTACGCACATAATCATAATTACTAATCCTTCTTGGTTATGAAAAGTAAACAGAATCAGGGATGACGGGATTTGGGGTATTCCGACCAAGTTTTACTTTGTTTTACCTAAAGTTCAATAAAGTAAATCAAGCGAAACAATTTTTAGACACTTATTTAGTCGGGATTTATTCAGTTCTCTGAGCAGTCAATTCAAGTTGTATATTTTGTGCTGATTTTGTTTATGAGCTAAACATCATGCTTCAAAGTACATCAATAAAATTCTTGGTTAATATTCTTACTAAAACCCGGGTTTTCAGCCGTGTGTCCGCCACAGTATATTAAGCATAGAATTGCACGAGACCTTAATTTTACTCGATTCTAATTTGTTTTTATATTTACGTATGGATTTATCTCATGTGTTACAGATATGCAAATGTTACCGCATGGTAACATCGTGCTGTTTTCCTGTTCAACGTTCATCTTAACGAAGACAGTAAAACACTTATTGGATGTGATATGGACCTCGGGGAGGAGGATGCTGAATTAATCCACTCCAAATTCCGGAAAGCCCAGCGTAAGGTTGTCAGCCGGCTCACAACCGATAACCAATGCGTTCCTACCGTTGGTGGTGACCAACAACAACAGCAACGACAGCATTCTCCAACGTACGCACATCCTCATCATCACCCCACAACCCTCACTAGAGGCTTGTCATTTGAGGAACACATGCATGTGGAGTCCGTCTTGGCCAAAGCATCACCTGGTTTTGCTTCTACGCCTAACAGACTTGACACCGGAGTCATCAGGATTTCAGCGCTACCAAAATCGCCCATTTTTGGGACCAATATTTCTTTCAGTGGAGCAACAACGTCCCAACCTCATACTCCAACGCTGCATGGGTCACTTGTAAGTTCATCTGGTGGACGACCAACACATCCTCACATGACAAGTGGAGGAACCTCGGCGTCCTCATCGTCATCCTCATTCCCATGCGAGGTGTTTCGCTTTGATAGCACAGATCGTGAGCGGTACTTATGTAGCGCAATTTCCGAGGAGGAAGAAGTCTTCAGTCCTGGTCCTTCCCCGTCATCCTTGTCATCCTACGATTCTCCTCAGGTTGTTCTCGACTCTCCTCGTATCACGATTAGTCCGTTGAGAATCCAAGACTCGCCACCTTCCTATCTTCCGCCATCAGCAGCACTCACCCCCTCGCCCAAGATGGACAGTCAAAATCGGTTGATGGCTAGAGTCCATCCTAGCCTAACTATGCTTCCACCACCCTCTGCCAGCATTGAGCAGAGTCGGTGCCTCTTTGGAGTCCCTTCGTCGCCAGTTTCACCCCTGACCCCAAATACTCCGCTATCTCCGTCCCCGCTATTCAACGTAGACCAGTCTTTTCAACAGGGTTTCCTCGCCGAATTGTACCGCAGAAGGTATAGTGCGCTGCATATATAAATGCATGTTTTTTTTGCCAAGTCTTTATGTATTTGCTAAAAATAGTTGTATTTATTTCCAGGTGCCACTCAGACTCCGATCTCCCTATTGTTCCAGATCTGCCCAAAGTTGAACCTACAGATCTGTCAATCAATTCAATGAAGTCAATGGGCCCAAGTCAACCAGGAATGCATCCTCGTCTCAAAAAGCCAATACCACACCCTCTCACAATTCCATGCAAAGGGGGTTCTCTCGAATCGGAACAATCATCGCCACAAGATTCGCCATTAGATTTATCAATGAAAGGAAGCAGGGAGCGATTTAGCAGCAGCACAAGTTGCGAAAGTCTTACGGCAACCCGGTATATTTCTAGTCTGGCTCTGCAACAGCATCATCCGTCTCCATGTCATTCCCCAGGTACGTCTCAACAACTACATAATTAACTTCCGTGTTCCGATCAACAACCGTATTAAGAGATATTGCAAAAGGGGTAAAACCACAGGGAACGACTTGGCTGGTGAAAGTTATCTGGAAATATGCACATATGTATTATGACCCAAAGTTAGACCATACTAGCCCTCTGCGTCCCATTTACTAGATCATTCCAATGATGCCCCATCATTTAATCACTTTTAATAAATTCTAAATCAAAAATTTCCACCGTTCGAAAGACATACAGACAATTTGACGAGTACACGTTTCCATAAAGTGGTTTTGCCCCTTTAATAGTGGATTATGTAAATCTGAAAAATATAAACTTGCAGGTGTATCAGTAATTCGGGGAGATATCGCATCTCCAACCACCAGAAACTCGGTTGCTCTTCGCTACAATCTTGACGTGTCTCCAGTGGTTGAAGAAATGCCTCCAGGAGGTAATTCAAAATTTGTGCTTATTTCATCGGCGTATTTCTTTAGATATAAGCTCACAATTAAATAAATCTCACCTGGACAAATAATTTTTAAATTTTTAGCCGATCTTGCTTTTGTGTGTCCGGTCTGTGGGCAGATGTTCTCCTTACATGACCGGTTGGCAAAACACATGGCATCGCGACACAAGAGCAAGCCCCATGACCCCAACAAGAGCTATCCTTGTGAAATTTGTAACCGGTCATTTGCAAGGAGCGATATGCTCACAAGACATGGTAAGTTCATCATTTTGTTTATTGAGCCAATGTTTATATTTATTTTACCAGCATATCCAAATATCTATAAAATTTGTTTTATTAACTTACAGTCCGACTACATACAGGTAAGAGTGCATTTATTAATTATAAATATTTTTAACATTAATTTTGTGGGCATCACAATTTTTATTTGAACCGTTGTTTAATCACAGGAATCAAACCTTACACGTGCAAGGTGTGTGGGCAAGTATTTTCCAGGTAAATAAAAGTGCCATGACTTCATGTAGTCATTTTTATATAATTTGATGTATAATAATGCTCAAATTTTATGCAGATCTGATCATTTAAGTACTCATCAAAGGACTCATACTGGTGAAAAACCATACAAATGTCCCACCTGTGCTTACTCTGCATGCAGGAGAGACATGGTAAGTTTTATCTCCCAGATATAACCCATGTATATTATTTAAAATCATATTTCCTAATTATTCAACTTTCTATATCCAGATAACAAGGCATTTACGGACACATTTAAGGAATAGTTCGTCGTCATCCTCACTGTCGGATCAAATGGGGTCTGTTTCCACTCCCACCTCCATCATGTCAATGTCGGACTTTGGAGATGAAAGACACATCAAAATTGAGCACTCTCGACCACCATCTTCCAACTCAAGTTTTGCACCCGATTCCCCTTTGTCACCGGCACTTCACATTAGCTCCCTGTCCGTCAACTCTCCGTCACCCACGTAGTCTAGATTGGACATTGGACAAGGGCAGTGACATAGAAGAATGGTCATATATATAAATTTATTATGTTTTTCGGATGGCATGGTAGCTGGACATGGTAGTTGATCAGACATATAGAATTTCGTTCGTGTAGTTAGAAATGAACTGATCAACGCACTTTCACTCTCAATTGAATGACCAAAATGACCTGAATTGTGGCATTAGAAAAGTAGTTGGGTGACAGGCTTCATTCAACGGAAATACTCGTGGTACCTTGAACCAGAAACGACGCTGCAACTGGATTGCATCTCATCGCAGCTCAATTATACGAATTACAGTAGATTCGTTGAGTATATTGCCATTATCCAGTACCTGTAGATATTATCACTTTAGAGAAGGCCCCTATATACATATAAACGTGTCATATACGTATTTTGCCCCGGTGTATGTACATAGCTTATTGTAACCGTCATTGTTGTTTCCATATATATATTTTACGTAAATATTTCATTGGGCTAGAATATACAAACTCCAAATGCTACGCTTAAAATCATCCATTGGTTAAAGACCTGTGAATTTACTTTGAATTGGTATTATATATAGTCCATTAACAAGACAAGTTAATTATTACAAGTGAAACGCATCGTACTTAAAATATGTATGTCCGTGATTTGGGTCTTCTCCGTTTTGAACCGATTTAGAACACGTTTTGCGGTTTTGTTTTTAAATATTCCTCTGCATAAATTGCATATCAGGTCGAGATCACTATATACTTCATACACAACAAGCAACCTATTTATTAGAGATGGGATTATTAGATGAGATGACTGTAGCTGAAACAAGATGATTTAAATTCAATACAAATTAAACCACCATCCAAATTCATAAATTTAAATAAAAAAAGATGGAAAAAGCACAAATGGAGGAGACCAAAAAATGGGCTGTCTTACAAAGTTTATAACTCCGTTTCAAAAACTGCTCAAATGTCTCAATACCAAAAATTTTGTTTTTATTATACAAAAATATTTATTTAAAACACACCTTGATCTCTTTTTGCAACATCAGAGTTTGCAAATTTATCTAGATGTAACACTTTATCCTCATATAAAAACTACCCATGTACTTGATAATTCGTGACCTTTTCATCTTATAAACGTGATAAATGTTTTCGAATCTTGTAAAAAATATTAGAGAAATATTTACGAGAGTTAGTGGGTGTGTCCTACTCGAAATATAGCATGTTTAGTGGAGTAGTGTTTAATGGATCTATGTATGTATGTATATTTATCCATGTATACATTGGTTGGTTTGTTCTTGACATGGTTCAGAATACGCTTAACGAATGCAAAAAATTGTACGGATACGAGGAGAAAGTGTGGCAAGGAAAGAAATTCACACATTTTGGACCACGATCAGTGTTCTTCAAAACACATTAACGATTGGAAATTCTAAACGTAATTCGTAGTTATACATAGTTATGTAATTCCTATTTTACTCATTGTTGCACTGCTCACTGTGTGCTGGATACCGGTAACAAATTTATCTTACGTATGTACGTAGCAAGGTTCTTGTATTGCACAGTTATACGTTTATTTGGTAATTGAAGAGAATACTCTCAGAGATGAGTTGGTGTCGGATCTGTCCATTAATGAGTGTTATAATTCTTTCGACTATATTGTTAAATTCGGTGATATAATTTAATGAGTGTGCCATTTTAATGCCATAATGTTTGCTGTTAACGTTTACAAATCACCCAATATCTATTCTAAAAAGTTGTATGTACGTATTCTATGATATCGATGTGCACGTTTTTAAATTCTTTTATCCAACTGCCGTGTCCTAATCGAACTAATTGCGTACTTTATATTTTGAATGATTGCAATGTAAACCTGTGTGTACAGAGTTTCTAAACGTGCTTCTTCAACCCTTGATTAAAAAAACACAAGCACAGTTATACGCATGTGGCCATATGTATTGTATTTGTTTATGGATATGGAGAAGTAATTGGATATAATTTTCCTATGTTCATGCTTTAAACTTTGCCCGAAATTCATGAGTTCATGAAATCACACAAAATAAGCAGGTTCTTTATTAAATATGTTTACTGTTGCAAATTGAATGGTGCTGCGCACCTTTTATAACAATTCGAAACTTTGTAAACTGCTGGATTCCAGTGAAAATAACCTCAGCAGAGGAATGTGATAATTCCTCAATTGAATGAGACTCCAAATAGAATTTGTATATTTATTTTTAGTCTTCAAGTGAAAAATGTCGTGTGAATATTTTTGGTAATCACGATTGGAACAAAGGAAAATAAACGATCCTTTATGTTACAACTTTGTCAGCGTCGTGGATAAATTATTCATTTTCATTCATACAATAATGTCTTATAAACTTGTGGTTGTCGTTGGTTTCCTAAGCTGCCTCGTTACCTCAGTCATATTTTTGTCAAATAAAATAAATGTAGATGTCCCGTTGCTTTTTTCAATTTTGTAAAATTGTGTACAGTCTTTGTTATAGCAAAGGACAGGTTTTGGTCTTCTAAGGCGACGGCTCAGCTCGTTAGCGTCACTTTGCAGGACGGGGTCAGGAGCAAGGTGTTTAAGTACATCGAGAACGATCGCGAGTCCTGGACCAACATAGCAGTTGATAGAATATGGCAACACTTGAGCGATCAATGCTTTCACCAAACACGAAATGAAAGGTTCGTACGTCTTGCAAAAATAATCCTTGTCATTTAACTGTTCTGGAAATATATGATTAGGATTCAAAGTCTTGAAACGAATAATAAGTCGCATTTCCGTAGTACCTGAAAATCCAAAGCAACCCTGAACATTTGGCAACAGTCCTTGTTGAACTTCACTAGAAAAATTTTCTACAAACAAGAGAAAACCTTGTCATTGAGTATTGATCAATGCTTTTAACATAAAGAATGTGTCGTAACCATCAATATTTGTTAAATAGCATGTTGCTAATAAGATTTGAAAATGAAAATTACTCCATCCTCAAACCTCTTGGGGTTTCGCATACATTTAATGTAAAATGTAAAAGAGTGGGGAAAACCAGGATGATCAAGGAAGTAAACGTTTCATTTCTTTAAGATACGAGTTACCCATGCATTTTTCAATGTTTTTGACTCTGCACAACAATTCGGATTTCTCATGCTACATACAGGACACGTGAAAGTCTAAATACAAGCTAAAGTGTGCATTATGAGAGAATTACAGGAAACTATAACAGGTTATAAATTTTACTTTCTATCATCGTTTACCTGGTTTTAAAGTACTTCGTTGTGACATTCAATAACTGACTCAAATCGTACGTATTTATGCATTTAGGAGCTATGTATTAAATTCTTACCTTCAAAGTAAAATGCACTTGCAATATCATCAAATTTTCCATCTGGGGTTAGCTGTAAATGGGATTAAACAAAATCATGATAAAGACTTGTTAGAGTATTTATTTGAGTTATTTCAAATTTACCGTCCCCATCTCTTTAAGAACACATTTTAAGATGCACTGGAAATATGATTAAATGTTCTGATATTAATATTACTAAAAACGAGAGCATTTAATAATTTAATTACCCAAGACCGAGTTATATATTCGCTGAAGTCCTTCGGCTTAAATTTTTCTCCGAGACATTTCAACAAAGTCAGCGTAGTCGATTTCATAAAGTCAGTTGTATATTTGTAGCAAGATTTTGGTGGTGCATCTCCGTCTCCTGCCTCCTCATCTTCAGCTCGTGCACTGCTGGTCACCTTTTAGATAAATATTTATAATGATATCCAAGGTGTTGTAAATAAGAACGTTTCCTATTTATTCAGGAGTATTTAAGTATTATTACCAAGATGATGATTGCCACAAGAGAGAAAAATTGTCTGATTTTTGCACACATTCTTCTGACTTTGCTATTGTTAAACAGCCTCAGCAAATGGGGGAAAATATTGACCAGTGTTTTGTTTTATATCAAACGATTCAATGTCAGATTTTGCTGATGCATTCAGTTTAATAGTTTACTTTATTCGAGTTGAAGGTCTCAATGTCAAAGTTGGCACATGCAGATAAACACTCAAATTATGGAAATGATTGAATACTCTTATTTTTGAATGGACTAATATTACTATTATTATAAAAATTGCACCGCATCTCGGTGCCAGTTAAGCAAACTTTTCATTGCGCATTGGTAGAGAGCTGAAGATTCTCGGTAATATGAAAAATGGATCACTGAAGCTCAACATTAAGGCTAGTGACAAGTGTGCCCAATATTTATTTTGTTTGCATCAATGCGTCTAAATTTGCAGTATGTATATGTAATCAGTGCCGATGACTTCAACTCACCCATTTTATGGGTTAATTTATTTCAATTAGAATAAAATTATATGAGGCTTATACGACATTGCGATATTCGTTAATTTATTTACTACAATATTAAAAATGAATGCATGTTGTTAAAAGCTTAAAATATTTACTTGGATTTTTAATTAGAATATTTACTTATTAGCGAAGTAGCGTTTGTGTGTGACGATGCAGAATGATAAGGTTTTACAAGATTACGCTTTTCTTAATTTCAGACGCGTCGTCATTCTTTGTTGTCATTGCGATCTTTTATCGAGCCCGTGGTCCCTTCTACGTATTTATACCGCATAGCAAGTAGGCAGAAAATGATGATGTCAATTAGCATGGCTCCAGCAAATTCAAAAAATTCAGTTGCCTACAAAACAAAAAGATATTTTACAGCTAGTGGTAATTTATATTAGCCCATGTTAAATACCAACCTGAGAATGGGAATGTTTAGCTTGGGCAGACAGAATGACAATTACATTTCCAAATGCGTTCATCAGATGCCACAAAGATTGTAAGACAGACTTCATTGATTTCGGTGCCTATTAATTCAAATATTTAAAGTTGTATCAAAACATGAATTTTGTTCCGTAATTGACCAATACTTGAGTAAACGAGAATTCCATTCCAGACACAATGAAAAGAATTTCCGCCCACGCCATTAGAACATATTGAGGAATTAGCCATAGCATGTGAATTTCATTCGGTGTGTTGATCACGATCATTTGTAGCTATAAAAATATTACGACAATTTAGAAACTAACACCATTTTTAATTCATTTTAGATACCTTGAAAGAATCTGACAAATTTCCATAACTCGGATGTACAACGTAAAGGTAGCTGCCTCCAGTGTGCACGTCCACATTTCCAACCTCAGCCCATGAAGAATGACCAGAATTTCCGATGTGGGAAATATTTTGTAAAAAATTGTTGACAACAGAGTACCTGCATACACGACGCTACCTGGTTAATTAGTACTCGTTAAATATGACGGATAGAAAATAATTCCTTACTCTCCAGGAGGCAATTCAGATACGGAAGTGTAGCTAAAATCATTGGATCCTTTAATCACATTCATATCATACGTTGCTGCATCCCCACGCAAAGATTTTAAGGTTATCATTTCCAGTGGTGGGATGTTATTGTTAGATATTCCATTTATCACGATCCTATTGTATGAAAATATTGTTACCAAATTACAGACAACCTTCGTAACGTCTACCATAATGTGACTGCACACATACCGCACTTTCGCATTCCCCTCGTTTGATTTCACAAAATCCTCCTTCGTCGCTGATATTGACGCAACCAACGTGTTATTTTTTACAAATATGAAAACAGCTTGAAGAGACCCTAGCATCAGTGGAACTTCTCCCACCCATTTCCGGTTGTTGATTGACGCGAGGCTGTCGCAACTTTCATTCAGTGTCAATGTCATGCCCAACCGGTTGGTATTAACGAAAGTGACAATTTGAGCGTTTTCTGGTCCAATGACAAGTGTGCTATTATCGAGCTCCAAATTATTAGTCATCAACACCGGACACGGAAGTGTATTCACAAATTTTAGATGCGTTTCGGATGGAGATGGCGGTATGTAATGGTTTTTCTATAATGAGTTACTCTATATTTTGCAATGACGTCAAAATGGATTGACGTAAAATTTGAATTTACCTCAATTTGCAATTCTATAATGCCTGCGACAAAGAACGACAAAGCTGCAATGAATCCACCCACTCCCATTCGTTGAAGTGGACGCTTAAGAAGCCTGCATTTCCTAAATAATGGGTAGACGAGTGCTTGGAAGATTGGGATGAAGATGAACATGAGGATTGCATTGCTGACCTATAATTTCCATATTAAAAGGCATACAGTAATTATGTCCATAAATTTTTGTCAAACCTGCATTTGATCTGGCTTTATAATAAAACTTGAGTTTCCAATGCGCCCGTCCATTCTGGTGGCCATCAGCGTCCATCGTGACCCCTGATTACGTACATATAAAGTGAATACCTGGATATGAATAGAATTCTTGCATATAAAAATACATACCAATTGCTCATACAGGGCAAAGAACATTGGGATGGGGATGTAGTAAACCAGAACTCGGAGAAGCTGATATTTTAACATTTACAATACAATTATTATTAGTTTGATATTTATTATGCAGCATAATTTAGGCTGTTATTATTTAATATCACCATTTTAATGTCATTGATGAGTCCTGCATCAAATTTATCATCAGCATAATCCAACCAGTTCGATTTTTCTTGATCCGAGTATTTCTTATTCACTAAGGCATGCTATGTAAGATATTATTCATGTCACATATAATAAGATGTCCAAATAAGATGTCTCATGGTTTCATGGATTATGTAAAAACGTACCGTGATACATCGAACGACCTTTACGAGCATGTTGCCCGCTGGTGGGTTAATTTTATAGAGAGACTTCCCAGACACAAATACACCTATGCAAGCACATCACGAAACAAATAGTTACCGAAGAGTTGCCATCAATAAGCTGCATATTATTTTGTTACGGCGTTATATACCAACAGCAAACAGCATTGTGACGGATGGTACGCCAAAAGCTAAAGGGTAACAACCGATTCCAAAGCATTGGATGTCTCGTCGAAAAACGGGAGTAATGACTGCAAAATATTTTTGTAGTGAAATAATAAATTGGTTAATAGATTTGTATGGTTTTTAGAGTTAATTACATACTTGTTGATATCATATTTCCCACTGTCACAGCAAAGAAAAAGACGGAAAAAAATTGTTGAAGGTATTTAGCCTGTGCTGGTAACTTAAATTGCTCTCCTCCGAAGGGCGCCTAAATCATGTAAAGCAAATACGTATCTTAATCCAGAACAATCGACGTATCACTTAATTAAATGCAATAAGAATTTGCGCAATTACAACGCATGGTTTCATTCCCGAGGTGCCTAATGCCATTAGAAATAGTCCAATCATTGTTAGTGGTCTGAAAAGAATTCGTAATTGATGACTGTATTGGACTTGTATACATCAAGAGTAAATAAGTTGGCTAACATGGCTGGCAAATTCAGTGGTGGAATTGATGACAGAGTTAAGATAACATTTCCCAAGGCAAATATCAAGGAGACGATCCAAATCGTTGTATATTTTCCCCAGAATGAGTCTACAAATACAATTGCCCAATCTTAGATTTTGTCCAAATCATTAGGATGTTTACAAATAATAAAGGGGGGGTTTGACTATGCTTAAGTCCTTAGAATGTCAAGCCAGAAATATTTCTGGACATTAGGGAACACGCTCATCCTATATTTAAGATCTTGATTTAGTCAAAACATAACATGCATGTTTTACAGCATTTTTACTATAATGTACTGGAATATTAAAATATTCTCATTGTTCGATAGTACCCAGAAGTTTTTATTTTCTACTCCTTTCTTTTATTCAGCTTTTCATAGGCTAGTAAATTAATTGTTTATAATTCTGCCACGTTTTAAGTATTTTCTCAATTTGAAGTAGAATGTGCATTTTAACTTCTCGTTGTACCTACATAGGCTTTGATTGCCTATAGCTCAAAAACGGGCATGCAAATGATGCTACCTTGCTTATTATCAGGAATGAATTACCAATAGCTTGCTGTAAAAGGAGAAAGCATAGTCAAAACCACTCCTAAGAAAAAACTGAGCAAAAGTTAGGATGAGGAAATGTGGAATGGGGCAAATGATGAGAAGCATAAACCTGCAATTATCCCCCACACAATGGGAAGACCTGAAAAATATTTTTTTAAATATTTGAGATTCCTTATTGTTCCATTAATTTGAAAAGTAGGAACAGAGAACGGAATACCGTAGCACATGAGAAGAAACGTGTGGTAAAATGTAGTTGCCTTGTCTTCATTAAAATTGAGCATATTTCTCATGTAAATCGTTAACACTGCTCGCATTCCATAATACGAAAACCTTTCACTTAACTCTGTGGCGATTATAAAAAACACAGATTTCGGATATTTAATTTTCTTTTCGTTTGGATCCTTTTCCAAATCCTATTAGAAAAAGTAATATTCAAACTTGGTCTTTTGACTGTGTACGAAATTAATTAAATTTCCAAATAATATTGAACTTACATCTTCGTTGGATGGGGAGATCCGCAATCCAGAAAGATTTGATATGTCGAGTTGACTCATATTGTCACTTGAAAAGTTGAGAAGATGTTGTCGAGAGTGAGGCTACTTCTATAACAATGCAGTCATACAGAACTTATTACTCCCTCACATCACGTCACTGAAATTGCTGTCACTCGGATCAATAAAAATTGCAACATCTTTCTCAATCACATTAGTGAATCACTTTCTGACCTTTTGGAATCCTATGTCTGACTGGCTTGGGAGTTGGTATTTAATCTCCCTATTTGAAAACGACAACACTATTTTCAGTGCATACCAAATTAAAATACAATTCGCCTAATTCCGTCAATTTTAAATAAATAGTTACAAACTAACTATGAATAATCATAACTTCCGAAGAAGTTAAATTATTAGTAAAACTGCTGTTCACTTGTGTAATTGTACAAGTTACGACTGACATTTGAGTAGAAGATGAATGGTTTTGTAGTTTCAACTCATTATGCAAACCAAACCACATTTAGCTGAATGCGATAGACGCCGTAATTAACATAGCTTACGCGAACGATAACCATAATACTTAACTCGGTGCCATTTATTAGAATCAACAGGATCTGAACACGAATTGGCTTCATGGAAATGCTTTTGTAGGTATTGCAGACCTTATAAATACAACACACACACACGGTGAATGCCACGACATGACGCGTGCTCTTCGCATTGTCCTCCTGCATTTGTTATGAAAACAACTCCTTCATTATTCCTTGTTACGATTATTATTATGATCTCCTAATTGTCTCGTTTCATCTCCGGAATAGAAATTACTTTTGGAATGCTAATTTCTGTTTTTTCTTTGTCATCGACCATTATTATATCAGGTTTATTTATAACGTATTACAATTAAAAAAATGCAAAATGTGTTTTCTGGTAGTCTACATATATATCGAGTTTCTAAATAATATGTAATACGAAATCCATGTAATTTTATGTAGGTGGCGAAGTCAGGTACTTATTGTTGCACTTCTGTACTACTCTTCCTTCCGAAATGTAGAGTTGTCAAAAACATTTGGAGGTTGCATTGGTATGTTGGACCTGGATTCATCTTCTTCCCCTTCGTTCGCATTGATGTCTATGGGCTTGTAAAAATATGCCATGATTCCAAATATCGTCATATCAGCGAACATCAATCCCGCAAATAAGAAAAACTCTTTGGACTGTGCAAAACATGAAAAAGTCGGTACATCAACGAGTTACTAATCTTACGTATTAATTAGACGTACATACCTGCTTGTCAAACTTAATAAACTCTGCTATGAATACGACAATGATATTTCCAAATGCAACAGTGAGTAGCCAGGCAGCCTGTATGACAGCCTTCATACTTACAGGAGCCTGGAAAAAGATAAATAATTGTGCGAATTATTACAGGAGATTTAAAACAGTTCTATGTCTGTTTCATGTCTTAATTTCAAGCTTTTTTAATTGACGAGTAAGAAGTCATTGTAGTAAAGAATTTCACTTGCCTGGGAAAATGAGAATTCTAATCCAGTGACAGAGAACATTACTTCACTGATTGTAATGACAATGTATTGTGGCAGTAACCTATATTTAATTAGTATAGTAAAATATAGTAATAAATAAGTAATAAATGGCAGTTACCACAACATGTGAACGGAGTTTGGTTCAGTAATGGTGTAACTTTTAGTGGAAATCTGTCCTGATGCCAGGTCCTTGCTCAGAGTCAAGATATAGTTACCCCCAAGATGAAGGTCAATTGTGCCACTAATATTTACCGACTGTTCCAGTCGATTGACAGTCTCATTTGATGGAATAAACAGTTTAAAATGATACCTGTAGACAGCCACACAAAGAATCTCACAAATTATTACCAGCAAACTTTGCATGAAAAATTAGTAAGAAAAACTCACATATTGGGATCTATGAGAAAGACGGTGGAAGTATCATTTTGCAGATTTATATGCTTTGCAACTTGTTTTTCGTTGATGAGTAATAACGTTGCATTTAAATTTACTTCTTCCAGCATTCCAGAAATAATCACCCTACAAGAAGTCGAATGGGTTCAGCTTTAGAAAATGAACAGCTTTACATATCTCATATTGACGAATCAAAGTGGTTGTACTTTAATTTTGGGTTTCCTTCCTTTGACTTTTCCAGCTCATCCTCAGACTTGTCCCGTTGCATTTCAATAGACCCATTCACCACTTTTATCATGTAGGTAAATGCTTTTTGTTCCTCTGCAATGAATGAGAATGTCACATTGTTCTTGAGCAAATCACATTCACCAATAGCCTCGACTTTCCCGTCATATTTGCCGGCCGAGATTTTGGAAAGAATTGACATATCGAAGGATTCTATTCCTCTTGACCCCAATTCTCCATTGAAGGTCAGATTCAAATTGCATGGCAAAGTGTTGATGAAATGAACTTGAGATTCGGATGGACCCAAGGTGACCGCGTATGTTGGCTACACAATAGAAATTAATGAAATTAATGATTAAGATAATGACACAAATTAGACAGCAATATTGTCATACTTCAAGATGCAGCTCCAAAATGCCGGAGATGATGAATGCAATGCCTGCTAGAATTCCACCCGTTGTAAGACGCTGTAATGGCCTGGTTAAAATGTTTCCTTCAAATTCATAGCATTTATAACAAATGAGTGTTTATAGCAAACATATAATTTCGTTCTGTTATTATCTCGTTTTGATATCACCTCTCCTTAGCGTTGGATATATCACTTTATCGAATATTGGAATTAGGGCCTAACAATAAAAATAATAAAAATAATAGTATAAATTATTTTCATTTTGAGACTGACGAAAAATAATGGTCAGAAACTGATTAAAATTAGACTTACCAAAATTAGGAATGGGTTTACCACCTATTTTAAAATTATTTTAGTAATTCTCGTTTCTATTTAATATGTGACATTTTATGATAACAAATATATACCTGCATCTGGTCTGGTTTAATTAGATACCCAAAAAATTTTCCGTCCATTCGAGTTGCTTGTAAGGTCTATTTTTAAGTGAGCTCGTTTTATTTTTAATTGTTTTTTACTAATTTATTTGAATTGAGGTACCCATCGAGATCCCTGCGTATTAAATGAACAAGACTTTTAGATGCATGTCGTGTCGAGCATATTACTTATTTTTAAAAAAATTGTACCTGCTGATCGAATAGTGACCAGTACGCTTAAAAAACATTGCAAGCAGTATTAATCTTTTTCTGAAAAAAGATTTTAGATTTTTTTCTAACCTGGGAGCGGAATGTATAAAAATAAAATCCGTAATAATGCTTTGACATCATTGAGTAACTTTTTATCAAATTTATCATCAGCATAATCAAGAAAGTGTTCGCGTTTGTCGCCAGTTGCTGCGAGTTTCCTCTTTCTTGAGATGGCGTGCTAAAAAAGGAACATTTTATGTTCACAGGACTTTTTCACACATCCTAAAATTACTCATTTCAAGCGTCATAAGATTTGTAGTAGGTTAGTGATAAAATAAAAGTGAATGACAAGCCTACGCGATTGGCCAGTCAAACTAGAATGACAAGATTCTTTTTTCGTAAGGATATGTACTTAAAAAGCTTCAAGAAATCACGAATCCACTCATAATTCTCTGCTTTCTTTAAATATGGATCAACCACGTCGTAATTGCTTACTGCATAAATACGAATAAATGGATATATGATTTCTTGGTTTAAAGGACTCCAGAAATTAAGTAGAAAATGTAAATCGCAACACAACTTCAAACTACATACATCAAGCTCGTAAATCTTACCGAGACGCATTTAATGACAAGCAGAACTAGATTCCCTGCAGGTTTGGTTAGCGTATACATGGGTCTTCCCAGGATAAATATGGCTATATATGAAGCAAAGAAGTAAATAACTGATACAATAAAAAAGTGTTTATCGCAATAGCACGTGTATGTAAATGTAGTTAATTAACAAGACTTGCAACTACTAAGGAATACCCAAAATAAGTAGCGTAGCGAAGGTAAAAATGGTAAGGTTAGGTTAATTGAATAGTTGTATACAGGAAAATTGATTATTATTCGGGTAGTTGAAAAAATCTGCTAAAAGTGTTTTTCAAATTTAAACTCACAACAATACATCTGCTGACTTTCATCACAATGTTGCCGTCAGTTTTTGTTATTCTGTACCATGGCTTGCCAATAATAAATATGACTGCATGGCAAAGATATATTTTGAGAGAAAGTCGTCAACATTAGCCAACAAAGGATGAACACATACCAAGGGCAGCAATCATAAGGGCAGCTGGAACTGCAGAGTTAATAAACTTTTAACCTCTGAATTACGTAAATTGGATTAAAAAGCATTTTATTTGTGTGTACCTCCGAATGCCAGTGGATAGCAAGTATCACCTTAAAGTATATGATAATAAATACATGATTCCAGTTATTTATACATATGCGTATGTATCTACGGATAGGATCTCACTTTCAAAACAAGCAATGTCTTTTCGGAAAATTGGTGTGACAAATGTGCTTATGAGACTTCCGGCATTGATTGAAAAATAAAATATGCTAAAAAATTGTCCCAAGTGTCGCTCTTGCTGTGGAAGTATGAATTGGTCACCTATAGAGTTGGTAAAAATTATGATATGAGAGTCTAGACACGTAAAATTAAAAATAAACATTTTTTAAATTACCACCGAATGAACTAACACAGGGCTAAAAAGAGTGCAGAACAATAGCCTCATATTATTTTGCATCACCAGATTTAATTCAGGAGATTACCTTGATACCACCCGTTCCGATCTATTTAGAAGAGACATAAAGTTAGCATCTTAAAGTAAAATTAAAGTCAACCTGGAACAGAAATTCCCCAAACACATTTCCTGCATCTTTGCGCCATGCATTATTTACATATGTACATTATTATGCAATAGGCACATATTGTCAAGAGAAACTAATTCGCAATGTCGATTGGGGAATTTTATACACATTTTTTCTATCTTAAGAGACTGAAGTCATACCGCAATCAACCCTAGTCCTATGAGACTGAAGGTCCTGTAAATATGGTTCAAAAGTTGTGTAATTAGTTTTTACTATAGATAATTACCGATGGTATTATTACGAGAAGGTATGTCATCGAACTAAAATTACCTGTCTGGAAGATTTAGTGGTGGAGTTGCAGCCAGAGAAAGGATGACATTTCCCAGTGAATACACAATTGAAAGATAAAGTATAGTTCTGCAACACCAATTTAATATTTTTATGGAGAATCCTTATTCGGATTTAAAAAATGTCATACCTGAACTTCCCCAAAAAAGAGTCAGCGATCATCGCCCCAAAAAGAGGTGTAAAGTAGCAGAAGCCGCTAAAAATATGATAAAGTTTCGTAGCGGAATCAGGACTATACGCCAATACGTTGACGAGGTAGATGGTGAGGACGGCTGTATCAGCAAAAAAATAAATAGTTATCACGACGTAATACCCATTTAAGCTACGCCGCCTAAAGTTCCCCTTCATAATTTTTGAAATCATGCAATATATTCGTATCATAACACAGGAAAAATAGCTTATGGACTGGTCGGTGAAGTTAAGTGTCAGGGTTCCCCCTATTGGTTCAACCAGTTAACAGTTAATTTTGCATATGTAAAAATCACAAAATTTGGCAAATTGGATAAGCTTTCTAAAACCGAAAACAGAATTTGATTATCTCTTTTCGTTAGAAAATGACAGCACAAAATGTAGAGGAGGTGGAAAAATTAGTTTGCCACTCGTGCAAAAAAGTGATTTTCTCGGATCGGGAAAAGGCTCGTGACCACCCCACTTTTCCAGGGATGCACCAGATAAAATTCATCATACACTATACAGATATAAGGATCGTGAAAATGCAAAATATAAAATTTGACCTTGCCGACCTGTCCGCCAGAAGTAAAAAACACTGACGAGAAACATGAAAAAACTCCTACAGAAAACCCGAACTGATCGGTAAGGGTTGCACCCAGACAACTAAAAAGTTCAAAAACCTACATTCGCAAGATCAAAGCCAATAAGTTGGGCTTCAAAACTTGTAACATTATAACCGCGTTAAAATACAATGAAGATAAAAAATCAGGGGCTAAAACAATTTGTGCAAAACTTGTTGAGAAAATGTTAAAATCGACTCCCAGAATTTTGTCGTCGCGGATGATGAAAACTACTGCCCCGTTGACCTCGAAACGTCAATCGTGTAAAGTTCAACTCATGCAGAAGTAAAAATGACCTTCGTTCGAAATATAAATTCAAAACCAAGGACAATTTCCAATGAAATGCATAAATTGGCTGGCGAGCAACAAAAATGGGAGTGTCTCAAATCCATTCGTTTAAACCAAGAATATGAACTTTGGAATTTATTTCAAAGAATGTATCGTCAAGAGATTGACCCCCTCTATCAGAAACAAACGCGTTTTATTCTGGTATAACATGGGTACGTGCTAGAATGCCAAAATAGTGACAGGGTACCATCGAGGGGAAAAAACTGATTTCTCAAGAAAAAGGACAACGCTCCAAACGTACCTCAGTGTCGACCCATTGAAAGATTTTGGGCATTAATTTATAAACAATATACTGTGAAAAAAAGAACACGAAGAAATTTCAAAAAATTTCGGCGTGTTATAGAGAAAATCATCATAGAAGTTGGTGAAACGAGTGGCAAAGCGCTCATGTGAGGTCCTCGACAAAGTCTTCTCTCCACCGCTACGGAAGAGGTATTTGGACAATTGAAGGATTAAAAAACTTTGGTATATTCATCGTTAATATTCCACAAAAGTTTCGTTGCATTTGATCCGTGCATTCAGTTTTTATAGGTTAAAATAGCTTGACACTTAACTTCACCGACCAGTCCATATTCAGTAGAAAAATTCCTTGCATTCTATTTAAGCACTAAAATATTTGACCACTCTAAATCCAGTCAAATCATTGACAGAAAGCTTTGTGTCACTCGAAATAGACATTCATAGGCTAAATAAGGAACAAAGTCGCAAGGTGCTGTTGTTGGACATTGCATATGAACAGATTCACTTTCATTCAACCCAAATCTATGTATCTGTATAGACATACATAGCTGTGTACAACGGGATTTTGAAAGCAGGTTCGCATTCCAAGCGCTCCGATTAAGGCAATTTAATACAACAAGGAAAATGAGACATTGCTAATATTTTGCCGACTATTATTGTTGGGTGTGTGTGTGCCATAAATTACAATGACCCCATTCATTTATTTGACGCTTGTCATTTAGATGTTATATTCGGCTTTGCAATTTCATATAATAAACACAGTTGTCACCTTAAAAATAGATAAATTATGACATTGAGTGCTAAACTAGCAATCTTTTTGATTCGTTAAAAAACATGGATTATAAAATATCAATTGTGACACGACATTGCTTAAACAATAGGTAATAAAATATAGTGCTTACCTTTCATGCCATAGTAGGAGAATCGTTCGCAAAATTCATTTGCTAGGATAAACCAGACTTGTTTTGGGTAACGAAGTTTCTAGAAATTAGTTACAAGAAAAACAGTGTCAATAAATAAATCTATGCCTTAAATACACCAAGCCATAACTTAATTAAACTAATTATATCCTCTGAACTATTCGTTACCGTGATTTACCTTTTGTTCATCCATGGCGTAGTAATTATTTTATAAATGCAACCTTTCACATAGATTTCTTAAATACTGCACAGTTAACTTGTACACCTACATATATTTCACTCTTGAAGAACACAACTAATAACTAAATTTGTCCTCCAACAAATTAAAAGAAAACATTTTGTGATGCTCCCGATTTTACGAGTACGTGCATGAAAACTTGATGCCAGAGTTGAAACAGAAGCCCACACTTTTGACCACAATCGAACAGGTCTCTGAGTAAATACACACTGCGTTATGCATTTGAATGCATTGTATAAACTAAATTAAACCTGTTTGTCAATTCTGTGTCTAGTGCTCAATAATATTTTGCCTACGACTACTGCAACCACGGCGTATGTACAAATATCGTCGAGTGCAGATAAATACAACAATATTTCGAAGCTGTAGGCACCACTCGGGATGCGTTTAGAATTTGAAAGATTGTAAGATTCTGTCTATCAGGTTGGTGTCAGGTGTGCATGTCAAGCATATTACAGTGGAAGGTAAATCAATAGCATAGATATTCCCATTCATGTTAATATATTACGTGGTGATAGTATGAGCACAGTATAAATACGACATTGTTGATGAAGGTAGGTAAAGGTTACTAACTCTCTCAGAATGCATGGGCTGCGTAGAAAAGGAAACAATCACGATGAACATGCACACGTAAAAAGTTTTAAAGTCTTCATTTACACATCCATCCTTGTGCATCATAATAGTCCATCAATAGCTAATACTGCTAGATACAGGCGATGCGGCAAAATAATGCATTCACGCTATTCAATACATACATATGTAGATACATATATGCTTAATTAAGTATGCAATATTTAATGCACAGCTTAGCTGAAACCCCGGTGTCGTTCGTTTGGCGATCTCTTACTCTTGAATGTGCCATCAATTCAATTCTATTGTCATAAGATGTACAAGGCAGAAAAAAATTAAATGCGGCACCATGCATGCTTAGACTATATGCACGAACGATAGGTATATTTATGTACGAAATGGATTTTACAAATGAAATATTTCATTGGATGTTGCATGTCAACGTGTATCAAATACATTATGCACACGTTTGTGTTAGGCATGATAGGTAACCACAGTTTTTTCGGTATTGTATAATTTCATGTTAAAAATATGGTCAAGACAAAACGCATTGACTAATTAACCTTTGACGTGGAATCCGTTTCGACATCCTTGAGATAAAATGTGTCTGTACCTGTAAGGAAGAAAATTGTAATTATGGTTTAAGCGCTTGTGTAATCATTCCTGGATAATAGCCCATTACGTGATGCATGAAACGCTGCAGAATTACAGAATAGTTTAAGTAATAGTGAAAGACATGTGTATTTATGTACACAGAAATAGGCAGTCGAGATTACAATATGCAATAAAAGAACTTTAATTTAAGCAAATCAAACTGTTGGAAAAATCTTATTCGGTAGAAATTTTAAATCAAAAATATGTAGGATTTAGCCAATCTTTCATGTTACATGTTCGGTTTTATTTAAGGAACAAACCCAAAATAAATCAAAACATTGTAACATTTTATTGCGTCAATCTGTTAAAGCTGTGTTCCAGACTCTTACCGCAATAAGATTCCCCAGCCTTCTGGTTCCCACATGGATTATTATCCTTCTCAAACTCAAACTTGGTCATCCTCGAGTTGTCTATTTATCCTGGTTGTAACAAATTCAGTACTGCTTTGTACCCTCGAAATTATGATTCTTCGGATTTGTAAAGGCTCACTATGCTTCCAGATTTAAATATTGTAACATTTACATATGTACATATATTGTACTAGATACGATGTGGTGACATTTTATGTTTTAACGCAAGTGCCATTATTCTTACTGACCACTTTCAAACGGGATTTTTTTTCAACTAATGTTTATACGCACTGTGTTTAATGACAGCAAACAATGAACGCCATCGAGGAAAGTTAAGTATCAATAGAAAATCCAACTCCGTTATGGATAGTGCTTGCGAATTGTACTGCCAACCAACACGCCTGCTCCTAATTTCAACGAATTTTATGTCCTTCTCGAACAGGAGAGATCTGTTTCAACAAGTTTATGGTTTCAGCACGAATGCAGAATAACAATGCGTCCACATGTGAGAATACATACATTAATAATTATTATCTCCATGAATAATGTGCATGCGCTGCAAACAATTCATTTGAACTTGATTGTGTACATAAATAGGAGTAGTGATTTTCTAATTTAACCAATGTTCAGCAATGAGGTAACTGCTTGTTAATAAACAGTAATAAAAATCTGCAATGTTCATAATTTTGAAAAACTTTTTTATTAATGGTTGTAAAAAATGAAATGTATCAATTGTTTTCAATTCTCAAGAAAGACATTCTCATTAAATACTAAAGCTATTATGGTTCACATAATTTTCAAATAACCTCAACTTGGGGCATAGGAATTTTTTAGTTATATATGCGGTGATTTTTCATGGATTTTGATTTGATATTCTTTGATATTCGTTAGTTAACCATTTAATTATACAGACGTATGTACGTACTACGTAACGGTTTAGAATATCATTTAAGCGAATAATTTTTTTCGCAGAAATTTTCATGTACTTTGAGGGATATGGATGAGATGAGGGTCTGATCTGACATTAGCTGCTCGTTTAAGTTGATATTTTAGTTTTCACAGGATATGGTTCTACAATGGATTCGTACATATTTTAGTTTAATAGTGACGTGGGATTAAACAACAATATCATAACAAACAATTTAAATATAAAATATAATATGTACACAATTAAAAATTAGACTATCATTTTTTTCGTATTTGCCTGCACCATTTCATTTATAGCTGATGTTGCTAAATTGATACGATCTTTATGTAAAAATCACCAGATATGTCGCCGATATGGGCATGACATTTTCCATAGAACAAATTTGTGCCGTTACAAGGTATTTATTCCCATGGTGGAAGTAATAAGTTATTAATTAGTGATAATAATATGTAACAGAGACAACTATTTACATATGTAGGCCCTAAATCTATATTCTTGTATTTAGACGATGACTATGAATGATTATACACGTGTGGACTAATTTCAATGGCAGTTCCATTATACATACACATATATAAATCCTGATTCGATAGATAAAATAGTATTATTGTACATTGCACATTTACGTACTGCTTACTTGCTACTTCCAACAATGTGTGCATTTTCCTTCATTCGAACTGTACCGTAACAAGAATGACTACGTTCTGATTAGTGGAATTTGCTAAAAATTGTATAATTATATGTAGCGTGGGTCTAATTATTAAAAAAAAGTCTTAAACTGCGTATGCACAATGCATGCATGCGCGGAGTAGAGAATGACGCAATTATTTAGAAATAGTTCTCATGATTTCTCAGTCAATGCAACTATATACAATTTTTGTGACTACAACTGACACAATTCTACACTCATCAACGATCTACATACATAAATATGTACAATAATACGTACAACACACATACTTTTATACAAAACAGAGCTCATCATGTTATTGTGGCGTGGCCTATATATTTTGTAATTCTGTATTAATTGTTTGGATTCTCAGGGAAAATTTTGGGGGAACTTGAGTAGGCATGTAAATACGTATGAACAACAGAATTGTGAATAAGTGAGTCCTACCAATTGGGCCAATCGAGTATCATTAGGAAGCAAAATGGAGATACAAATGAAGACAATGTCTTCGTTTTCTGCTGCTGAACTTTCACAAAGTGTGTCTTTCGAGCACTTCTTATTTAACTAAAAGCCAGTGAGAACCATCACTTTGGAGGTTTTAGAAATGTTGCCTTGTTTGTGGAATTATTACTGCAAAGTGAATTATAATTCAAACGGAAATATGTATCTCTCAGGTCCGTTTTATAATTCATGCATCTTGTAAATATGCACACAACTGATTTTTAGAATATGGGTAGAATTCCAGAGAGATAATTCCAAAAAAACAGAATTTAATTGAAACAATCGCGTTTCGTGTTATGCAAAAATTTGAGAGATGAACCTTAATCGATAAACTCTCTGAAATAAATGAAATGCCATTATTCTCAACATTCTCATGAAATCTGGTATCCAGACATCAATAACAATTCAATTTGGTTCAGGTTTGGAAGCACTTGGGAGACGTTCATGTTAAAGTTGAATGTGAAAAAAGTTTGAAAGTGGAGAAATTTAGCAAACGACCCAAGAAGACCTAGCGCAAATAAGTAATAGATTCTTAAACTTATTACCAGCAATTGGAAGTTCTGTGTGTTGATTATGTTTGGGTTGGGCAATTTATCAGAGAACTGGAAAGTAATCAATTGCAGTTTCAGTCTACATACTTTAGCTTTCTTTGAGGTTGCCGTCTCTTTCTCTTCCGCGGAGCATCATTAGCTCATTTTAGCGAAGGATACTAATTTCCTTGCTCTGTGAAATACAAGTGGCATGGTGGTATCAAGTAACACTAATCACCTCCTCTTGTTTAATTCTCGATTAATTAGTGCATACCAACCTCCATTTTGATCAAGGGTCTACCCAACTACCACTGGCTGGCGTTATGTATATGATGACCTGTCGCCAACAGTGCATGCATACACGTTATATATTGTACGCTGGCCCATAAACATAAATACTCGACACAATTATTTCTAACTCTATGCTAAATTTACGGTGTACACAAAGTTATATAAAACGTCGTCGAGACGAAGGCAGACTGCTTTGGGTACATGAAGCAGTCTGATGAAAAAGTTTTTGTAATCTCTCCCTGCGGTGCCTCTTCCACACTTTCATCCCACGGTCGTTGTTACACTCAATCAAGATCTCGAACAATTTCACAAATCTCTTTTTAAACACTTTTCCCACAAATTACAGCACACCGAGTTCATATACGTACGTGTATGGATATAAGTACGTATATCCAGCCGAACCAACAAATGTGTCCCTTGGACTCGGCGGTTGTTACCTGAATTTTCTTCACTTTTCCCCTCGAGTCCTCTTGAGTTTTGATTGTTTCATATAAAATAATTTCTTTTGATGTTGTAAGGAGGACGTTGGCGAAAACTCGGTCATTATTTGTCTGTGGGTTAGTTTTCAGAAATTTCGTTGGTTTGAAGTTGTTCAGAAGAAACGGTGATGGTAATTGCGACGGTGGGGTTGAAAAGCATGGAAGAACGGCGATCATCCTTTCTTGAGGTATATGCGAAACTATGTTTATTAAATCCTAATTTTGCTGCTACTGAATCTGAATCATAGGACATAGTGAAGAAGTAATCCTTGAGATGACGACAAGGACTTGTCATAATAATCCAAAACCGTGACTTTGAAACGGTGCAAGTTGACTGGAATTATTTGTTCAGCAACAGCAACAAATGCGATGTTAGTTACACGAACCACTCTTCCTTGTTCTGACTTGGTGAGATTTCGCTGAAAGACAGAAATGAGTGAATTAAAATTTCATAATTTCAAGTTACGTAACCACTGTCCTTCTCATGAATTTAATGTCAAAGCTCCTCCATTCAAGTCAAATACAATCAAAAGTTTACCACTCGGGTGCAAGAAGAGTCTGTTTTTACGAATAATTATTATGTATTTCGAAATGTTGGAGACTTATAATCAGAAAGAAAGAGGAAAAGTAAGTAAGAAACTAAATATGGAACAGTCTGAAACTACGGAGAGTTCGTTCAGATAGTTGCATAGTTGGAGCCAAATGTTATCAAGGAAAAGAAGGGAAACAGTGAACTTGAGTTGTGGCAGATATGAATGAGCGTCTTAACGTTTTGTGAAAGTTGAACTGAAATCAGCGTCATTTTCTCCTTCTCTCCGCAGTTCAACTTTTATTCCACCGAGCTTTCCCCGTGGGGAGGAGAGCAAAGGAAATGTACGTATTACTTTTTCACTCGCGAATTAGTTTCGAGTTTGAAGAGGGAAAGATACTGAAAAGATTTGAGCTGTATAATTTATTTCCAGTCAAGACAAGAAAGCTCTGGCAGCCCTATCCAACGACGGCAAGCAGCTAACTATTCTCCAGCCCGGAAAGACAACTGGGTTCTTCCGGTGAGATAAGCAATAAAATACTTGATGCTTAATACTTAATGTGCACATATGCATTATTATTATGGAGAAGAAAATGCCCCTTACGTCGTGTGAGAACGTGGAGGATTTAGTTTCCCATATAGCATTGGCGAAGGCGCGTCCTGGTGTACCCTTGGACCTGTTTATGATTAAAATCAAATTTCAAAATTGATTCGGTAATTACTTTACGGCATCTTTACTCATGCTCTCGATTAAAGAAACATAATTACCGCAGGGAGATGCAAGTTTAAAGAGTTTCCCGTCTTCTTGCGAAGACTTTCCAACGTATTTTGCTGGTGATGGTGCAAGTTGTGGTGAAAACTTGGCTTGTCACTTAACGTTATCATAGTTCCGGCTCCATTCGAACCAGAAGCTTCACTGCGACTCTCTAATAAAATATAATTCACAGAATTTAAGTCCGTGAGTAAGAGTAAGCCGATTATTGCATCAAAGTGGTTCGTAAGATTGTGCAAGATTTACAATCCTTTCAACCACTGCGTCGTTGTGAAATATAAAGTAAGAAAAAATTATGAAAAAATGGATGGGACCACTTTATGGGCCAAAAACTATTATATTTTTACAAATTACTCTTAAAATTTGCGTATAAATAAATAAATTGATCTTACTTCCATGATTGTAAATGTCTGGAGACTGGGGAGGAGTTCTGCGTCGATGTCGAGTGCAATAACAGAAGCAAGTAATGACTATCACCATTGATATCACCATGAGCCCACCAAGGATTCCTGGAAAAATAAAATAATATACAAATTATCATTAATTCCAATGAGTACTTATAATATAACCGAACCTTAATTACAGAGAATTAGATTCGAAGGGGGCACAAAGGACGAAAATTTTAAAGCAGCCATGGATTGGCAAAGTCCTTATTGTGTGTTAGTCCATTACAAAAGACGTGAGTAATATCGATTAATTATCTAATTACATAGTAATGAATTGATGTTGTGCTTCATATATAGTCAATGGAGTCGGTGGTGAGACTGGCATGAAAATAACAATGCTTAATAAAAAACTGGGGCAAAAATCTAACTACATCACTGCCGTGTCTCCAGAAGTGGATGAAAAATTAAAGCACATTTCCATTCATGGGACAAATGTTTTTACCATGTTCAATGGTACGAAGACATGAAGAAGCATCCTTGGGTGAAATATACATTCGGACCCAGAACTACTTATTGTACTCCTAAGCCTGCACAATAATTCTTATTTTTATGATATTTGGTTACGCTATTCTGTTATGATATATTTCACCTTATCCCAGAAATATAATAATAAACAAAAAATTAATAACTAGACTTACCAATTTCTGCAGGGGAGTCGATGGAGCTTAACATGTCCAGAAAATTGCCTGCGATAAATGAGGTCACTTAATTGCTGGGTTGTTGACAGAATGATATCTCGTCATGAACACTGAGATTTTATAGCCCGTCATAAAATTTGGGCTTAATTGGAAATTTGTCAAGTAATTGGTAATGTATTATTAGCAATAAATACTTGCTAGGGTTGAATACGGCATGATTCGTTAACAATTTGCGCATAGGTATGTACCATTGTTCGATAGGACGGATTATTAGAAAATATTTTTTTGGTAATATGTGCTTAGTGTATAAGAGTGAAAAATGATTCTGTTTCACGAAAGCAGTTGGAACCTACAAAATGAATGGTGATTGACAGAAATGATGGCTGGTTGGTTGGCACGGTGTGAGGAAAGTTGGGGAGAAAATGGAATGTAAGCAATCCACGATTTTAATGACTAACTGGTTTCGGCTTTCCACCACATCATAGGTATGGACAAGCGGTAACCAATTTCATCCAGAATTCATCCCGTCTATTCTCTCAGTGTCGAGGTTCTGTGAGCTTGAGTTTCAGAAACAATCGTCCAAATAGCTACTAAAATTGTGCGAGGGATCCACACTCTCAGTCCACGTCTTGCTCACTTTTATTTTACACTACTCACTTCTCAGTCCATCGCTGATCCCAGGTTCTCCTGGTCATGAAGTAGAGTGAAAGTAGTGAAAGTAGTTGGTGGGGAGGTAGAGGAAATATCAGGAGCAGGATTAGGAACGAGGGAATGAGCATGCAAGTCATGCCGAACTTTTTTCTTCTTATTTTTTTTACACAGGTTCCTTAAAAGTCTTGGAATGAGTATCGATCATTGAGGTCGATTCTTTTAACTCGTGGGGTTACGCGGTGGTGTAGTTGTGAAAGTAGGAAAAGCGATAAACGAGAAATTGAGAGTAAGCCAAATCTTGATTGAGCACCAAATATTTTTCCTCAGATGGTGGAATTGTGGTAGAATTTGTGGTGGACTAAGCTCGACAGTTTCGATCGGTCTACACCTTGAAATTTACATTTTTATGGGCATACCATAAACAGGAAAGGACATTGGACCACTTTTCATGAGCAAATGTGTAGAACTGAGTTAAAAGTAAAAGTAAAAGTGCAGAATTGGATGAAAGGGTGTACATTTCCAGAAACTCCTAGGAGAAAGCGAGTGAGGGATGGAGAAAGCGAGAGTGAAATACAAAATTGAATATTCCAACTTTCTCTATAACCTCAACCTTTGTGACCTGGCGGCAGGATTTTGGCGTAAGAAAGGAATCCAGGATGATAGGTAGAGCATGAGGACAAGTCAGAAAAATGGGAATGCTGCGAGTTTTCTCGGAAATGTATAAGGATTATGGTTGACGTTATCTAAGGGACAAGAGAAATTGGAACTTACTCGTACAGTTGGCAGATCTCAGCTCGTCCGACCCGTCCAAACAGTTTGGAGTTTTATCGCACAAAATGCGATTGGTAATGCACATGTCGTTTCCGCACACGAACCCATCTCTACATCCTTGGCCTGAGTGACAGAAAAAATGTGTGTTATTCATCACAAGAGTCTCAGAACGGAAATGCATTCATATATTCATCCCAGCTGGGCTTTGCAACATCACAACAACATCATCACACGGAATAAAATATTGCAGACTGCCCACACGAAGACACAAAAATGTCTCTTCCTCTTCCGGTCCCTACTGCTTTCTCCGCATGGTTTTCCCATGTTACATTTACCATTCAACCTGGACAACGGATTCTGAATCCAGAGTCTGCTTGTCTCATCCGCATCCCTCGTACCAAGTGTATACAGAATATTTCTGCATGTATAATAGATTATTGCTTTTGTATGAAAACAGCAGAATTACTGCATTTTCATCACTTTTCCACTCACTCTCCTTCCACGTGTAGGCCAAAATATGTTGCTGCTTGTGCATTGGGAAAAGTGAAAGTGGAGCTGAATTCCAGACAACGATTGATACGTGCATGTTGCAAGTTTAACTCGGCAGGCAAACTGCCATTTAGTAGCTTAGCTGGATACATTACAATTTTTCTTAAATTTTGTTGGCTTCTCATTTATATCAAGTCCGTGTTGGTCGTGGGAAACCCGGAGCTTTCTATCAAACATAAAACTTTGCTCAATAAATCAAATTTCTCTTTGTGCTCTGTTCTCGCCCTGCATGCAGTTCTCCCTCCCTGAATGTTTTGTCGTTAGTTATGGAAAGAGTACTACTCGTTCTTTATTTGAGTTATGAAAGTTTCACACACCAGTTTTCTTCGGGTTTATCATATGCTTCATTTGCAGTCACGGGTGGAAAAATTATACTTTCTATTTTATGTAGAATTTTGTGCATATGTCGAATAGCAAAGATTATTATTATTCACAGGGACGTGTGCAACAAAATACAGTGTTTAATCTATGATTAACTATGTGTACATAAGAACGCGTCAGACTGTTAAAATTTCCCACCCTCGTGTTTTCTTCGTAAGAGAGAAAACAAGCACTAGAGATCTGGGTGAGGGCGCAGGTAATTTATTCCACTGTTAATGATCATAATGGGCAAAGAGTGAGCTGAGAAGTCTCATTTATTCTCTTCTGTTCTGCATCTATTTTCATTCAGCATTGAGAGCGATTATCTCCACGTGACATTAATGAATGACGCTCATCATTTATATCCGCCCTCTCAATCTCCCATTCCCTTGTAATCCTTTGATTTCTTTTCCCACCACCAGCTTATTATCAGTTCCTTTCATATGTTTAGCTCTAATGATAAACTAATAATGCATATTTATCAACCATTTAGCTAATCCGTTCAACTAATCACCCGAATTATATTTTTCACCTTAAACATGTATTATGCTATTTTTATAATAAAAGCAAATGATAATGGAGCCAAAAATGTAATAAAATTCGGCACGATTAGTTGAGAGTAAAACTAGTGAAATAACTCACTGGGGTCCTTGAATGCGGTAATGACCATTGTAAATTTGTTGGTTTCCGTCCCCCAGCTGTCGGCTGAAAGGTTAAAAAACAAAGCTTGAGACTAGCGATGACAGTGACACACTCAATGATAATTGGAGTAAAGGCTACACCCTGTAGAAGCCTCCAATGATAAGGTTGTTGTGTAAGTGGTCTATTTCAAGACAAGTGCATTTAATATCAAAGAGTGAGTTTTTATGACTGCTCATAAATTCATGGCGTCCTCGATTGTAATTACCGCTTGGTTTGAGTGCTTTCACTTTTAAATTAAAACCTGACCTGCACCTTATCATTGAAGTCTTGCTTATTGATATATCTCACGATACTCTTACCTGTAAACTTTAGTGTAACATAATGACCTGTAAAATAATTCAACAAAATTTCCAAATTACACAGTCAAATAGAAATTCTGTAAATGGACATATGCAAATAGCCATCCGTACAACATCAGGAATTAGCTTAAATTGGATTCGTACGTATGTACACGAATTTTGGTGTCATATGACTGAATAGAACAAATATATAAAGAAAGCAACTTAGTCACTGTTATTATTTCAATTTGACGACAAGTTTAGCTGATTTCTCATGATTGTACATATTATTATTTTGTTTTGCATACGCCCGTTGGGTTGAAACTTATCTTGTTTTTATGGGCACGATGCTATCAGGACCGAGGAAACGGCAGGAAAGCTCCGCCTGGAAAGTAAAAGACTTGTGAACAAAAAGTATTATTTATGAAATGGAATGTAACATTCAATTTGTTTCAACTTTATTTAACCCATTCAAATTCTAGAAAATCACCAACAACGTTGGAGGACTGCTGAGGAGTGGAGTGAAGTGGGGTTCACTGTTGGTTGGATGGATGAGTTTGGTGAATGTTGGTATAGAATATTTGAATCTAAAACAATATCTAGACTCGAAACTCCTCTTTTGTCTTCCACGTCTGCTGCACGGCAGTGTCTGACTCTGACAGTTGAATGGAATGGACATTCAAATTGAAAATGATGGATCGATTCGAAAGTGAATTTCAAGATGAGAAGATTAAACTGTAGACAGTGGATTTATCGAAATCATTTATCAATTCATTGCTTTCTCCCTTTGTTTCTCCTCTGCACTACGTCATTACATCATTGCGGTCAAATTTTAAATCTCGCGATTTTAAACTACCACATACATGCATACATTCACCTGCTTATTTGGTGCACTGTAGTGGACCGACGTTTTTGGCATTAATTAAATATGTATGAGCTGCGCTGCAAAAGTTCAGAAACCCTCGTTTCTCATGAATATTTTCAAAGTATTGCTAGATTAGGGAGTTCAAAAAGCCTCAGTTTATTGTCCAATTACCATATTATTCATTTCTCCGTGGTAAGTATATTTAATAGTAGAAATTCACGCATCACGTCGTTTAATTTTCATTAGAGTTGACATGCAATCCTGAGATACATATTCTCAAGTGTTACAATGATCCATTGACTTTCTTCGGGCCAAAGTGCTTACATTTACCGTTAAAACAGTTCAGCACGAACCGGTGGTATTAATTTAGCATGAAAAACACTCACCCGTGTTGCACCAATGGCATTCGCACTGTCGTAAATATGAAGACGGTCTGCAAATTAAATAGTGAAGGGTTAGTTTTCCCAATAAGTAGTCCGCAATAAGATGGGCTTTTATGTGAAACGCAAGAAATAGCCAGTGCATATATTAGTTAATAAACGTATAAATAAGAAATGACCAACCTCCACACTCCATGTTGAACTCGGTAAATCGGATGAGAAATCTTTGGCTGACATATTCGGCACTAAACGTTATAACGCAATCTAGATTTTTGTCATTCAGACTCTGAATTACAGCTCCATCAATCTTTCGGTGCATTTGTGTTGGGTAGTGTCCTTTGCACAGAGTTGCCAATTCAACTGAAAAATAAAAGTGAGACATGTGTCATTCAACTTCTTCCATGCATTTTAGCTTAGGTCACTCAACAGTCTTTACGCCTTAATTAACATTGTAATTGCTGAGTGAATAATTTTGTAGTGGTACATAGTCAAGTGCTAAATAAGCAAGTGGATTTGAGAGGTTGCTCGAAGTAGTCAAACTAAAAGGTGGGCGGAGAATTCGATGAAATCAAAAATCAAAACATACTAAAGTTTCAAGTGGAGCACTCAGAAAGAGTTTGTTCTTTTTACTCCTGTCTGATATGCACACATCAACGTGGTCTTGTCACTGGAAAGGAGCTAAAACTAACAGAAAGTGCTTAGTGAACAATTCTTTGATGTGACATGTAAGCTCCCGAGCGGAAGTTATCAAGGTCGGTTAGCGGATACATACGGAGGAAGATTTGGTGAGTGAAAGGCACAGCGCTCTTAAGCGAGTTGGATGCACAAATTAAAGCCTTGTGAAAGAGCTTTTGCTTGCTCTCTCCAAAATCCTTCCTACCCGGCGTGTGGACGGATGGATGGGCAACTGTGCTTTTGTCTTCCCAACTTGTGAACATTTTAACATGGACATGGTTTCAAGAGGAAGCTTTTAAGGCTTTCAAGACGTGTACTTGTTGGGAATACAGTCCGCCGGGCCGTCGGTTGGCTGGATGGGAAGTAAGTGTTGGTCGGATGCAATGTCTTCTCGCATGTCTCGTGTTGCTCCCACTGATGCATAACAAAACTATATACTTGAGGATGGGAGTGGACAGGAAATCGTTATGGAAAAGCAGCAATGACTTGGCATGACGGGTTTTTGTTTACGACACCCCTTCGCCCAGTCAGCAACCCTTTCTCCATGCATACATTCAACATAGGCACAACTGGATCTCGTACTTTTCGAAACTGCTGTTGATTATTTCCGTGCTGCTGGTAGCCACACGACGGCATCCAAAGATATACAAGAAAAGATATATGTACGCGAGGAGGAGAAGCCAGTAGAACTGAAATGAAGTTGGTGTGTTCCTTCATGCATCACCGTACAATTAAAGTTTATGCATAGAATTTGTGGAAAATAATCCTCAAGCGGATACTTTCTCTGTGAGAACGATGACAAAGTTATCTTGTAATGGAAACACGGACGAATTTGAAATATCACTGAATAATACGTGTACATGTAGTATGCTTGCTGTTTTATTCAGTTTTATGGACTGGAAGCAATTTGTGTATTTGTTATACATCATTTTAAAATGCGTATGTAAGCAAATCAGCTACAAAATTTTCACAACTCTGTTTCAGTTTAAATAAATCGGGAATTTCTCTTGTATTCTTGGTGAAAGTTCAAGTGGTGAAAAATAACTGTACCCTCGTCTGATTTTCTGGTGGAGATAAAATCATATCTTCATACTACACCTGAATACTTTAGTTCTTACGTAAGCCACAGACCACAAAATATGCTTTTACTTAAGCACAGCAGAGCAAAATCTCTTAAGATTGCTTTCACGGTCTAACAACTACCATCAAAACAGATTTGCTTCTACACATCATCATAAAATGGCGAACCAGTCTACGGAACAAAGATAATCCGTCTTACACAACTAACAGCAAGTATATGCGTACTGTTATATGACGTCAGTTGAAAAATTCCAACATTTCCCATCAAATAATTCCTCAACTGTATATTCCTTCCTCTCGCTGCTGAATAATGTTGGTCGAGACACGACGCATAAAATGACGCCAAAGAGTCCCAACAGAGCTGCTTAAAACTCATTCAGTGATTAACTCTCGAGCATAAACTAAGCATGCACGTAGCGACGTTTGTAGCGACAAGGATAATAAGTCTGTCGTAATCAGAATTGATTAGAGAGAAACCGTGCTTTCTCCACGAAAGAATGGGCAGTTAGCTCCACTGTTTCCGAAATGATAAGAGATGTACGAGTATGCAAAACACTTCAACGTCTAGATAAATAGTGAAACACTGCAAACACATAATGAAGTCTCTTCCCCATTATTTATATGCATGTATCGCGCTGAGACGCTCCTGCTGCACGTTGGTGATATCCACCCACTCCGAGTCAAATACGTACTTCTTAGCCAGTGACATTTATAGCAAAAGCTCGCTCCCTCGTTCCTCCGTGACATTATGCGTTTAGACATGGACGAAGAATGCTTCCTTTGCTGTGGTTGTTGCGGCAGAGGCTAAACACAGCCGAGCAAAACTTTCACCAAAGTAGGCATACATTTATTTCACGAAACAATATACGTACGTACGTACGACTTTCTCAAAACAGTCTGAAAATATCAACCTTGCAACACTAGCTGGTACGTACAAGGGACAAAAGCTATGAGCGGGGTTGAGACCACAGTGAGAGTAAATCTGGATGAGGGAGAAGGGGGTGTCAGCGTGTTTGGCATTAAAGCAGTATGAGAGAAGTGCGAGATAATTTGAGGGAAGTAATTTAACTTACAAATTTCCGTCCCCCCTGTCTGCACCTCGACATTCCCGGAGACAAGTGTGGAGCAAATAAACAGGTAGTAGAATGTTGTCGAGAAGAAAATAGCGAGGGTGGCGGAAGACACCATCGCGTTCTCCGACGACGACGACTTGCACTTGGAACTGTCTCGTTCCGTGGTCGTTTTTATGTTTGGTGTAATTTACAAGTATTTATTGCTGCATTCATAAACAAACGAGACATGCTGGCTTCACAACTGGTCTAGATCCTCGTCACTGGCAAAGTGTGAAGTGAACATATTTCAGAGCATGACCAGCTGAAGAGTATAAATGGGAGGGAAGAACGGTGCTTCCCTTCCGTATTTGTTGTGGTGTGACGGCAGTTGAGTTGCCTCACTACGGTCACAAAGGAAAAAAAAGTCACCACTTCACGTGGAGTTTCTGGATGGGTGCCACCATCCAATGGTGCTAGCGTACGTGTGCTACTGTTGGAAAGCTCATGGATTAGTTTATGGGAGCTACATGATGAGGATTATTACCGTGCAGTAAATGCACACCAGTACCAGTCACCTTCACATTAGTCACTCTCACTCGACTCAATTTGACTTGATTTCATTATCATCGAAGCGTCAATGGTGTATGGAGGCTGAAGGGTTTATGATGATTACTTTAGGAGAAAGTCAAGTATTTTCTTATTCTCGTTGGAGGTGTTCCCATTTTTCTTCCCTTGCATTCCACGCCTCCAACTGTCAACCACGAGCAGTGTTACATTTCCTCCGACTGACTCAATCAGCAGTCAGTTGCAAACAGTTTGTTGGCAATAACTTGCCATCCGAACTTCAGAGTGGTACATGCGTCACGTCGACTCAGCGTCAATTCAAGTGGTTGCTTGGTGACGAGATTTGGCAAAGAATCCAGCAGAATAAACCATACTCGATATTTCACTTGCTGATAAAGGTCTTATTTATTTGTTGTACCCGTTGACAGCAAAATGCCCCGAAAGGATAACTCCTTTTCTCTCTCTCTGACAATCACAGGAACCAAATCCTACAGAAATGACGAGTAAGTTTGCGTACAGTAAACAAACGAGAACGTACTTATTGATGAAAATCCAAGTCCTGATTTCTCCGTGACTATTTGTTGAACCAAGACAAGCCACCATCCAAATTATTTTTGATGATGTGAGATTAAGACACAAGCTTACGTTTAGTAGAGTAGCAACATGTACTCATGTTGACGAAAGGTAATCTCCACCAAGCACAGAGACCCTCAATCTCTGGCAGACAACTGGAGCGATATAAGTATAAAAGTAAGTAACGCGTGTGCCTGGAAGAATCTGATTGTTGTTATGTTACGGACAGAAGAATGCAATGCCGGGCCGCCCACGAAGAAAGAAACGGAGAGAGAGAGAGGAAGAGGGGAAAGAAGTCGAGTCGACTGCTATCGGGAGGATACTGGCTGCCTGGCAGCCTGTCCGTGGGTTTGCTATGTTACTGGGCTGGATGGAGTTCGTATTTGGTGGTGGAACTCTGCCCGTTATTGCCTCAGCAGCGGACAGGGAGAAAGCGGTACGTAAATATGGGAAGCGAGGAGCAGGGGAAAGGAATACGGAGAGAGTTAAGGAAACCAGAGCAGAATTCGTAGCCAACCCGGAATTTGGTGAATGTGCCACACTCATGACGACGGTGGAAGCGGATCCATTCTCTCTGTCGAGGAACACACCGTCTCGTAATATGTGTGTCTATTCTCTCCTGCGAGTACGAATCAACTGGAACGGAGATCCCCCATTCTAGATATTTAAAAGTTAGGATGGCAACTGTGTTAATAGCTGCGACCTTCGCTGTTATGGAATCATTTGTAAAATGGGATGGAAATATAATTTTATTAAACAGCCTACCAACACTAGAAAGCAGAGTGACGAAAAAGTTTAATATTCAGAAAGTTGTATGAATCTTACAAGTGTGGAAAACGGATATCTGATACAGAGAGGCAACGCCATAAGCTATGTAATGGATTCATACAGAAATACTTGGAGGAAAAAAGTGAAACCATGGGCAACATTTTGTAAACTGGTTTTCCTACTTGACTAGCACGGGCTTAATGCATCCCGTCGTATACAAGGGAAAAGGGGATCGACGAGTTAGAATTCGCTCGTGAAGAGGGAAAGAACCCGAGTTTTCCGTCAAGTTTGGAAATCGGTATGCAGCTGCGTCAAGGTTTAGGATCGGCCTTATCGACCCGCCGCGCAAACCGTCCCAATGAAATGATATAACTCGTAAATTGTGACAGCATTGGATATTGACAAGGAGAGTCACTCTCGGTTTACTATTCGTCTATGTCTAATAGCCCCACAAATGCAGCAGCACGACGACCGTGGTGGCATTTATCCAATGTTTCAGTCATTCTTCTCCTCCAATATCATACATTTATGCTTGCTATGCAAAGAGCGTTCACCGTCCACGTCCTCCGGACGCTACTTTCCCTTAAACCCTCGCAACTTTATCCACGAGGCTTGACTTGAGAAAGCTTCAGCCTTTTCTACTTTCTCTTAGCATGCAGTAGCCAAACTGAATCAGAAACTTTATAAAACGGGTTCACTCCATTTCAAACAATCGCCTAATCCCATGTTCGGCGTTAGTATTAGGTATGCATAAAACTGGCTTTTAGTAAGAATATTTACTGCTGGAAATTATAGTAGAGCGTATGTATTTACATTATGCTATACGGGTTGTTGTACGTGATTTGCATTGAACACGTAAATGCATTTATTCCGTACCTATGTCGCTGCTGGCATATTAGGGAGTGAAAGTGGTATGTGTAACTTTCCCTGTATTGCACTGCGTATGTGTGGGTGCAAAATAGGTAGCGCATAACGGGGAACTTTGAGCAAACACAATTTACACAATGGATTGGTATGATAGCGTGCTTGTACTATCAGTATTTTTATTACAACTATATGCGCGCCGGTAAATAATATAGAAAAATAGGGACAAAATGTCTTTTGCTAGAAATACTCGAGTTTAATCTTCATGCACGACTTCCTCCTCCATCACATGGAGTTAAAAGTTGAGGACTGCCTATTCTCCAACCACACAGTCATCCAAGAGCTGCCTCCTCGTTCATGAAAAGCAATTTATGAACTCCACTCCTTGTTTTAGGCGACTTGGGCATTGTAATTTTAGTCTATCCAATCCTGTGATTTGTAGAATTGGTAGAAAAACACACACCACACGGCAATCATGAGAAGCATGCAAATATTAAAAACAAAAAAGAAAAGAAAATGGTTTATTCACGAATAACTTTAGATAAGGTTGGATAAGGTAATTATTGTGTCTCATTCATTTTTTCGACCGCAGGAAAGTAAACGCTGATAAATACGTACATACATACGTAGAATATTTGGATACATACGTGGTAAATTTTTTATACGTGTTTGCAAGCAATGCAAATACGAGAACCCACAGTTCTCTCTGGTGGATAATCACGGCAGATAACACATAATCACTAACAATTCCACCGTTTTAGGAAAAGTAAATTGCTGCTTTTAGTACTGTTTGCTACTTTCGGAAGTGATCATAAAAATTGTTTGTAGAGATTGGATGAACTCGTCAACTTAAAGCTCCGTCTTGTTAGGGTCCAAGCACTTTAATATTTGGTAATAAGGGGAAGGATTGAGCAGGATATTTGTTGAGACCTTAAGAAAAGTAAAACAATAACAATAAGGAACAAACATCTTTGTGAGCTGTGGACGACTGGAAACAAAAGTCATTTAGAACACAATTGTGAGCGGCAGGCTGTTTCTATAAAGGAAGCATGCACGAGGTGAAAGGCTTTGTTGTACAAAAAAATACTTCTTTCGCAGTAGTATCGCAATTTTGTTTGTGTCGGTTTTTCCTATGTATCAGCTTATATGCCAAGATTTGGATTCACGAACAAAGAGAAAGCCGAGCCAAACTGCACATCATTAAAAACATACTGCGAGGACTTTCAGAGCCATACTTTACTTGATAGTAGACGACGACGAATGCAATACAGATCAGATTTTTAAAAGGAGTAAAAAGACGGCTGGAATGATACTACATTTAATTCTGCTGGTTTCGTTGGACATGAGTAGCTTGCATGTAGGGATATTCCTTTTTTGGGATTTTGGGTTATCTCCGACTTCATTTAATGATCTTCACCATGACAAAATAATACTCTCGAACGGGAGAATATTGAAATCACAATCTGGCAGCAAAACTTTATGTGCACTCCATCTGCTTCCATGCAGCGTATTTGAAATTCGCCACCTTACGCTTATTAGAATAAGTACGAGTTAATTTCACTCAACACGTGATAAAATGTATTATTATTTAAACATTTGCAAGTTTTAAACCATTCAATTAGAACTTTTTTGTCGTATTTCATAAAGGTTTCAAACCACACGCTTAATATGGCTTCTTATGTGAGTGAAGATTCGCTAATAAATATAATGTTGACTACATAAAGTGTGGATTCAGTGATATGATTCACCTCAATGAGTTTCCATACGTCTAATAACTTGTATGTATGTACATGTATGCATATACGGCAGGCAAGTGTGTGGTGCGTGAGGTGTATTCCAGACTTCATGGAAACTTGCCCCATCAGCCCCAAAGAATATTGTGCTTAAATGTTAAAAGAACAAGTTTTTGTTGTTGACCTTCAACTTGAACGCGATTAGGTGTGCTTGTGTTGTAAGTTTGAACCTCACTTGAAATTGTATTGCAAAATATTTTCCATTCTTACATTTTCTCCTTAAGCATGCCAATTCTCATTCACCACATTGTGTCCGCTTGCCGGGTCAATGGCTTTGTTTGGTGCCTCTTCTCTCAGCTCTTTTTCACTTGTGAATCCCAATTCTTGTTGGAGCAGTCAAAATTCGCAGGCAAGTCCAGATACAGAGTTTCAGACATTGAATCTGACTGAGAGTGAACGTGAAGTTTTCGAATATTAAATTTTTCTAGAAATCTGTAAATACCACAAGAGCTCGAATTCATATTTGGAATTGAGGTTGACACTGGAGTAGTAATATTATAAAAAAATACGGTTATTTTTATCTGCATCTTGCCAACTCGGACTTATTGGACTTTTCATCACGACGTGAAGTTAGAGATTGTGGGTGGTGGTAGCAGTTTCCTTCTCCCACTACTTCCGAGCGAATAAAGGGACAGATGCGAGTGACTGGTATTGAAGTGAAGTGTCAGCCAGAAGTTGGTTGTTCAAGAGCCCACCAAACCGGGCGTTGCTTTTGTGAATTGGAAGAGTAAATTGGTGATTGTGGGAAGAAAAATTGTTTCTGGTCAAAAGAGCAGCAGAAGCAAAGGAATAAGAAGGCCCCTGAAAAATGTGGGTCCAAACTCTAGTTAAGCGTTATGTCCCCTACATCCTCATCTTGTGCAACATTCTCATAGTGAGAACAGATGCGACTGTCATTCAAACAAAAATCGGCAAGATTCGTGGTTTAGAGGAAACCACAAGTTCACAACAGATCAAATACTATGCATTCAAAGGAATCAGATATGCTCAAGCCCCCACGGGGTCACTGAGATTTAAGGTGACGCATCCCTATCTAAATTACATATAGATCGAGGCAAATCTGTAAACATAACTTTGTAGAAATTATAAATAATCCATTAATTTAATTACGCCTGTTAAGAAATATATTACTGAATGCAAATAAAAATACAAATTAATTACTAGGAACCAGTACCGATCCCAGCATGGGAAGGAATAATGGATGCAACCTTGGACGGTCAACCCTGTCCCCAACTTCACATTGGAACCAACAGCGTTATTGGGAAAGAGGATTGCTTGTCCCTTAATGTCTACTCACCTGATGTAAGCAATGGCATTTCGTGCTCGAATAGTTCACGGCATCGAGTAGAATAAGAAAAGTATTGGTCATTATGGAATAAATGATCGCAGGATATTTTCGCGCGAAAATCACGTGCCCACTTGATTACATTGGGAGCGGGGTGAAATTCAATTTAAACCTGCGATCAGTTATTCCTTACTGTCCAATAGCAAGCAAACGTCGACATGACAACGGACCAGTGAGTCTGAAATGAGTTTTTTTCGACGCTGGGCACTCCTCACACCTTCTTACCCACGCTCCGGTAAACTTTGGTGAAAGCTGAATCAAAAATTTGAAATTTGATCCAAGAAAATGGATGACAGGGAGAAATTGTCCGAATGTTGTTTGGTTTTGACTAGTGCATTCCAAGGAGAATACGTCGAGGCGGTTGTGTAACGTCCAACCAGAGAGAGAGAGCCGGACTTTGCACTGCATTGGCATTCGCTGACAGGAAGCATGAGAGAAAAGGGAGGACGAGAGAAGGAACAGGTTTGAGAGCTAAATGGTGGTGGAATTCTCTCTGGAAAAGATTAGATGCCTTCATCCCACATTCATGGTCATACGGTCATTGGAAAAAGTTTTCCCATAATCTAAAAGGAAATGGAATAAAACGAGCTCCAACTTTCTCCACTACGGACTTTAACCAAAGTATCTGACTTTTAAAGCCATTCAGATATTCCCCTCGTGGACACTCTTCAACATTGTAGGAGGCCTCTTGGCTCCTCATGTCGTGCAGATAACTGGTGATTTCGTTTAATGGACATTGAACAAATTCATTCAACAACTTGCACAGTTCAAAATTTTCAGTCAGTTAAACTTATGATAACGTGCAATTTAAACCACTAAACTTATGACGATGAACCAACGGATTTATAATCAGAGAAGGTCGGGCACAAGATTTATGTTTATTGTAAAATGGCGAAGGACGCACTGACTTTCATCTTATACAAAAGTACAGTTTGAACTAATACTGTGGGAATGGATAAGAAATGCTAATGATGGAAATGGCTCAATTGCTGTATCTTATTTTTATAATTAGAGGACATCTTGTTCATCCTTTGAAGTTCACGTATTTAGAATTCTATTGGCTAATCTTCTCTGGATGCATAGGAAATTCTGGTTCTACTAATATTATTACTACATGGCGTATTGAGAGTAAGATGTAAAGTTGGGAGAAAGTAAACGTAATATGTATGTACGTATCTCCTTAAAACTTGCATAGACGTGCATATTACTTTCAAGAAGATCCCAACGTGCTCTGTTAGAGATGGATTTTCCTTGAAGCAATATTCAAGTTCGGAGGAGTTTGTTATATTCGACGTTCCTATGAAAAATTCTTTACGGAGAGCAGCTCGGAGTCGTAGACTGTTTTGCATAAATTAAACATATATGTTTAGTGGCAAGCAGAATATAAATTTTATGAATGTGGAAAATATTTCAACATTTGATAGTCATACTGCTTTCCAGTTCCCACTCATGTCAAATAGTATGCATCTTGAGGATTTTGAGAGCGAATTTATACCACGACGTATTCTGGCTGCAAATGAACATCAGAACATCTCTGGGCTACATTTGTACAAATGTCAGTTTGGATGTACGTGATGCATTTTTCAACACTTGCATATATCACTTTTAAGGCCCTTAATGTGATTAGTTTTGCAAACTTGTTCATCTTTTTGCAATTTGATACGTGATGTGTATGCATGTGAGCAGTATTAAATAATTAATTAATGCAATTCAGAGAGTATGAAAATGATCGCAAATGATTGCATGCGTTGCATTCGCCACGATGGCGACGAGTGATAAGTTATCATGCCAAAATTGATAATAATTCTCTTTTAAATGAAGGTGGACAAATTGAAGCCTGTTTTGGTTTTCATCCACGGAGGTGGCTTCACAACTGGATCGTCGTCATCACTCATGTATGGTCCAGATTACCTGATGGATGAAGATGTGGTGGTCGTCAGTTTCAACTATCGCCTCTCTGTTTTTGGTAAAACTAAATAAATTGTCATAACACTTGTAATCTAAAACTAAAATAGTTAGTTAGCTAGTTAGTAACTTTCGCTTCAGGGAAAGTCACAGTTGAGTGAAAGTTATAAACATGCTTTGTTTTACTGCGTGCATAATCAAACTGTTTTTGTAATTCTTATCCGCGTAGATAATGCTGCTCGTTTCTCGTCCACTTTTTACATGTTATCTCGCTTTCTTTCACAATTACTTGCTCTGCCCGAGTGACACTAAACTCACTTCACGATACTACCCTGCTGGCTGGAGAAGTTAATGTAATGTCAAAGTTCCATACGTGAGATATATGGCTTAAGGTAAAATTAGACGAAAGTTGAGGACTCCCTCTTGTCATCTAACACACTCTGATTCCACTTTAATTTATCTCAAATTACGTATTTCTTGGTTTATTTTTACACACCACGTAACCCATTTTTTCGCAAAAAAACAACATTTTGTGTAACAAAATAAATGCAACAAAAAAGCCTTGATATTTGATAAAGAATAATGGGAAGAAAGCAAAAGAATTGTCCGAGTGTTTGTGGACGTATAACTTTTTGTATGAAGACTTGGAGGAAAAATAAAAGATTACTTTCACCCTCATTTTTCGTGTCCAAGTCAAAACCCGGTGGCGGTGTAATGCGGAATTTGGTCCGTGTGTGTGGTGGTTCTGTTTCTGTTTGTAAATAGAAATGTTGTGGTCTATCTGTGTTGCTTATCCGTACAAGACAAATAACACGTTTCTCTTTCTCCTTCCTTTTTATTATTATGTTTCCTTGCCTTCAGAAGCGTTGCAGTGCGGTCGTGGCTTAAATTTTTTATGCTACGCTTCATGTGTGGTATTTCTTGCTTAGTTGAACTGCACAGCGTTTACTTAATCATCAAATTATTATTTTACTTGCCTTTATATTTTGCTTGGCTTGACGATTTTTGCAAGATATTTAATACATACGTTTGCTATTTTCATTATTTCTCAACATTTAATTTTCCTTGCCAGTCTGCATTATTTTTATTGAAAGATAAAAATTATACTGATTAGGAATTTAAATGCAAGAATTTTCTAGATAGAATATTAAGACATTTACTTATATATCTATGTACTGATTCGAGATGCATTGTGATGGTATTTACTGTAGTATACACGTTATTTCAAATGTTCACTTGTGTATGTTGCCTAATTATACGGGTAGATTATGAATATTCACCGTCTTTAGTTGGAGCAATGTGTTACATAATGGTTACGGCAGAGATGGCTCAACTGGTGTGTTGTAGTCCAAGAAGGAATGGCTAAAGTGAAAGTTACGTAACTTTCACTCTGGCCACAAGTAGGTACCAACTTGCGTTCATGGGATACTTTCACCACAGTTGCCTTGACGTGGTTGGTTGTTGTTGCTAAAGGTCTTAAGACTAGTTAAGAGCCTGACCAGTGATCTGCGACGTTTTGCTGGTTTTCTTTGCTACCTTCTTTTGGCCTTGCTTGGCTGATGTGGCATAACGTTAGTTGGTAGTTCAATTTTGTGAGATGAGGACAATTTGTTTGATATGCAATTTCCATTCTAATTAGGTTTTCTAAGCACGGAGAGCAAGGAGAGCACGGGGAACTACGGACTGTTTGATCAAATTCTGGCCTTGGAGTGGGTGAAGCGTCATGTAGCGTCATTTGGTGGTGATCCTGAGAAAATTACTCTGTTGGGCGAAGGTGGGTAAGAAGGAAAGCTTTCTTGTTTTTGTAATGAAAACAAAGATTGGGCAATTTTGGGCTGGGAGCGACGAACTCTCACACAAAAGGTTCATCTCTGTCACAAACTGGCGAGAGCAAGAAGTTTGCTTTCATTGTAAATTATCTCTTATTTGATTTTAATTGCAATTAAGCAAAAGCGCTCTCTCTCCACGACAATGATTAATTTTAGGTGCGGGTGCGGCCTCAGCCACCTTGCTAACATTGACACCCACTGCTAAGGGTAAGTTACATGGTTTGATATGCATATGTACATGTGTACGTAGATACTTCTATCTATGTGGAATGCAAATAGCTTTCCCATACGACTTCTTATTTCTCATATATTATTCACAAGTCTAAAACTTTACTTTCCCCCTTTATCAATGCCTTGAGGTTACTGAGTGACGTTAAATAAAACGAGTAATGTTTTCCAGGGCTGTTTAGAAACGTGATAGCAATTGGTGGGACTCCACTCAATAGCCAATATTTCCAATCGAACCCTGTTGAGTCTGCTCGAGAGGTGAGTTTGTCTATACTTGGCCTATGTACATTACATATACGTTCATAGTTTGTATCACTTCCCAACTTATGAAAATAATTAGGTTAAGTAAAATTAACTTTGGCTTAGACTTGTACATACTTATTCGATCAAATGCATTGTCATTCTAACCAATATTACAAATTAAATTAAGAAAACTTTGATGGTAAGTTTCGCAAATCGATTAGTATAAATTACGGGTTGATTTTTGGGGTATGATGCCAATTATTCCAGGTAAACTTTAGTTGATCTTATCTGTGGGTTTATTTTTGTAGCTTGTGTCAAGATTTGACTGCACATACGAAGATTTTGGGGAATTGGTGGAGTGCTTGCGAAAACAGGACGCAGAGAAGTTGGTGAAAGAAGTGAATAACATGTTTGTAAGTCACCTTTTAATATTTACGATAATTCTAGTTAAATTTGTAGCTTTTGATCAAATTGCTATCACTTTACAGTTTGACATATATGTAAATATGTATCAGTATGTGTCAGAATTATTAAATCTGATGGTATAAATATTTTGACGAGGTGGTAACGTGACAGAGCACATGTCACCACCATTGCTTAACCCAGCAACTAAAAGACCCTCCCGTGTGTAACATTTTTGATTCACTAAATTTTAGCGACTAAAATGTACAAATAGGACACAATAAAGGACTTAAAAGTGAGGGACAAGTGAAATGTTGACAAATGTAACACACCGAATTGCTTTCGGCTGTGAATCTCAATAAGTCCTTGGTGGCGACTTATTTTAGGTTATTCAGGAGGATAACACCACCATGAATGGAACATTGAGCGAGAATAAACTTTAAGAGTTGACGCTACCATTGCGAGTGTTGTGTCCCATGAATTTCATGGGATAACGATACAGTGGAGCATTATAACGCACTAAATCATGGAATTAGATACTTTCCAGGGTTATGGAAATTTATGCTAATTTTGGTTCATTCTCATTCCGTCCATGTCCTATCTATATATTCGCATATCGCATCACTCACTTATCCAGCGCATGCAGCTCCTCCACTCGACCAATAGACAGAAGAAGATCCGAAAGGGACAGCCAAAGTGAAGAGAAAGTAGTGCGGCAGTGGTGTGAGGATGGAGATTAAGAATCCGAGATATTGATCAGGCAGACAGGATGAAGGAAAGTGATGGTCGGAGTACTGATATTGAAATCCGACTTGGACATTTACAAACCCAGGAGGAGGAGGCCAGACAGGATTGAGATGTATAAAATACTACCAGAGTCAAGTTTGAATTAAAGTTTTAAGCTTCATTGGTAAATTTGGCAGGCAACACAGCAACCAAACCATTATTGATGTCCACATAACAAACGAACATTTCATAAGTGCTTCTCCCATGGTGAATGGGCCGTTTTGTATGTATTACCAATAATGGGAGAGAGAGTGGAGGATCACGATTCGTCGAATATTGCAAATTCTTTGGGAGGAGAGCAAACCAAAGCAATAATATATGATGGTTGCGGTGGTTGTGATGGGGTGTGTGTGGGCATGAAAAGTAAACTCCAAGATTTCCTATTGAATAGAATTGCTTTGTGAGATTATTGGAGTGAAAATAAATTCGTTCAGAGTCATGGACCGGGATAGATATGGTTTATGTGTATCGTTCTGACAGTCGGATGAGTTATGGCGGAGTGAAACAGGCAGCACGGTTTTAGCTAAGCCAGGTACATTCATCCTTCGCCAATGGTGAATGAATCACCTCCTCCTCCTACGAGATAAATTCTCTTTAAATTGCGCTGAAATCTCTGCAGAGAACTTCATATTTAACCGATTTTTTCCAGCTAAAGAACAAATTTCACATACTTCATTTTTTTATAGATAGAAATAGAAAAAAGAGTATGTACGGAATGGAAGAGCAAAACTTTGAGAGAGTTGTGTCAAGTATTCAGCACATGTTTTAGGGAAATTTGCAAGCGAGATTGTGTAGTCACTAACAGGCAATAGAAAGAAAGCAAATCCAGCATGACACAACTGCAGGTTGGTTTCCATTGCAGCTTTCCTTCACACAATGCGACATGGGATTAGAGAATTTTTTAGAAGTTTGTCTACTTTGCCATGTGCCACTACGGAAATAGTGAGACGTTGTCGAGAGCGACTCACTTTTTCTGGAAGGGCTGGATGAGACACTGAAAGACAGATTTCCATTTCTTACTTTAGATTTTGAATTACTGACAAAACTTTTCAACGAATAAATTTTACAATCGTCTTTCATCCACTGCATACATTTGTAGATTGAGCCTCTAGAGATACTCACAACAGCTAAATTAGAGCTAACGTAACCAAGATGGAGTACAAAACAGACAGACCTTGATAAATGCGATTTAAATTGTTTTGAAAAGCAACTAAAGGAGAACTATACGGAAATAAAAAATCGTCGTCACTTTTATTACTGTTGATTTTCAACACAAACCATCCAGATCATTGACCAAGGAAGCTTTGTTTATATATTGTTGGATAAACGTGTAGAATCATGTCAAAAGGATTGATGTCTGATTCACACTTATTCTTAATTTATTTACAGTCATTCTTCAGCTTCCCACGTTGGTTCAGCCCTTCGTTTGACAATGTTTTATTCAGCAGCTCTCCTCAAGAGTTGCTACAAAGTGGCAAAGTGGCAGCAAAAGTGCCGATTTTAATGGGACTTGCACGACATGAAGGCGCTTTCTACGTTCCGCGTAAGTTGTACATACTGCTCCACAATGTCTCGATAGACGGAATTATGGTGCCAAAAGTCATTGACCGTCTGAGACCTTCAATGAATATATATTCAAGGTCAGTGGATCCCAGAGAAAGTGATTCTGGAAATTTTTGGTGCTACATCCCCTCTAGGGGAAGTTATCCCCCTAGTGGGAGTGGCCAGTAACTTCTTATATTCGCCGAATCAGCAACTAATGCTGGTCATAATTCAAGTCTTAGATCCCAAGTTTGGTAGATCTAATATAACTGAGCCATAGATGTATCCAAAAACATGCATTTTCACACTACTTTGAGGGGTATCAACTGGGCGAATTTGCCCCCACGGAAAATTTCCACAATTTTCAAACTTTCGAAAATCTTGCTTCCGGAGTTTTCTGATACCAATCTTTTATGAACGTTTTACTTGGTGTGAAGAAACTAGAAGAGAAATGTGGCTTAACGCATTTTGTCAGAAAATAAAAAAAGTACAAAAATCTTAACTGGTCTCGAAAATTTCAATGGAAGCACGATTTTCCAAAGTTTGAAAATTAGTATTTTTCGTTTTTCGTCAGGGGACAGACTCCGCGCTTGACTGCTTTCCCAAAACAAACAAGAAACATCCTCTCAAATTAGCCTGACAACGCCTATTTTTTGGGTACATTTATGGCTGTAGCTCAGCCAGATTAACTCTTAGATCTATCAAACTTGGGAATTAAGACCAGGATTAGTTGCTGATTCGGAAAATATAAGAAGTTCCGAGCCACTCCCAGAAGGGGGGTTAACTCCCAAGAGGGGGTGTGGCGGCGCAACAAAATTTTATAATCACATTTTTTGGTCCCATCGACCTTAACTATGCATTCATTGAAGGTTCCAGACGGTCAGCAACTTTTGGCGCCGTAATCTGTTCCTCACCACATCGTGAGCTCTGAGCAAACACTCCCTCCTTTCTGACGTTGTGACACCGATGATTGATTACATTTTCAACGGTAATCAATGTAAAGCATGTCGGTAATACCTGAGATGAGATCGAGGGAGAATACAGCAGTACCATAAACTGCGAGTACTTACATATTATAGCTCATCCTTTCTACATAGGCACACAAAAGAACTGATTGACATAAAAATTCCAATTTCATGCCTAAAATCAAGATTTTCAAATGATAATTTCTGTTAAAGCTAGGATGAAAAGTCTAAAAAGCTTGTTTTGCATTTCCCATCTGAAAATGTCAGATCGAATTAAGGAAATTAACTATGCTTTTGTCTACGTCAAATGACATTGGAAATACCATTAAAATCATATTACAAGAGATAACAAGACCAAGTAGGCCTAAACAAAAATTTTGAGCATAAGATGATGTGTCAGTGGAAATGCTAGTGACAGCGAATACAAACGAGAAGGGTATTTAAGCTGTTTCTGATTATGGGCATCCTTTAGGATAGTGGTCCTTTCCCTTTTAAGTAACATACCAAATCGATCTGCAAATGCCAACAGCGTCTACTTTTACTTTTACTAATGTTTTGTATAATTTTGTCATGTTGAACAGTTACACTGAACTCGTTTAGCGATGGTAAATATGATGGAAACTTTATCGACCAACGTATCCCCAGGTTACTGCCGGTATATTACTCAATATAAATATTTATAAAACTGGATACGCGATATTGCTGGGCTAATATTTGTACGCGATGTGTTTATTAACAGGTGATCTCTGAATTTGAGAGTAAACTTTTTCCTATCACAAGAGCAATTAAAAAGCGTTACTTCACAAACATTGATGTGGAAAATGAGGACGAGTTTACACCCAGATATGTCGAGGTTAAATTTTTGGCTTGGAAATTTATAACAATACCGTAACAACTTTTGATGGGCAAATGTCTGAAATTCTAATAGCTTCTGACGGACATGCTGTTCACAAGATTTTCATCAAAATATGCAGGGATGCTATCAAATAACAGCATTCCTGTTTACTACTATGTGCTTCAGGTAACGACTACCACACCAATTAAAAGGGATGCTATCTTAGCATTTCCGAATAGTCAGTTATTGTTTAGTAGTGTGTTTGAGTAAATCGAGAATCTGTACAAAGAAAAGTTTTTCTTACGTAAAATAATTATGTACTCTTATTTTTGCAGTATTATGGATCACACAGGTAACGACTACCACGCCAATTAAAAGGGATGCTATCTTAGCATTTCCGAATAGTCAGTTATTGTTTAGTAGTTTGTTCGAGTAAATCGAGAACCTGGACAAAGAAAACTTTTTCTCAAGTAAAAGAATTATGTACTCTTATTTTTGCAGTATTATGGATGTGATAGGAGATTCAACTACAAAAAGTAAGAAAATGAATTATGCTTGGAAATTGACTTGGAAATACGATTTACAAGTGAGATTCTAAAGTGAAGTTAAAAATAGTAATATTGAAAGTCATTTGATTTCGGCAGCAAGTAAGCAATATCGAAGAACTGAAGTAAGCTCTATTGTGCATACTACAATGCTATACATAACCCAATTATTTGTGCAAAGTAGAAAGATAATATATAACCTTAAACGTATTTAGCATGATGCTCTTATATTGCAAAGATTGAATTACATTCGATATAGCAACATAGAAAAGCGAAAAGTTAAGTTTCACTATTTTAACGTCTCCCCTGAAAGATGACTTCGGCAGGAGCAACATAAAAGGAAATGTGTCCAGAATATAGGACTGATCTTGTTTTGCTCGTGGCTTATTTGCACGGGCAAATAACAGAAGCAGTACTATTTTTATTGACAGTAGAACAGAGGTGACATTGATAGACACAGACGCGCACACGTTACCCTCAATTGCCAACTAATATGTTTTATGTAACTTGTGAAAGATACTTTTAGACTTTAAAATGTCAAGCGTGCGACAACATCTGTGCATGTAACGTGACCTTTTACATCATAAAAGGACAAAATTTCTTTTGCGAATGTAGAGATGCCTACTTTAAAATTGATGAACCATATTCAAGAGGAAATACTCGTTTATTCTTTTATACATATACACATTCATATGCATGTACAATGCATAAAACAACGCCCACCCTCTTTCAGCTGACATTCAGAACTGTCAGCTTCGGCTTCATGACATATTCTACATTCAGTTGACTGCATTAATATCATCATGTCCACACTTTTGCTTTTTTCGTTTCAGTGATTGCCCATGGGGACGTCCTATTTTACATTTTCACCCAGATTTTAGGAGAAAATGTGCGACTCCCGCAAGATGACAAAGACTTTGCTACCAAAACTTTCCTGCCTTTGTTGTTGAATTTTGTGAGGACTAGGTAAGTATTGAGGAGGGCACTTGAAATTGTATTTGGACTTTTGTTCCATAAAATACATTGTCCAGGGTACATACCTGGAAGGTTCAATTTGAGTTGACATTATTATGCCACAATTTTTAAGATTTCAAAACTTTCAAGCCAGAATCTCTCAATAAGTTATGAAACTACGAGCAGTGTTATCGAGATTGTGGAAAAATTAAAGGAAATGTTTGCTGGAATATGTAGTAACCCAACCCCAAGTGGGTCTTCATTTGGAGAGACGTGGCCCAAGTTTAACGCGAAGGATCAAACCGTCTGCTTGATTGGAAGGAAGATATCCTTGCAAAAAGATTTTCGCTCGAATATCCTCAAGTGAGTGAGACTCGTAGCATTTTTCGTCTTCTTTATGGCTTCACATTGGACTTTTATCACTTAATTAATTATCACTTGAACTTTAAATCTATTACTGTGGCCGGTTCACGCAATGCCACTTTACCACCGCCCACCACCCCCTCGCTCATCTTACTCAATTTGATTGGTATCTTGGTTGCAGGTTCTGGGAGACTGAAGTCCCCAATATTGGAAAGACCAAAGAAGAACTCTAAGTAATCAGTTTATCCTGTCCATCGCCCACGTTCAAATGACCAATAAATACTCAACCATTCTATTTAAAACTAATAATGCATATTTATTTGCTTGCACTAGAAGTGAGACTACCCATGGTGCATCGTTTCAAATGTGTGTATCATAAGTTTAAGGATTACGTACATATTTTAATACACCCACAATTTTGTTGATCATAAAGTTAACTCATTAATTACTAAACGGGGGCTGACATAGATAATATTTGGATGCCAAAAATTGACGTCATAATGCCGGTATGCAAATTTTTCGGGAAAAAATCTATATAGCAGCCGAGTCACTTCGTTGTGGTGGTGGAGGTCGAGGTTTGGTGAGTCGCAAGGTAACACCTCGTTTGAATCTCGTCCTCACGTCCGACATTGGACTCGAATCATCGACGATTGTCCCTTCATCAATAAAATCCGTGTCGGTGGACAACTCCATTTTCTGTGATTTTCAGGATTCATACATATGTACAAGGCATTATTATTAAAATTCACTTCACGTAGATACATATACATACATATTTGTGTGTCAATTCTTGGACTATTTACATGTATACATACATATACAATTCATGAGACGAGGAAATAATTTATGGTGAATGAGAAACTCACATGGCACACTAGGCGTAATAACGTTTCCAGATTCTCCAACCGACCAGATATATCAGCGATGGCTTGGTTACTCTGAGTGACTGCCGACATTAAATCGTCTGAAAGCTCCTCGTCAGCTTCTTCCGTATCTTCTGTGAACATGAACAATACAAAACCAAAATAATGATATTATTGTACTGACAAAGTACGACGGGGAGAAAGGTTGAATTATCCACAATTGCTCATGTCGACTACACCACCAACACACACACACACTTTCTCTCTCTCTCTCACGACTTATTATAAGCCCCACAAATGAATCTCATTTGCTTTCTCCTGCTCACTGTTCCGAATTAGCTCTCCAGGGCACCAGCCACTGCTGCCTGCCTTCCATCCAAGCAACCCTCGAGCAGGTAATAATCATTCAGCTCTCTTTTGAAAACGGTTCTACTCATTCAATGGCTTCAAAACTGGTATCATTTTCATCCAATTGCCTCGTTCTCCATTTTCTACCCGGCTAACGTTTATTTTGTCAAGGTTTGTTGAGTTACAAACTAAACCGAGGGCTGAGTGGAGTTGACTGTTTAGTGGGTTGACGATACTCGGCAACCCCGTCTAATAAATTTTACAAAACATTACGATTTTCATGATTTGCCATGTTTAAAACGTAACGCGTAAACGGTGGGATGGGAAAAACAGGGACATATTATTTATATGCGTGTATGTGCAGCCTTTTAGGTATGTACTTGGATGAAATTTTTGAGCCGAATATGTCGAGACGTAAAAATCCGGTGAAAGTAAAAGTTGAAAAGAAAGGCGAAACCCGTTGTCTCATTGTCGCCGACGAGAGCTATGTAATCTTTCACCCTAAATTGGGCCCTAGTACTTTGGCCGAGATTAAGCTTAAAATGGGCAATAATGCCTCGTAATAGCTTAGTGTCCTTATGGCGCAGCATTTATAGCGGAGAAATATAGTTCCCAGCGTATTTAGTAATGGTACATGCATAGTAAAAGGAGAAAAAGAAGCGAGCGGAAGTTTATCCTTATATTTTCAATAAGAGTAAAAGGTCTGTGTTTAAATGGTTTGGAATATTGGATCACAAGGAATAAAGTCTTTTCTTTGTTTCATTCTTTCCCTCTCCCTGGTCACAAAATCTCGTCCTCCATCCGACCGCACACTCCATCGAATTCCAAATCCAAAGTAAGATTTCAACTCGGAGCGACGAGTAGCAGGATATGAAGTAAGGGTCCTAAACTGCCAAGACTTTTCGGCACATGAAGAGAAGGAGGAAAGAAAACTAAGACAAAGGCCATAATCGTATCCTGAGTTCCTCACTAACTTAAGTTCACAAAAGAAATGGCAGAGATAAAGAATGAGACGGAGAGAGTTGGTTCTGCCTCTGGTGAAGATGGGAATGATGGCCTGGGTGGATGGCGTAGTGTTGTGGCAAGCCATATTAAATTGCAATAGAGAGCGTGAGGAAGAATCGCCATAGACTTTCCCACCAACCACATCGCCACACAGCCACCTTGCATTGCTTTAACTTTCTCCTCCAACATCAGGATTCACGATTGGATTGGTATGTACGTATAAGTATTATACATACGTACGACGACGACGACTCGTACGCATGTATATGTGGATTACTTTGCTGGGTGAGATGAGAATCAAAGGATCAAAGAAAATCTCATGTATGTACGGATCCCATATTTCTGGAAATGTAGCCCACATCGATCTAGCAGACAAAGTTACTTCCTGAAATTTCTCCTCATCTTCAAATGCATCCTCTAAATTCTTCTCTCAAGAAGTCCGGCAACCATCTTTGCCTTTCCAATCTGTCTTAAAATCAAGGAAAGTTCGACAAAACGGTACATCACATCTCATTGTAGATTCTGTTTTACAGTTTCCCTTTATCCTTTCTACTCTCGCTGTCTCTGTGTCTCTACCTCGCTCACTCTTGAGCAAGTTGATGGTGAAATCTCGGTTTGTTACCATCTCCAATTCAATTAGAGTCGTGTACCGTTTTGGAAAGGGATTAAAGGCTGTAAAAGAAATTGTTAGTTCAAAGATGGAAATTTCCATCAAGCAATCAATCCTAAGATTATATGTACGAGCTACGGATGACGTACGTACGTACTGCAAACCGAGTTGGTTTTCCCATTAAGTGTGACTACTCTTTAATTGGATACGTCTCTATTTTATTAAATGGTAAAGACAAAATGATTCACGTGCAGCTTTATGAGATGATGGCTGTTTGTTTGGCAAAGGCAGGAACACCGTGTGTAGATATAACTTCTAACTTGGAATAACTTCTACGAACAGTAGCTACACATGCATATGCTAAAGTGTATGTATGGCTGAAGAAGTGGGAGTAAAGGACAGCGAGTTGTCGCGAACCGCAGGAGCAGTAGCAGCGGACATGGAAATTAACTCGACACTTGGACTAATGGAGTCCGTCGTTTACATGCGGATGATATATGACCCACCTTTATGAGCAGATTTCGGTTGGAAATACTTGAAAAAGTGATCAATCAATCCAAGTCGAGCCTTCCGTGCATTTGGGTATTCGATAACTTCTTTTTTGTCCCTGAGGATGAAGTCGGGCAGCGTTTTCTCCAATGATGTGTGAAGATAAACCTAATTTATGAAAGTTTTTTTTACAATTGTTGGTGACATTTGATAGAAAATGTGCTCAGAATTTATTTGGCTGTGAAGAAATAGTGTAATTAGGAGCTATATATGTATGCATGTAAGTTAGAATATATGAGAAATAACCTGCATTGCCAGCCTTTTAAGTTGCGCATTTCTGCGAACAGACTCAATATCACCCACAGCAAGGCCGATAAGTAAGTTCATCAGCAAAATTGGCATCAAAATTATAAACATTGCAAGGATTAGAAACGACGAGACTGTGGAAAAAGATTAAGTTCAAAAATTAATGACATGTAAACGCAATTTGGTGTTTTTTGTTGTTAACCAATTATTTTGCTGCAATATTATTACTGTATTACCTACACATCCATAATTTATATGTAATCATAACATTGTGCATACCTGGGTGGGGAAGCGTTCTATCATTTTTTCCGCATTCACGGGGGGACGAGTTTTCATCAGAAAATCCTTTGACAGCAGAACCATTAGTAGAATAGCTTGTTCCAACGTCCTCACAATATCGAGGATAAACAAAAGTATTGAGGAAATCCATATCTCCCAACATCATCTATTGTTATTATTTCAAACTTTATTATTTGTCTGCTACATAATATTCTAAATGCAGATAGTTATGTTTTGTTACTACCGAGAATGTCCTCATTAAGGAAATCGGAATTTCACTGAAGGCTTTGTGATTTGCCTACAAATCAAATTATTTACTATGCTTGAATGCCATGTTTTCGGAATTGGATTGAATACAATTTATATGCACAAACTAAAACATGTTTACCTCTGAGAGTAAGATATAAAATGCCAAACCGAACGCAACGATCAGAATTGAGAAAATCATAAGGACTCTGAGAAGTGTATGAAGTATTTCTGAGAACATTACTATGTAAATTCCTACTCCGTCGAATCTAAACAGAATTAGTACTAATATTACATACTTGCTAGACATTTTAAACAGAAAAATTATTTCAAGTGTTAGGGTATACCTTTGGAGAAATAATAGGAGATAAAACCAGCTAAGAAACGTTGCCAATGATGCACTGGGGTTAATAAAGTCCTCTGTTTCGGTCAACTTAGACACGGTCATGACCAAGCAAGCAACATTCATGACCCAAAATACCCTGCAAAGATAATGATGACAATGATTATAGATATTAATCCGATCAAAATAATTTCCGACTGCTTCGCTTTCACTCGCTTGACTTTCACCTAATGGAGAAAGTCGCCATCTAGACTGCAAAATTCTCACCAGTTTGACGAGTTGAGAATATAATTCCACTTTTGTCTCCAAATGTTGATCCCTTCTCTAAGTAGGCAGATCAACGCTATGGAGAAAATCAAAACGGCTTTCACCGCCTCCCAAATGGAATACGTGTGAGCTGTTCCCATCAAAGTTGTTTCCTACTCAAAGTAAATGGAAGAATTACAATCAAGACGAAAAATATCAAGACTGTTTATTCATAAATCCAGTAAGTAATACCCATGCATCATCCTTGGTTAAATTGGAAGAATCATTACGTAAATTTCCAGCTCTGGTTTTCAATGAGCTTGACAAGATGGACATGCTGCTGTCCTCGCTCTTTGATTTCGAATTATGAGAAGCGTACGAGGTCAAAACAACCAGAAAGATGAGATATAGAACAAGTTGAGTGACATGAACAAATCGCCCGTATCCATTCCACTTCATGTGCTGCAATTATTTCAATCAATATTCCACAGTTTGCATAGGACTCGTGTATAAATACAAGGATTATGAAGTTGAATTACTAGATATTTTTGGGATAGATCGTGCGAAAGGAGCTCCACCCTCCCGTAAGAAACCATTCCCTGTAACAAGTCATAGGAAACATTACAATGTCATTGACGACATAATTGAGTGAATGACCATGAAGCATAAAATGCAATATATAATGATTGGCCTTACATTAAGAATGGGCAAATATTTGGTCTCGTGATTCCAGAATTTGTGTTTCGGTTGCTCGAAAGCGTTCTCGGGTGTTGGCAGCGATAACCATTTGAAATCGTATTTGATCTAGTGTGCAGTATATCAAGCATGAAATTTAGATTAATTTAATCCGTAAAATAGGATGTATGAATGTGTACATGGTACTGCTCCGAGTCGGACTTGGCATCTGATTTGGTAATGTACCGATCCAGAAGAGCAGTGACTACCTGGGGCATCGTTCCTATCAATGCCAACATTATGGACGAGTGCTTTCCCGCAGTCATAGAGAGCACTTCATCCCCCCTGAAGGAATCAGGTTGAGAAAATGTGTCACAACTTTCAGCCGACATATTCTGCGTTTCATGCTCTTTGATAAGTACCTTGTTCTGTGCGTTACCATTACAAGAGCAACGGATGTAAATTTGTTTTGGAGCGCAAAGTCGATAGCGCTAAAGCCGTTGAAATTGTATGTCAGAGCGCAGTTCATCTGTTTGAACATTCGATTCATGCATATTTACATGCCACGATATATAACATTATTTACATGTGTATCTCGACTAAATATTTGCTGCTAATAAATTCTACCGTTAATAGAAGCTCAACTGCCGTTGGCTGGCATTCCATGGATGCCACGTGAAGCGGTGTGTTCTATAATTTCACAAGCAAATATTTTACAGTATTTTATCAACAACTGAACTGACTTCAAGAGATGAGAACGGATGTTCTGATTCCAACTTATTACCCCGTCTTTATCCGTCTGATCGAGAAGCTGGGAGTGGACATTAAGGATTAGTTTAATAGTTTCTCGGTGGCCCTTGGCACATGCACCGTGCAGAATCGTTGAACTGTTTTGAAAACAAAAACGAATAAAATATTTTAAGGTCTAAAATGGACCCATGCGGGTGGGGGAGCATAAAAATATGGGTTATTGTGGTTTTTGAAAGGGGGTGTGGTGTTTTGGGGGTTTTTATGAAATTTCAAAAAAAAGTCTCAAATTCTCTCCAAAACCACGCCCACTTTGAAGAGAATTTAATGCTGCATGCCTCCTAACTTCTATCATTCTCAAGGGAAAAAATAAAACGTGGCGAAGACACGAAATTTTTTGCCAAAACGACAATTTCGACAACTTAAAATGGCTGGGAAATTTTTAAATCGAAAAAGTAGCAGCCAACGACCTATACGTCATAAACTACCCTCGTAGGTGAATCTAATGACGCAACATTTTCAACATTGTGGGGCATAGATTTTTGGAAAACATCACGCAAAGTTGGGTGGAATTCAGGTGACGGGAATCAAACAATTAATTGGATCAATTTTTCAAATCAGTTGGATTTGTTCCATTCTCACGTTTCATTCAAGTGTAGACATTAAATAAAGGGAAAATTTTTATTGGATTTCTACACGTTTCAGACAATTCTAAGAACGTAAAAATCCAATAAAAAATGTTCCCTTTATTTAATGTCTACACTTGAATGAAACGTGAGAATGGAACAAGTCCAACTGATTTGAAAAATTGATCCAATTAATTTTTTGATTTTCGTCACCTGAATTCCACCCAACTTTGCGTGATGTTTTCCTAAAATCTATGCCCCACAATGTTGAAAATGTTACGTCATTAGATTCACCTATGAGGTAGTTTACGACGTGGTTGTAGGTCGAATTGCATAATTTTTTAGGGATAATGCAATATGGTATAATTTTTTTTGGCATAAAACAAATTGGTATAAGGGTATATAAGGGATAATTAAAAAAGGGATAATAATACGAAAATCAAAATTAAATTTTAAATTAAATTTTAAACAGTAATTTACTTGTGAAGGCATTTTCCAACACCCTTGAGATAGTCGAAAGTGTCAAAATCAGTGTTGTACTTATGATTCTACAATCAAGAGGAGTTGGTTATCCAGGTCCCTGTTTTTATGCTGTGGCTCGGCTTGCCCAGATTTTAATTTTTCGATTTCCAAATTCCAATGGCTTTGTTCATTTAGTAAAATTTTAATGGATTTCCACGTATGTAGTATTTATGCGTAAATGCTAACCCTCCACAGCATTGTACGAGAGACTTTGTCGTGGTAGCGTTTTCAGTGGACATGGTTGTGAATCTGACTGTGGACTGAATTCAATTCGAATGAATGTAGAATCCAAGGAAAGAAGGAATGAAATGAATTATGGTCCCTTTAAAGCTTAAAATATAATTATCCCTAATAGAATTATCCCTGAGTTTCATTATACCAAATGGTTCCCTTAAATTATACCAACAATATTATACAAAATCAAATTATACCAAATTGTCGTTATACCAAAAAAATTATGCAATTCGACCGCACACCTACGACGTATAGGCCGTAGGCTGCTTTTTCGATTTAAAAATTTCCCAGCCATTTTAAGTTGTCGAATCATGCGTTTTGGCCAAAAATTCCGTTTCTTCGCCACGTTTTATTTTTTCCCGTGAGAATGATATGAATTATGAATGAGACATGTATAATAGCTTTTTTTAATCAGCATTAAATTCTCTTCAAAGTGGGTGTGGTTTTGGGGGGAATTTGAGACTTTTTGAAATTTCATAAACCCCCCCCCCCCCAAACATGGAATTATAAATTCCGCAAAAAAACTCACTGTGAATGGTCACGATGTAAGAGTGCTCCCCTAATTCGTCATAAAAGTTATTTCAATGATTGATAGGTTCACATATTTGCATAAACAAAATAATGCTCCGCTTACTTCTTGATTAGAGCTTGTACCACTCTAACGTGCCCTTGAGTTATGTGATTTTTAGCATATGTACTTGTATCTTAAAATGGTCAAATCGTTTGGCTACTTACCTGAAAAAGACGAAATGTGCAAAGGGGTTTGCCCGGCTGAATTTGAAGCATTAATCACCGAATTATGTCCTTCCAACCGCAAAATTCGTTGAATAATTTGGAGACGTCCATATCTAGGAGTATTAAATGTCTCGGTAGTTATCACATCTTTGGCAAAATCTATGAACTTTGATAAACCTGCAGGCAATGTGGAACACATTTTCCCCGTCATTATTCTTTGTCACGATGCTTGATCCCAATTGCAACAACTTCGCCGCAGTTTTAATATGACCCTGTGTCCATGATACAATTTGATATAAATATTTTGAGACCCCTTTGTTACCTATTTAGATATGAGTATCATGTCATACGAGTTTCGAAGCATAGTGGAGTGGCGTATATCCATTTTTGTCTTTCTCTTCTAGTATGCCGATGAAATCAGTCTGAAATTTCATCAAAATGTGCATCATCACTGACGATTGTCCAACCACTATTGATTCTGGATGTAATGAATGCTTTTTGGATTCCTATCAAGTTCGTAATAAAAGATTCATATATTCATACCGAGTTAGTAATTATTGAGTTGGCCGTCATTTGTGTGAAATTCTACCAAGTACATTGTGTTAAATAGAATATTGCTATGAAATTAGCTGACTATGTAATGTGCATAGATATTCTCTAGGATACATCTTTAGAAATTGATATAAGGTGGGTTAAGCATACTGAGAATGAGCTAAATTTCCGATCCAAATGGATCGAGAGAAATGGATTGCACTTATTTCCACTTCGAAATAGTCAGGGACGGCGTAAAAAGCATGTGATTGATTTGAGAGGGGGGACATACTCAAGTTAATTATAACATGGGGCATTTATGTCACACCAGCGGGATAGGGGTTAAAATTCTCTAAAAATCGATCGCATGCTTTATGTACGGCCCCTCACGTTGCGAATACTTACTGCCACAATCTGCACGTTGCAAATCACGTGGCAGTATAATTAAACAGGCCAGACTTATAATGATTTATTTTCCAGTACAGAAAAAAATATAAGGACAAATAAACATATCCGTTCTTGATACTGTTAAGTAATTTTCCTATGTATGTGTGTAACCTCATTTCTAGTCAATTCCAATTAGGCAACTATGAAAAAATAATAAATAACGTATTGCCTATACTACTTTTCTCAACTTACTGCTTTAGGTGAAATCTGCATAAGATGGATAGATTTCTAACAAAAAAATAAACTGTGGAGATAAAGATGCAAATAAGCACATATGCAATTTACTCACGAAATAATCGTGCAACTATCATTTCAAAAAATTACACATTTACGTAGATGTTCCTTTAAGGCATAAATTGGGACAATGTCCCACAAAAACCACTGATGTACTCATCCTCAATAATATGAAATGTGCTGGGCAAAGAAAATCTGTTTGCAAAAAATTAATTGCATACGTAAATCTCTTCATCCAAAATTTTATCCAAGTCTCCTCCATTGATGACGATAGTATGAAGCACATTTCGCATTTCATTGTCCTTAAGGGTGATATTTGCCCCAAATCGAATAAGACTCTTGACAGTTCTCCATCCGTTCCTTGATGCAGCTTTTTAATTACAAATGCATGATTAATATGAAACGAAAAATATATGGGGATTAAATGACTAATCTACAACCCAGCGAGCACTAAAGCTAATGTTAATTATTAATGTTCATGGTGCTTACCCAAGTGTAACGGGGTGCGTTTTTCTTTGTCAAGTGCGTTCACTATAGCTCCCTTGGAAAAATTTAAGCTCATGATTGAAGCAAACCAACATACTAAAATAATTAATGATTTTCAAGGGGTATAAATTACTAAGGTTCGTTAGATCAATCAAAAATTAAGTGCAGAATAAACCAGGGCAATTTGCGACAGGAATAGTAACAAATTCGTAGATAGATATGTACATATATGCATGTGATCCTATTTAAGATAATTATCGTGGATCGTACGACGCATTACTTGTTCAATGAGGTACTCGACCAAGTTGTAATGATCAAACATGCTAGCGTAATGCAAAGGAGCCCTGCGTTGCACGTCACAGGATTTCAAACAAGTCTCCTTCTCTTCCGGTTGAAGCTGAAAACAAAAAACAAATTAGCAGCGAAATCCCAAAACAAATGGAGAAACATTTGTATAATTACTTCGCAGTACTATAATCAACTACTCAACGTGACCATGATACACTGAGAAAGTTCGATGAAACTTCGCAAATAATCGCCTAAAATGAACATCTGTAATTTACATACAAGAATGCTTACTTGAAACATTAGCTTGATGATTTCCATGGATCCCTGAGAACACGCCAAGTGAACTGGAGTTGACAGATCATGTTGTTGAGTAGAAATTTTTGCTCCTGAACGCAGGCACAGTTCCACAGCCTTGGTTCATGCAAGTTAATGAGACAAACATGATCTCATTTCTGACATTTCATGACATTTCGTACCATACCATTTTTTTTTATTTGGCACGTTTATATTTTCATACCTTTAAGTCGCCACCGTGAACCGCTGAAATAAATATATGTACACATGTATGTATTGATTACTCCCGGAACAATGGAAAGGGATATGCAACAATTAAGACTTTAGTAGTGAACAAATCATAAAGGTAGATTGCGACTGGGGAAATTATTTAAATATAAAGCACAAGGATTTAATTGTACATAGATAAGATAATCTAATAAAACCCAATCCAATTTTTAGCCCGAGTCAGGGCTTATGGAACCGTCATGTCCGTCCGTCTGTCTGTCTGTCTGTCTGTCCGGCACGATAGAGCCAAAACGGCTGAACCGATTGACTTGAAATTTTTACCATATGCATATTGGACAAAGTTAGGAAACGAGTTCGAAGATGGGCGAAATCGGTCCAGTGGTTGACCGGTGGGGGTCATCGGAGTGGGTGGGGTCTTATGCACCAAAATTTCAAAATTGTTGTAGAGAGCTGAAATTTGGTACAGAGGTTGCTAATGGCTCCTAATAGAAAAAAATAACTTCAGGTTGGAAAAATTTTCATCATGAGTGACCCTATGGGGTGACCCATACAGATTTTTCAAAACCATCATATCGAACTGAAATTTGGTGGAGAGGTTGCTTATGGGTCTTAATGAAAGAATATGATATGATATTGGTAAAATTTTTATCTGGAACGCCCCTATGGGGTGACCCATACCTATTTTTAGAAATTGTTTTAAAAAGATGAAATCCGGCACAATGATACTTAATGACTGCTAATTAAAGAATATGAAGTTAAAAGTGAACAAAGTGCAACCAGACCAAAGTGACCAGAGTGCAATCAGTATGGGGTGACCCATACTGATTTTTAAAAATCGTTATATCGAGCTGAAATTTGATTTGGAGGCTGAATAGCACATACATAAAGCTTAGAACTTCAGGTTGTTAAAGAAGCCACTGGTCATGGTGGTCAAGGCACATGATTTGTAACTAATTCAAAAATTTGGTACCAAATAATAGAAACTATCTAACAAACTTTTAACCATCCACAACACGGAAGTTGGTGATATTATGTCGGTCAGTTCGGAAAAGAATTTAGAAGCGGGCTCTGACTTATTGAGTCAGGGACTATGTCCCTGACTCGGGCTATATGGAGTCTGCACTGTAGGTTTTTTAATCATAAATTTAGAAAAAGTAATTGTTTAACCAAAATGATACATAAAATTTTGTAAGCTGTGAAGCATCATTCATAGTGTATGAAATTAAATAATAGAAGTATTGATGTATTAGAACCTGAATGAAGTGGGACATTTCCTTCAGCATCTGTCATGTCATTTACAACAAAAATTAATAAAGGCAGAACTTTTAGACCAACTTTAAGTATGCATAAAAGTTGCAAATTAATTTCGATTTTTCGTATTATTTGTGTCGTCTCACCGAAAAATGAAATCATTTCCTCGCGAGAACAACTTCCTTGAGCTTCGCCCCAAGAGAGCAAAATCTCCTAAATAACCAATAATATTGGTTAGAATGCTTCACTGACTTTCACATGTAAGTTAGTTAAGCAAAGTTAAATATGACATTTAGAACTACTCGCCATTGATCTTGACGAAGCATGCTTGGCCGCTTCGTGAATCGGAAAAAAACCATGTTTACAAGGTCTTCGGGGACAGGCTCCGATATCATACAACTGCAATTGGTATATCTCTTAATTCATTCTTAGTACATATATTGATTTAAAGCCAAAAAGTGTGGTTCTTGTATGTTATGGAAGATATATTCGTTTCTTAAGTACGTGCAATAAATAGAAGAGCGGAGGAATGCTAGCAAAAACTGTTGACAAAATAAAATAAGCGAAATATGTATGGTGATTTAACTTCTAAGCATATTTACATGTCAAGATCAAGAATCCATTAAATAATTTTCTATTAGTTACCATAATAACAAGATGGACAACCTCTTTGAACTGTGATCTTAGGGAAATCGACAGGGAGAAAGTACTTACCAATATTTTCATGCACTCTGTTCCATGTTACGTGTATTGATCCAGCAGAAAGAAGTGAAACAAACGCATATAAGCACTTTCACTTATGATATCCACTTTTTAGGGATTATTTGTTTAGAATTGGAACGAGTAAATAAGAATTTCATGTCATCATCAATTTTGGCATACATTCAGACATCAAATCCAATATTGATTACATATGCTTCTAAACTTCCTAATATAATAAAGTGTTCTATCCCTAGTAAATCAATGAAAATACCTTCATTGTCGTTGATCGCTGCCGCCGAAAGTGCTGTCCTTCCATTTTCTGAGAATTTTTTTAAACTTTAAACTCTATCGAGTAAGCATTCCAAGTAATTGTCTATTACCTCCAGGTAAATTCGGGTCCAGAATCGTTCTAAATTTTGCCATAACTTCAAGTGCTGCAATTTTGTTCATTTCTGCAGCAAGGTGTAAACACGATTGCTGATTTGCATTTAGCTTCTTGGTATCTGCTCCACTGTACCCACAATAAATCACTCCATACATCCATTCTCTGTGTGTCCATAATAATTTAACAATTATAAATTCTTACTGTGATAGAAGAAATTCCAATGCGTCCAACGCATCAGCTTCCACGGCCAAGTGAATGCAACTATTTCCAGAATTGTCGGTGAGATCCAGATTTCCGTTGAATCTTTCCACAACCTCCAAGATCTTAACGTGATTACGAATGGTTGCCTGATGCACCGAAGCTCTTCCTCTACCGTCTCGAATGTCAAGTTTGGAGGGATCCTCTGTGACCAAGCGTGTGAATTCAGCAACATTTCCTTGTTCTGCAATCTGTATATTTCAATTGTCATTACTGTATACTGTTTTATTGTTTTTAAATTAAGTTGCTTAATAGGAGCAGCATAAATAATATAGCTTGTATTATTTTATCTTATTTTTTATTTATGATATGCCCAATAAAATACTTGCGATTGGTATAATACCTCCACAAGTTCAGTGACAGAAGGTTGTCGCTTTAGCGAGATTGCTTTCACAATGTTTTTAAGCTTTGTTCCCACATCAGACTGAATATAAGTTTTAAGCCCTTGAATTTTCATGGTAGAACTGGACTTGGAACTTGCCATTTTAAATATAATTTTTCCTTAATCTAAAAGCAGAAGGTTATAGACTACCATTTATTTATTAGTGGCTTTAAAAAGAGAAAATATGATAACGTATAGACAGCATACATTCGTCTTTTGATTTTACTGCAGTTTTTGGTGATTTGGCCCATAAATCCAAAATGCGCACACAAATAACTCTGTCGGTTTGAACGATTTTCGAATTTGGCAATGTGTTTGAAAAATTTAAAGTTGTTATAGTTATGGTTAATTATGTATGGTTATTTATATATGGTTAATTATGTAGTAATAATTGCTCTATGTTATACTATAATAATTATTAATAGTAATCTTGACTCAATTGAGTTGAGATTTGTTTTGCGTGAGGAAGCGGAATGCAATGAGACGGTGAAAGCTGACGTGGAGAAATAAATATGAGGAACAGTTCATGTCACAAGCCAAGGATCTCACAGAAGATGCAGACGCAACGATTGCTCCTGAGCTACTGATTTTGGAGCAAGACATATCAAAGTTACAGATTTGTACTCTTCTTTTACTTTCTAGAAGGCAGATCTGAATTTACAACTTTGATCTGAATTTACAACTTTGAGTAACGTTTTTAGCGATAGCTTAACTAATATGAAATCGGACTTCGAGGTGTTTGACAGTTATTTATAATACGCATGCAGAGTTAGCAGTTCGTTCAACAAACGGATTTCTCTATATTACAATAAGCATTGTTGTAATTATGAGATTTGAGATGCAGTACTCCTGGCGCAGTAGAACATATATGTAGGCATATTTTATAGGACTGCTCACACAATACATTTTACTTTCAACAATATAAACTCAATTAAACTCTATAAATATAACAATACTGTCGATTGAGACATTCCTTAGTCAACTTGTTGTACAAACTTATTACGCCTAGAACAAATGAAAATTCTATAAAAATGTCATGGCATTGTCATTTTATTACACCGTCAATTTCACTGACTTTTTTTAGCGAATGGCTGACGTTAAAGGTTTAAATCTATGTAAAAATAAATAAATATGACTCGTTTCAATTTTTAAATCGTAATTATTAATTACTCGTATGCAATATTATTTGTTTACACTTTTACTAATTTTGCATACATTTTTCCGTATGTATGAATAATATCCGTAAACAATGGTAACCTTGACAACGCGGGAGTAACAAAAATATAAATAGAAAGTTTTTTAATCATGGACTTTGAGGGGAATTACAAGGTATCAAAACTGTTTAATTAAAAATTAATTAGCATGCTAATTATTTATATTAATTTATTTGTACGTAGGTGCGACATCGTCCGCGACGAACATGGCTCTATCTTTTTTTAATATTTTTAATAACAATGGCAACAATTTTCTTATTTTTCAATCATAATAATAATGACAACGAAAGGCACTTTCACAATGAGAAACTAACAGCTTTAGATTTTAGAAATGAGTCAATTACTTTAGACGATGTTTTGGGAGGGAAGTTTTATGCAAAAGGTTTCAATGGAAGTTTTGTCGATTGTGAGTTTTTCTTTTAATTTCACTAATTCGATTACAATTTTTCTAATCGAAACGTATTTTTTTTCTATCAGCAACAACACTCCAATTTTTTAATACCAATGGTGATTTTGTAACATTTTCTATGGAAACAAAAACAACAAAAATTATTGTTTCAAATCAAGAATTTATCGTCAAATTGGTGAGTTCCTTGGAGGATCACCTCTCACTGTGTCACTCGAACGGGGTTTCGGCCTTTGGGGGTGTGCCAGAGGCCGTCAAATGGGATCACGCATCAAACCACACATGGAGTTCATTCGCATATTCAATTCGGAGAGTGACACAGTGAGAGGTGGACCTCCTGGATTTATGAATATTCATTTTCATGAAAACCTAAAACGACGCTCATGTTGTAGCAATACCGCCCATTTCGTTGTGATTTTTCCCCATCGAAAAAATATCTTCTTGTGTCATACGATCCGCAAAAAATTTATCGTCATAGCGTATACGCACTTTATTCTGTGATTGATTTGGAAACTAGGTACCTAGTAATCCTTAATATTTTTTTAATGAACATTTGAACATTTTTATTATTTTATTATTATTTCGACGCCAATTTTTTCAGAGAATTAATTCCGATTTCAACAACTTTATCAAACAATGATGACCTTTCACGACGAATACAACTCGTAAAATGGTCAACATCAAAAGATGCTCTTGTATTTGTCCATGCAAATGATGTTTACTTGCTGAAAAATATTCATGGAAATGTTGAACGAATCACTTTTGACGGGAGTCACTTAATTTATAATGGGGTTGCCGATTGGGTATATGAGGGTTCGTAAAAAAAATTACAGTATAGTTACTTGTACGATTTTTATTTAAAATCGCTATAATTAACAACGAATGTCAATTTTTTTAGAGGAAATGTTTAATACAAACGAAGCAGTGTATCTTCATGACGACGAAAATTTAGCATTTGTTACATTCAATGACACTCAAGTCGATTTGATTCAATTCCCAGTTTATGGAGGATTTCAGTATCCAGTAATTGAGGCAATTCCTTATCCAAAGGTAGCTTTTTTTGGTGGCACATGTTTAATTAAATTTAAAGGATTTTATTTTTGCGTAATTTTCTAGTCCGGCAGACAGAATCCTACGGCAACGGTCTCTATTTACAGTAATAAAGCATCAAAAATGCTACAATTGCCTAGAGCCTACATTCCAGAAGAGTAATTGAGATATTCTCATTCATATTTTATTTATTTTATTTTATATCTTACATTTATTTATTTCCCAGCCATTACATTGGATCAGTGCAATGGACAAGCGATAAAAATCTATTAGTCCAAATTCTCAATCGCTATCAAAATAATTCGTGGGTTTTGCTATGCGATTTGAATGCTATTTGCGATGTGGTAAACTTGTTTTTTATGCAATAATTTTAGCACAATGTTGACCAAGAGTCGTTCTTTACAGATACACACACAAGAACAAACATCAGGATGGCTTGATGTTAAAGAAATTTATGAAATCTCAGAGTCCAATTTTGTGACAATAGAAACAACGAAGCAGTCAAAATATTCATACAAGCATGTAGTTCAATTCAGCAAAAATTCAGTCGTCAAGGTTTTATCACGTGGAGATTTTTCTGTTGATAAAATTTTAGCCGTTTCCAATGGAGACATGTGAGCATTTTTTTGTAATTAAAAAAATAATCCAAAAACTAATGGTTTTATAACATAATTCCCACAGCTACTTTACAGCCGATGACAATCTACACAAACAAACTGCTACAAAAACAAAATGCTTAACTTGCAATAAAGTCATCAAATGCAAAAGTAATGAAGTTTCCATGGATAAAAAAAGTGGAGAGTATTTTGTCCAAGTTTGCTTAAATGGATTTGAAGATGTTCCAGTCGTTAGAATTTTTCAAACGGAGGTATTTAGTAAATTGTTAATTAATTTATTGTTATTTTTTTTACTCTATGATACATACGTACTTTTAATTATTTTAGCCCCTAACGGAAATATTTACATTGGAAAGTAACAAAAAATTAAAGGGAAACATGGACAATGTGCAATTTCCTATTACAAAGAGACTGAGTTTTAAGACTGAAAACGATTATTCCGTTGAGATTAAATTATTCCTTCCGTTTGATTTTGATTCTGGACGAAAATATCCATTGCTGATTGATGTGTAGGTTTGAATGCGTTAATTAAAATTATTCGCCATATAATTTTTCATTTATTTATGCAAATATCTAGCTATGGTGGTCCAGGCTCTACCCGTTTAAATGACAGATTTTCTGTTGATTGGGGAATCTCTTTGGTTTCGTCAAAAAATATAATTTATGGATCAATAGATGGACGGGGTTCTGGTGGAAAAAATAAGTCTGACGATTTTATCTTCGAAATTTATAAGCGCTTTGGAACTGTGGAGGTTGAAGATCAGATTAAAGGGGCAGAATATATTTTAAAAGCTCTTCCATTTGTAAACCCTGAAAAAGTGGCCATATGGGGATGGAGTTATGGTAAAAATTAAAGAAACCAACTCTTCTAAAAATAAGTCCGCAAAGGATAATATTAAGAACTTCAATTTTATCTTTAGGAGGGTTTGTAACTTCAATGGTAATGGGCAAAGATTTAAAAAATATTTTTAAATGTGGGATTTCTGTGGCTCCTGTAACCAACTGGGGGTTCTATGGTAATTTGAAAACCCTCAATATATCCACTTACATTTAAAATAATCCAAGTATGACAACACAGATACAATTTATACCGAACGCTACATGGGTTTACCACAAGAAAACTTGAAATCCTACAACGAATCTGATGTGACAAATTTTATACAAAATTTTAAAAACAAGCACTTTTTACTTGTCCATGGCAACGCAGACGACAATGTTCATTACCAGCAATCCATGTATTTATCCAGAGGTAAAATTTATAAATAAATATGTAAAGGAAATAAAATATTATAAAATTATTAAAATTTCAGCTTTAGAATTGGGGGACATTATTTTTCAGCAACAGGTTAACCTTACTAAATTATTCTATAAAGCTTAAACTATTGTTAACTGAAATTTAATTATCATTTCTTAGTCGTATCCAGATGAGAATCATGGATTAGGATCCGTCCGTCCTCACTTATATCATACTTTGGAACATTTTTTAAATCAGAATTGTAATTTTTAGCCAGTGCGTTTTTTTAGAAATCAATAAAATATAGTATATTTTTGTATGAAACAGGAAAATGTAGTCGGTTTAACTATTGTAAAGTTACCTTACCCTCAGAATGCGAAAGGGACTCTTTGTCAAAAGGCAGACGGCATCTGCAACTTTACCCATGAGTGGAGATTTGTGTCTCTCAACTCCTTTGGTCGTGAAGTCGTGGGATGAGATCATGTCCTGTGAGTCGCCTGATAGTCCGAAGCTGAAACATCCATAGGACGGGGAAGGAGACCCCAAGTCCTCCTCACCGTAACCCCCACAACACAGGATTACCTTCTGGGCATCCGTTAGGGGTCCAACTCTTTTCTTCATTTTATTAGTCTTCAAAATGTCTCGTTGAAACTAAATATACAAAGGTTTACACGAGTGACTAAGTAGGCAGAAAATTTTGTACTACAACGTGGATAGTATGAGTTTATCATACGTAAGTATATGTAAGTAAAACCACAAACACGTTCTGTTCGAAACTATTAAGCCTAGAAAGCAAGAGTATTTTGATGTCCAAGTTTTAAATTAGACAGTTTGCATAGGTAAAATAGACCTTGGGAATAGGTAGGTACATGTGGTGAAATGAAGGAACAATTCAAAATCCATAATGACTTATTTCAGTACCACCAATCACCACATGAAAAACTGCTTGAAAAACTGCACTACGATTTTCTTATGGAGCACAAGGCTGTGCTGTAGATGGGCCCATGTAAATATTTATGCAGATAATAAGTTTAAATTCTACAAATATCGCTCACCACTAAATTCACTCATGACAAAAATAGGTATTTGTAGATATTTATATTTTGAAATAAAGTGAATAAATAATCAACAAGTTCTGTTGTCTGACTCCATTGTGCGACTGATCCTACTGTTGATAAATTAATAATAGACAGAGGACTTCTTGTAATGACGTAATGACAGTGCAAACTCTGCAGACAGCAGTATCAAACCTTGACACGAACAACCAAACAGGGCGGAAGCCAAGCACTACGTTATAATGGCTGTCACATATTTGCAATTTGTCCAGGCAAACATAACGCATTATCGTTGTTATTATCTGATTATCTGATGACGAGAAAGGAGAGACAATATTCTCGAATGCACCTATTTACGATATTGCATATGCATGCAAATTACGTGTAAGTGAAGAAAAGATCGATATCTATTAAGCTAATAATCATGATATCCTTGAATCACTTCGCATGATAAGTCAAGTATCACTTACTATTAGTAAGTTACTAGAGTACTATTTTCATACGAGGATATTACTTGCTGTCAATCAAATTGTAATGCTTCAAGTTTTTGGAAAGTCGAATGTCCTCACCCAAACAACTTGTGGATGGAACTCTCTGGAACTTAGAAGGTCATATGATTGGCAGAGTTTTATTATTTGATACGACAAGCATTGACGCAAGTTGTTATTTTGGAAGATTCGTCAAGAAAATCGACTCCTGCGCCCTAATTCCTTGACAACAAACTGTATGCACTATGCAGTATCACAAGGAGAGGCCTCCTCTTCTTCACTCGCGATCTCCTTATAGACGCCAGGGAATTGAACGACTCTATTGCGTGGTTGCCTTCAATAATTTTGTCACACATCATGTCATTAGTCGATAATTACTTTCATTATGTCTAACGTGATGATTACACGTGTGTCAGAATGTAACTTTCCGTGACCTGTTGCAATAAACGATCCTAAGTAGTGTTAGTAGTTATAAAAAAGGATGGTTTCCTGGAAATGTTGTACAATGTAGGTCTAGGTCTGAATTATTGTGCTAGATTAGAGAATGACTGGACAAATGGATAAATGGACAAAACAAAATTTGGAAATTTACATATTCTGAAGATGGCGACATTTATTTTTTTGCGAAATTAAATTGTAATAGCTAAACCGGTAACCGACAAGTTATGTATAACACCAATCTATAACATAACGAAAATGGTTTTGGTGCGTCAACGTTTCACAGAGTTAAAAACACAAAAAATCAACTTGTTCAAAAGACTAGTAGCTTTAAACTTGAAGATTTACAGCGAGCGATTAACCTTCACCCAAATTCGAAATTAATTTACATTAATTTATATTAATTATCCTTCTTGACTTGTTGCGTCCCTAGCGTCATGAATCTTCAAATGTGCCCGATGATTGGATTTTGTGGTAGATGCCTTCCCACAAATATTACAGAGGAATCTGAAAAGTAGAAATGCACATCAAATTATCTATGAAATAAAAATAAATATGTATATGTTCAATGTTCAATATAGATATTTACGGTTTAAGTCCAGTGTGGATTCGTTCATGCTCCAACAGATAATAATTTCGTTGAAACGACTTGCCACAGGTTGTACACTTGAATTTCTTTTCAGAATAGTGTTCCTAATATATGACCATAAAGATTAATAAACACAAAAATTTACAAAATTTACATAAAATTTACAAAAATTTCAGTCTTACATCCAAATGTCTTTTCATGTTAACTTTATTTGTAAATCTGACACCACATTCATTGCACGTGAAATGGAGAGTTCGACGTTTATGAACCATCATGTGATGCTGAAAGAAAAAAAAATGGTTTACGACACATAAACAAAATGCTTAGCTTTAGGTTAAACACAAACCTCAAGGGTTCGTTGGAAAAGATATGACTTGGAACAGATCCTGCACTTAAAGGGCTTATCCACATTTGTGTGACTCCATGAATGTGAAGAAAGGTTGGCGTACGTTCGAAATTTCTTGGAACAAACTTGACATGAATAATTCTTCTCATTTGCGTGAATTCGCATGTGCTTAATCATTGAATTTGGATGCATTTTCTTCTGACAAACCGGACAGTCCTATTTTTGAATAAGTCACACAATGGTAACACTTCTCTTGATTGGTCATTGAAAGAAATAACATCATGGCAAATAGAATATTCGTAGACTAACCTTATTCTCCGATGATTCGTATTGTGGGTCATGAGTGACACGAATGTGACGAACGAGCACACTTTGCCGACTAAACGTTTCACAGCAATATGGACATTTCTTGGGCGTAGCATGATGGCTTTTAGCATGACAAAAGTAGCTACGCTTGGAACGTAATATCTTGTGACATACGCCACAGTAAAATTCAACTTTTGGCTTAACGGGTCTCTCTGATTCAGGAACATGAACGGTTTTCTAGTAACGGAAATGTGAAAATTAGGCGAAATTGAGCTTATAACGTTGCAGGTAAAATAGTTTTTGTTTTCTTACCATGTGATGATTCAGCAAACTTTGAGTTCTATAAGCCTTTTCACATTTCTCGCACTTGAAAGGATACAGCTTCGCATGCACCCTTGCGTGTTCAACCAATTTAAAGTTTGACGTGAATCCCTTGAAACAAGTCTGGCACACATGTTTCCGTTCCCTATAGTCACAATTTAGTAAGTTTAATAAGGAAGTTAAAATTATTTGACATCAATAAAAAATTTAAAATGAAAAATTTCCTTACTTGTGCACTAACAAATGTTTCCGAAGATTTGTTCGGGCTTGGAATGTTTTACCACATGTATTACATTCAAATATATTGGGCTGTAAAGGCTTGTCGCCATGATCAGTTTCCATGTGTCTGGCAAGAGCTACCTTGTTGTCAAATGTGGTGTTACAGTAGACACAAAAGAACTCCTTGGCAGCTATTTTCACCGTAGGATTAGAGATGGGCATTGCATATTCCATTATGGTTGGGGAAAGCAGTTGAGTTGACAAGGGTTGAGACGAAGACGCAGTATTGTCTGAAAACTGTTCAGGTACCGATGGATGAAGTTTGACCTTGTGGCCAATTAGTTCAAACAAACTCTTGAATTTCTGAAATAAAATCATCATTGTATATGATTTTGAAATTTAAAATTTTATTGATTGATTGGTATCGGATATGCGTAAGTACTAAATATTATGTATAACCTGCACTGTTGGGCATTCGTAACATAAGAATTGATGCCTCCCTTCTATGTTGGTAGCTTTCCTTCGGTTGGCTCGGTTATTCTGGTTCATGACCTGTCTTGACCGCTGAACAGGCTTCTTTTTGGAAAATGGGGATGATGAATTTCGTAAATTTCGTTTTACAAGAGTTTTCTAAGTGTCATAATTATATGTTACCGTGATAAATAGAATGGTCATGGCATGTGAACAAATTTTTTTAAGGAATTTCAAACTTACAGCGTCCTCTGATACGAGTGAGGAAGTATTGCTTTCTTCGAACTCAGAAATTTCACCTAGTAAATTATATTTCACAACATTCAGATTCATATTAATTGCTTATAATTATAAATGCCGCAACTTATAAGAATTAGCTAAGCGAACCTCGTGGGGGAATTTCTTCATCAGTCATGAGATTGAGCGAAATTGTGGTTCCAGTGATTCCGTCTGTTATTACATTCATACCGATTTCATCCGCTACGATTATTTTTGGATTTTCATGATGAAGCTGTTGCCTTTCTTCTTTGTTAACAACATGCATTTGTGTAAACGAAGAATACACGGGAATTGTACGGCCATCAGGAAGGACCAAGTTCTGCCCAGGCAGTTCATTGCAAGTTTTCGCACTCTATAAAAGCAAAGGGAAACGGATTAACTAAATTGTTTTTGATTTGTCAGACGAATTGATATCAGTGATAATTAGTAAATGCACATGCCTGGTCAATGATATACTTAATGATTGAAGTTTGGGACGTTGCATTGTCTGATTCTTCTTGTACCAACTCCTTCCGCTGAGAATCCTGGTCGGATTGGTCAGATGAGACAGTCAACGAGTTCTCTGGATAATTCGAACCCAAAATTACCTCTTCACACGAACCCTCTCCTTCTGCATTGATACGACTGGTAATTTCATGCGTTGTTGTGGATATCAAATCGCAAACTGCCGTTGACGCACAAGAACCACTGATTACGTCACTCTCACTATGCGTGTCATTATGAAGATTAAAATGAAATGGTACTGAAAATGTTCCCAATTGAACAAGGCCGTATGGAAGTGGGAGTTCAACAGGGAAATCGTCAAGTTGAGCTGGTGTATTGTTATTGTGATTATTATTAGTCTTGGGACTTTCTGAGGTCAGGGGTTGTAAATTGGCAAGAGATCTAGAGTGGTGTGGGAGTTGCTGAAAAGTATAGGCTGCAGAGCAAGATATACTGTCCTGGGAATTTGCATCTTGTGAAAGTGAAGCGTCATAATCATACTGAACAATTGCGCTGTCCGAATCAGGCGAAGTTGACGTGATACTCGTAGAAATAGGTTCGCTTTCAACGGAATCTGGAGACGGAGACTTCCTAGAATTGGATTTTGCAGTCACTCCTCCAAAATTTTGCCGTTGCCGAAGAAGTGAATGAATCAAATCCTGTTTTGTATGTGCAGCAAGATGAGCTTCTAAGTCTTCTATAGATGATGATATCCCCGACCCACAAATGGGGCAGCCAGCGGTGGAATCCATCTTGATTTATGCTAATTTAATAGTGATTGAAAATTCGATATTCTATATTGCGTAGTGTAGCCCAAAATTCCAATGTTACGGTTGATCCAATCTTCAATCTTAACCGATAACCGAGATGGGCTACTTAACACTACGCTGAAAATGTCATATACAGCTACACATTTTTAAATAATTATTGTGTTTCTTCACTTGTCCTGCCACACGAATTAAAAAACTGCCACTCTTCCAGTGTTCCAGTTATTCACTATTAGCTGACTATACACCCTTCCTACAAATTTTAACATGCAATCTGAAAACAAAAAACAAAATATGACGGATTTAGAATTGTCATCATGTGACATCATTCTTAAATTGTGTAAATCATTACCTACGATCGTATGTTGTATAAAATTTGAAAATCGATTGATCGTTTCTTTCTCCACTTAAAACCACTGTCTTTTACGTGTATTGTCTACCTTCAATCTACTGTCTGACAGAGTACCTTGGTCACAACCCACTCACGGACAAAGCTGGGGGTGTACAAAATTGCTAAAATTACGACAAGTATTTCTTGCTGGAGAGTTATCAATTACACGAATATGAAGGGCTGCAGGTTTGTTTACAGTTGTGAGTTGGGCTGTAAGTTGAGATTGAAAATGTCCACACATTCCACGAGTCAGGTGACACGAGAGCCAGCCAACCCGAGCCAACTCCCACCAAACTCAATCTATCCTGCATCCCTTGTCTGTTTGGTTTTCGTCTAGTAAAATTATTGAAGTTACAATTTTGCCAAATTTTAGAAAAAAAATAAAACGAGTGATATTTACTTCAAAATTAAATAATACTTGCCAGACTCATTATCACATTGTATAAGCAATAATGGAAGAAAAACAAAAAGTGGCGGCGACAGAACAAGGAAACAGTGGTATGTTATTGCAATAATTGATGATTTAATTTAAATTTTGTTTGTTTTGCATTTTACTCCGGATTTATTCAATTTGAACTGTTCGCAGAAAAATCCAATTCAGCTGTCGATACAATTAAGCCATTGCCAGCAAGTACAGAAACGTCAGCAATAAAGTCTGTGATTTGTGGGGACGATAAAGCAGATTCAGAAAAGACCGGTGACACTGGTTCCGTACCAGGAACGACGCCATCCAGTACATCAGCTGAAGGAAACGAGCAAGTCCAAAAATCGAGTAGTGGTCAAGGCGGCGATGGAATTACTAAAAAGGATGAAGTATTCTTGACACCCCCGCCAGCGTCTACCCTCCTCATTCGACGAGCTGGAACTGGTAATAATAATGGAACATCAACCTACGTAGTTGGTCCTGCCAGCAAGCCAACTACTCCTCAGCAAGGCGTGGAAGAAGAAGAGGACGACGACGACGAAGACATGGAAATGACTCCTCCTCCTACTACTAATATCAACACATTTTTTAGTAAAAGATCCGGAAAAGGGTCGTTCTCATCATCCTGTGGAAAAGATTCATCAAGTAAGCTTCAATTTTCTTAAATGTTTTAAAGCATATTGAAGGAGTGATTAATGCTTATTTTGCTACCAAGCTAAACGGAAACCTGGAAGACCAGTGGGCAGTGTTGGACCTTATAAACGCAAAAAAATGGTTTCTGAAGGGGATTATAGTACTCATCCTGGTGAAGTTAGGGTTTCTAGCCGAATGTCGACCAGTATCTTTAAACACGATATTCTTAGTGCAACTGGCATCGTTAGTGTTTCACATCAAGTACAAGAGAATTCGCCTTGGATTTACCCATCCGTGATTCGTACATCACAAGTAGCTAGTGGGGGTAAGCCTCCAATGGCTGGCTTTCGGAAGCCATATTCAAAAGGATATAAAAGGGAAAAGGAATCATTAATTGACAACATTGACCCCTTAACTGGCAAAAGAAGGTACACGAGAAGAAAAAAGCTTGGAAATGAAAGAAGGGATACATTTGACGACTTTAGTGGAGAAAGTGAACCCGATGGTGATAAGCTCATTAAATTTCATTTGAGCGATAATGGAGTTTGGAGGCCAACAGATGATTTAAGATTGATGGTCAACATGAGAGTTGTGAGTATATTTTCAATAATAATTAGTTACTCAAGCTATGTTTTTTAAAACAATGGTTGCATAATTTAAGGAATGTTTTCTGCTTTGTTTTTCTAGAAAAACGACTTGGAGAGCATCTATTATGGAGTCAGATTTTCTTGCTTTTTTTCCTTGAGAGATATTCAGGAACGGTGGAAAAGGTTGTTGTACAATGAGAAGGCTAGTCTAGTGTCACAAAATGCAATTAATGTCATTCATCCAGACGTCAAATCAAAAATTTATCACCAATCTGTCTTTAGTCCAGAGGAAGAATATCTTGTTTCATCTGTTAAAGTTGTAAGCTTTATTTTTTTGTAATATTAACATGCAAATCGCCATATTAATGAGTGATTTTTGTAAAAATTATTTTGTAATTCTTACTTAGGACTCGGATTGCAACCCAGATATCAAAATATTTCAAGAGATTCTTGAAAATAATCCTCATATTTTTAGTAAGCATCGAACCGCAAGAAGATTGTTAATGCATTGGCTCGATATGAAGGACTACTATCTTCTTCCGCATCAAAATCGTACATACCCTAATTAATTCATCAGTTTAATTTAGTTTTAATTTTATTCGAATGTTTCTTAATAAAAATGATGCAAACCTTATCTTGCAGCACTGGAATACAATCCTGGCCAAACTTTTGAAGACTATGAAGATTGTGTTTGTGAAAGTCACTATGACATTCATGAAGACATCGACAGTGAATCTGTTTTGATGGAGTTGGCAAGTGAAGAAAGGTATGTATGTTGTATTTGAGAAATGTACATAATTTTGCTAGTAATATCTCTATTAACACTGGTATGTTAATTCTCAGAAACTTGAAGAAGAAACTTCGTCTTCTTGACGATGAGATAAATGCTTGGCAAGTTATCACTGGACAAATCATTGAAGATGGAATGAAGAACAATAAACTACCCCCTCTTCCTACTGATTTTGATGGAAAGACATTTGCACTATTGAGGGGAAAAGAAGTATACTATGGAATGACTTCCAGAGAGGTTTGTCTATTCTATACTTAGTTAATTATATGGATGGAAGTAAGTATTAATTATAGATTAAATTAATTAAACTAAAATTGTTATTGATGAATTCATACAGATAATTCTAGGAAGAAGTACTAAGGATTGTAAAGTTGATGCGGACCTCTCGGAAGAGGGTTCTAGCAACAAAATTTCTAGAAAGCAAGCTATAATAAGGTTAAAAAGAATGGGAAGATTTGTTATCATTAACAAAGGAAAAAGACCAATATTTGTAAATAAAAAAGCTGTTCCGTACCGATGTGCTGCAGTGCTTCATGATCAGGCTGTAATTCAGGTAAACGTCCTACAGTAAACTTCAGAGTTGAAACTGTTACACTTATAAAACAATCATAAATCAGAACTTACAAGTAATTATCACTAATTTCAGATCGCGCAGATTGACCTTATATTTTTTATAAATGAAGCCTTAATTGCTCGAGTAATAGAGCGGGATGTCAGTGGTGAAATTTATGCCAGCTTCAAAGATCTGGAGAATGAAAGTGCGACAACATCTTCCAAGTCTGCCCTGCCAAGTACGTTAGTAACCCCTCGGCAATATTCGACTCTTTACACAAGTTCCAACGGAGCGATTCAGTCGCAAGTTCGAGCTGGAACAGGTGATGCCACTACCTTGTCAAACCCAAATGTTAATAATCCTTCGCTGGGCGTTAATGATGGAACTTGTGAACCTATTTGCCAACCACCAGCTTCATATATAACTATATAATGTTGTACTGCCGACAAGGTATTTATAAGAGAGAGTTGTATAAGAATTATTATTACCAATGTGGTTAACACGAACTTATTGTATATTTTATTTCAGAAGTGACATTATGTTCTTAATCAATAAAATTGATTAAAATGTATATAAAACTTTTACGAATTTGTGTATAGTGCTACTTTTTCCTAAACCTTTTCTTACTGCCTCCGCTGGTAGATTTTTTTCGTTTCAGTGATTTCTTCTTGCCAGCAGAAGCTGCAGAGGATTTTCTAGGTCGAAAATCAGTTATTTCATCTCCAAGAACGCCCATAGTCGAAATTGCTCTGGCAATATGCTTATCTTTCTTAGTTTCTGGCAGCCGAGTTAAATATGTTTCTTCGTATCTGAAAATCAATTGTGAAGTCATAAAGTTATTGGTTTGTTTAACTAATGAGTAGTATAAATACGAGATTTAGAAAACTAGGAATAGTACCGTTGTTTGTCTTTGGTATGTCGAGATAAGTGATCCGAGGAGAATCCTTCGCCTTTGTTAAATATCTCGGTTGGGGTCTCCAAGAATTCCTCTTGTAATTCACGAATTAGAAGACGGTTAATGGATTTCTTTCTCACTTTTTCCATTTGTTTGGCAGGAGTTTCGTCTTCTTCGTCTTAAAGAAAAACATTACAATTATACCCAGAATGTAAGTAGAAATAAGATAATGTTAAGTGTTACCATAAGGTTGAGCTGCAACTTTCGGGGGCATATATACGTCTTTTTTGCCGCTTGGTCTCTCATTATCCTGATCTTCGACATCACTGTCGTCCTGCAAATTGTATACAAGTCAGAAATTATAGGTTAAGCTAAACAAAATTACAAGTGTTCAATTTTTCTTACCGGATTTAAATTGTCCAAATTAGCTTTATGCATCAAGGGGTCGGATTCTGGCTGTTTATCAGATGCGTTCCGAATAAGCTTATCAATCTGATATTTTAACTTATTGTCAATTGGTTTAATCTTCTCCAGTATAACTCTAAGTTCGACAAGCTGGTCTGTTTTGAAAATAAATTATTACAACAGGATGCAGTTTGAAATTATCAATTCTGATAATGTTATCTTTCTTATTTACGGCTTACCAACAAAACAACCATCTCTCAAACTATTCCCCGTCAATTTTGTCATCACAACCCCACCTAACCCAAGAAGGTACTGAAGAAGCAAGTGATTTTTCATTTCCAGAAAACTTATACCCTGAAATGTGGCCATGCAATGTCAATTAAATACAAATGATAAAGGGAATTGGTAAAAGGTTACAAGTTATAATTGCTAACCTTTGCCGTCGTCATTTCTTTCCCCTTTACTTTGTGTGCTAAAGCTGCCACCAGTGCCGCACAGTCTTTTGTTCTATGAGAAACCTCGTCAAAAATGGCTTTGGTCTTATCTACGTCTCCTAAGCTGATTTCCATCGCCCTAATGGTCCCCTTCTCAACGGCGGCTCCATTCTCCTCTTCCACGGACACACTCATATCAGATTTAATGTAAAAAATAGCAAATCCCCACAAAGTTAGTTTTCAATTATTAGCGATAAACAATTATTAATTGTTATGATTATCAAATTATCACAAGAAATAAACTTTAAATTCTCGTACTGCAACGAGGAATTCCACGAGTAAGTTTGAATTACAGATTACCACCACTGCTCACTCTATGCGTTGGACAACTGGATCTGACTATCAGCATCAACTCTTATGTATGCATCCAACACACAACTTTCTCCATTCCAGCCTAACTTTCTCCAGGCTAAAAACTCTATTTTATATGCAATGACGGTGAAATAACAGGAATTCATCCTCCGAATTTACCAGTAGGAATCTTATGTACTTTACAAGCATCTGGGGAAGGAGAGAAAGCGAAAAATATTTCTATGAAAATGTTGCATTTACATTCCTCCAAAGGACTGTTGGTGAGAATCAGGAAAGTGACGCGTTGCAAAAGGCAGCCATGCAGAGAAAATTGGTGATGGATGAAGAAATGCTGATGTCATGAGGAGATGAACGATTCGAAACGTCTGCAACCAACCGGAAGTCATCATTGTATGTTATTTCAACAGACTGGGTAGAAAGGAATCGTATTTGCTAAACAATTTATTGTCATGACGTCATGTCGTCACCAGTACGTACAATAGTGCTGGAAGAGGAATTTTCACCCTAACCTGAATGAAGTGAGGGCCCCATATTATTATCATGTGTGTAATCATCGACAGAAAATAGAATCTATTTCGACAATAATAATGCCGCTGTTAGTTGATCTTGTCGAATAATTTTATATGTAATATGCCCGAATTCTCAAAAAAAGAGAGATGAGGAGTAATATAATGGGTGGAAAAGGTCTGAGATTGTAATGTTGATGGTGGTGTGGTTCGGTATGTGGTGGCGATGAAGAAAGTTCCGACATGACGGGGGGACGTGGAGAGGGAGTCCAAAGACTTGTGCGTGAGTTGCATGTGGAATTAAGTAGAAAATGGACGTCTGTCAGAGTTAAGGAAAGATTTTCAAGACTGATATTGGAGATGGGAAGGCAGAGGATAACATCACATCATCCTCACGTCTTCCGCTATACGTACGTAAAAACGGAAGAGATCCACTTTCTACAGAGTGTTGGTTAGTATGGGGTTTTTAAATATGTGTAATGAAAATATTTTCTGTCATAACATACATAGACAATATTTTGATGAAAAGTATATACATATATATTTTTAAACCCCTAATTTAAGTATGTAAAAGTGGAGTCATTGCTAGTGCATTTTTAAGGTTATTTATTTAATACCTTGCTGAAAAAATATGCTTAATATATATAAAAAATATTGTCTGGCTATGAAGTGTCACTGCCGTTGGTTTAAACCATTTTCTTTAATTTCATTCTCAGGAAATTGTGCGCTGGAATTGTCAATTTTCTGTTACTGCATAAGGCATGATTGCCAATAGGAATAAATTGGAAATTCATGGGTTTGAAAAAGAAAGGGAAATGTCAAAAGTTCTCCGTTAAAGATCTCTGAATTCTGGATTGTTTTCTGGAGAAGGAAACGTAGGTCGTGTGGAAGGAGGTGATGATGAGACTGTCAGAGAATATAGCACTGGGGTTGACATCGACAATTCCGGTTGCTCTCTCTCTCTTATTCGCTTACCGGTGACTTATATTGTGGAGAATTCCCCAATGTAATATAATCTGAAAGAAATACAACTGACAACTGAGGAGGGTGGGATGTCCACTGTCTTATTCTTGCCCAACCCCTTTCTTTTTTCTGTGATTTTCCTTCCGTCAGCTTTGTCTTTCAGCAAGGCTTAGTTTGCTTCGTGATTTTACTTGGTCACCACAAAACCATTTATTTCAACCGTGGTGAATACTATATATTTAGGCCAGAAATATTTTACTCGTAACTTGTTGACGCAACATTCATCGTTGGGTGTTTGGTACATATGTAGCATGTTCACAAAAGGAAACCTGATGAATATTTTTGCATTTATAAAGTTGTTATGAGGAAGAGAATTAGAAAACTTGTGGCAAAGAGAAGGAAGGAAGGAATGTCGGGAAATGAAAAATGCCACAACCAAGTTTTAGCAGGAGATGTCCACTTATTATTATTTCCATCTTTCCTCCTCCTGGCAAAGTTGAGAGTTCAAATGTTGAAAGCTCAAGGAAGAAGCTCTCCGTCGTAGGAAAGAGAAAGTTTCGTTTGCTTTCCCCTGTGCCCTAATTTGCTCGTTAGAGCAGACTCATTCTACAGTTAGCATTTGCTCATTCTCTCCTTGCTTACACACAAATAAGAAGAGCGAGAGATTAAGAAAGTAGGAAAACAGTACCAACCAACGACGAGCTTCTTTCCCCGTGGATAACTCCAATGACTACGGAAACACTATACGGGTTGAGAAAAGCAGATCGTTACCTCAAACTCATCTACGGCTGGTGATTAGAGTTTGCTGTTTTGATTTAATAAAATCCTATAGCCAGACTTTGTAAAACGAGGAAAGTAATGTGTAACATTCTGACAGCAAAGCAGTTGGTTGCAAACTATTTGATAAGATTGGGTCGAGTGTAATAAAATTAACAAAATTTATAAATATTCATTCCCATGCATTCACCATACATAAATACGTTAAGCTTTCATCCATCCTAAGAAAACAACTAGCATTCCAATGCCGTTTATTTATTTATTTATTTATTTGCTCATCCCGACTCGCTTGGCAGTAAGACTAATGAAATCATGCCCTCATTGCATCCATGTGTACATTACATGTACCTGGACAAAATTAAGTATGATGTAATGCCTCAACCAAAGCCAGCAAGACTGGAGGCATAGATGTATATGCAAACTTGCACCAGGCAGTGAGGGAATGTCGAATCGCAGCTTTGGGACCACTCACTGACGCTTGCTCCGTCGTGTACCTCGCAGTTCTACAGAGAATTCAAGCCAGATAGTTGCCAGAGAGAGAGAGATCTCGCTTCTTTCGATGTCTGCTTATGAGCCAAATAACGACCCTGCTGCCCGTGCTGTTCTGTTCCTCCAAGTTTCATCGTTAAAGAAGAAAACCAGGCAGGCATTGCTGCAGAGCTACTAGGTGAATGCAATGCAATGTTACGATGCTGCAGTGTTCGTAAAGTTAAGTGCGACCGATATACTGGTCGTCGTCGTACGTACTCTGGCTTATTTTTCCCAAGTAAAGTTACTCCTACTACTCCTCGACGAACGAACGAACGGTTCTCTATCTGGCGTCCCTCTAATAGCAAACTTCACTGAGTCGGACCAGTAGAAACAGGCAGCAGAGATTCTATAGCCCCACAACACCAGCATCAGAACAACTCGCTCTCACTCTCGTCAGTTCAGTTTGAGTCTCAACTGACTCACGAACCCCACACGATTCCTCCTCTGCTAATAAGAGAGCAACGCCAAGCAAACTGCTAGAATTGTGCCGGTTGTAAGTGAAAGCGCTTTGCCGGATTTTTACCATCAGACTTCCCCTGTCCGACCCGTGCTTTCTCCAACAATTTGTTCACGGAATTCCACCAAAGCAGCCGCTGTTCTGCTGTGTAACACGTAATTGCGGACCAACCCGGCTAACTGCATCTGCATAATAATAACGCAGGGTGCTGCACATGAATATTAATAACAAGTTGAGACAGACAAGTGAGTGAGTGAGTGAGCTGCAGTCTAAATATTGATGATACCGATACACCTCTCTCTCTCCTCGTCCAAGGTAGAAATAAATAAAAGCCTTTGAACTTGGCTAAAGTGGATCGCACAGGATAAAAGTTCTCTCATTCTGTGCATACGAGTAAATTCCAATGAAAAGGAAATCGTGCTGACACATACATCCACTTTTCAGTGTTTCGTTCAGTGGATGATATCATGACACGAATGCGTAAATGAGTACTTGAACCATTCAATAATTGATAACACAAATGGAAGCATAGTTCTGCTACATACATGCATACATAACTATTATTTAATGACAAGTTGAACAGTCGGTGATGATTAGCAACATTTGACATTACGGCATGAAGTAATAATAATAATAATTGCCATATGCATTACTATACGCCTAAAACCTACATGTATTTACTTTTCTGTAATACTTGACTCATTAGAGTTTGAAGAAAATATAAAAGTCACGTGCTGGGAATGGAAGTTTGAATGTGTGCGATTATTACGATTCAAGTTGAGCTTCACTATGCAATTGAGTCAGTCAGATCGAGTTCCTTCACCAAACCAACTGAATAAGGGCAGAAAATGAATGAGCAGTAGAGCCAAGTAGTGATATGATACATATGATACCATAGTTGACTAGTTGTTGTTGGTGGTAATAAGGTCTGCAAAAGTACAATCAATGTGGTGTAGTGTATCGATTTAAATGGCAAATTGCCTAACGTCGTATATATAATAAGCACGGGCCAATTCTCACGAGTGTTATATTACTCTCCAACTAATACAATCAGACCGTCAGTCAGTCGCATATGTACATTGTTCATAGTTTATCTACTACATACATACTTGGTTATCACGGCTGCAACAAACGACCGTACATAAGAGCGTCATAATTTACTCGTAGCTAAAATGCAATTCAACTGCATTTGTATTTGAGCTGGTTCGAACGAATGTGTGAAAACTAATTAGTCATCATCATTCATCGTGTGCTCTACCATAAACGACCATCTACATACTACCATTACTGCCGCAGAAGAGTACCTATTTACATAGTGGAAAAATTCTTGAGTTTATCATCGCTGTGTTGTTCGTTCCCAATTCTGTTTATTCCGTCATCATCATCGTCGTCACATTATATCCTTGTGAGTAATACGAGTGAATGAATTTGGGTTTTGAGCCAGTTTAAATACGGTTAAAGAAGAAAACAACATCCTTAAGAAAGCAGCTTACTTCTTAAACACCACAAGTCAACCACAAGTCTCAGGCTCCAAAAAGCTGTCATAATCAATACAGTCCAATCCTCCTCCAAGACAGCAGACCTTCTCATCCATCCAATAACAGTTGACAGCTGCAGCAGTGGTAATGTCTTGACTTCCAATTCTGCTGGATTGTTCTCTTCTCTGGGATAATAATCATAATGAGGAGAACTAGTCATCCTAAAGCGGAGTGAAGCGTGTCCAGATGATACTTGATATTTCTTAAACCTAATCAAGACCGTACTGGAGTCTGTCATCAGTGAAAATACCCTTTCTCTCACCCACTAAAATCTTGGTTGTCTGTTGCTCTCCACAATGTGCTTGTGAAGTAACGTACATAGCGTGGGTAAAAAAAGTTTGCAAAAATTTGCGACTCTTCAAAAATTTTCCAAATTCAGTCTAAATTTAACACGACTGCAATACCAAAGCTGCATAAATAGAAACTCCCCATCAATTCAGAACAGACATTGAAATCTGTTTGAGAAGATCGTAGTCAAATTCTCAACCCGATCAATCCATTTTTGGACGGGATCATGTGCTGCCGGTTACCGGTACTCCTTGCACGTTTACTCCTTTGATGACGATCTGATGCAGCAAAGATTGATTTCTACATCCGCTACGAAAGTGGAATTTTCTGTGCATTTTTTGCTCTGATTGACGAGGATGTGGATGAGGTGTAGAAGACAAACTCATCAAAAATCAGAACCATCTTAACACCAACGGCCGTGTTCACCATAAAATCTTTGTGTGTGTGAGTGTGCTGTGTGCATCAGACAGTTTTTGGACGTAATATTTTTGAGATTGTAAGAAATTTGTGTGATTTCTTGGTAATAGCAACAGCAGACTTTGAATCCAGGCTGACAGAATGCCAAATTGGATGTATGCATGATAGTGCATATACACCGAAAGCCCCGTGATCATGAATAAATGATTGCAAGATTCGCTGAGCACACGTGAAACATTTTAATTTTTGAAAATCAATACAAGCACTATTCTGCTGCTCCCGGCGAATCCACGCCAGTGTTCATAAACTCATTGTAATAGCGTACATATATCTGGAAGCGTAGAAGACGTGAGAAGAAGAAGGAGAGAAGAGAATTGCATAATCAGCCATAAAAGTTAAAGACTATCTCTCATCGCAAGATCCACTTCTTACTACGAACGACGACGACTACTACTACTACAAACCTTCTTGCTGACTTCATCATCCTCCGTCTAACTAAATACTTCATACGGAATCTGTACAACCTCATCACCACCACCCACACATAGCCCAGACGAGAGTTTGCATTTAAATTTCAAAGTTTGGAGAGATTACAAAGCCAACTTATTATCTCGAAAATAAATCCAGGGACAGATACCACACCACACTTATTCCTTGCTTACTCGAGTGTTGCTGTATTAATGCCTGCTCTGCATTATCACCATCGTCGTGGTGTTTAATTTGCGATACATGTGTAATCGTCCTGATGATGGTGATTGTAAACCTGAATGCATAAACTTGAAGGTGGAAAAGTTGCACAGCTCTATCTCATCTCTCTCTCTCTCCGATTTATGAGTTGGAAGTGAGTAGTAAGTGCTCAGAGCGGAACACAACAATACAATATTTACTTACTCCCATCATCAAAAGTTGGAGAGGCTGCAAATAAATTCAGCACAGAAGAATAGTCTCGTCAAGTGGCTCAAGTGTGCTAATTGACATACAACTGCAATCAAGTCCGGAATTTGCCATATACACACACGGATCGGATATATATACGTATACATAAATGTGTTAACCAAAATCTGTACACACACACGACTGGAACTAAATTATGCACCTCTGCCTTTTGAGAGATAACCTTCAAGACGTCTCTGGTTTGATTTGACTAGACCAGATTGATTGTTATTCATCGCCAGCCAGGATAAACTGGGGTTATCGTAGACCAGAAGAAAATATTAGTTGCGTATACACATTCTAAATATATACGTATTTACATATACACGCCTTTCAGTGTATTCAAAATCTCCAGTTCAACAACTCTTCGTCATAAAACCAATTAAATCTCATTGTGATCGTTTCACTGCCCAGTTGCGACAACCAAGCTAGAAAATAGTTAGTGGTCCATAGTTTGAAAATAGGACAAGGATCCAGTTCTCCATCAAAATGGATATATTACCAAGTGTGGGGATCCTGTATGAGCTGCAAGCAATTCATGATACTGGATATTTGTTGTCTCAAGCTTCTCTAGAAGATGGATATATTCAGGTAAGGGTTTAACTCTATCCAGTAAATCCCCTTTATCCGACATATGCTCTCTCCATTCCCAACCAGATGCGTTCTCCTCATAAGACTTGCACATATTGCGATAATATCGCGACAAAAAATCTCTACTACGACGACGTATCTCTCGAAGTGATGGACAAACATAATTTGCAATAATAATAACAAAAAATAGTTACGACTTTTAGATACAACTTTTAATGTGACGTGATCTTCACGCAAAGTGCATACAAATGAATGAATCATCGCGATCAGCGATTACTCACACATCACACATTGTTTGTTCCTTTTTATGTAATTTGTTTGCGCTGGCCAGATGCGCACCTGAATCTCGGTTTCCATTTTCCTATGTTCCCGACATATTCCCAAATTTCCTAAAAGTAAAAGCTTTCTCATTGTATTACTGCGTGTTTTGGAATACTTTCTTGTTTCCTAAATAAATCCACATCCGGCCGGCTTTACTATGCGTTGGTAAAGTATGTACAGTTCAAGGAAATGTAAGAAAATGGATGCAATTTTTATATAGACCGATTACACCGATTCCCGCAACAAGAGCAATAAAATATAAAATGAACTGTACATATCTTTCGTACATGGGAAATTCAGACAGGGCTGCCATCGGTTATGTTCCTTTTGGTGTGGTGGGTGGTTTTATTTATATGTTTCGTACGGACTGGTTTGTGCCTGACTGTTGGGAATGATGATGTTGAGGTAGTTGATTTTCATCCTCCTTAATACCACTACATATCTCCATGTGTATGTACATATGTACATATGGATGATATCACATCCTCGTTAAAAGGTTATAATAAAATGATAAATTAGAAATGACTCATATTTTGTCCATTTACCAGCAGCCTCGCTTTAATAGCATGGCGGACGAGGGCCACAACAGAGTTGACATGCTTCATTCGGAATCAGTCACAATAATAAACATTTTTTAAATATATCTGTCTGTCACTTTGCAAATATGTCCATATACTTACTTAAATAGATAGCTTTACTCTCTGTGTGAGGATTTATCGTGGCTTCGTAGTCTGTGCATAGCAAAATATAGTCAATAGTGCAAAAAATCGTATTATTGTGTCACTGATATATTTATTCCACATGTCCTTGCGCTTTCAGGTATTTTAACGAAGCATAGATTAAAGCGGAGTTATGTGGCCATAATTCCAGAGTACCACCAGTACGAAACTAGCACTTACTTTGATGATCACTCAGTCACTCACTGTTTAGTGTTTACACGAATTATATTTCCACTTTCTCATCTACAATCAATACTTGGAGCAAGGACGACAATATTTAAATTATATAGTATGCAGGCAGAGGCCGAATGACGTAACTATTAATAGGCACTTATTACTCCCTTTAGTAATGCCAAGCCAAAATAATATTGCATGTTTTTATTTGCAGTATATTCATGCATGCATTCCAAATCGTGTCCTAAATATAATATCCTGGATCCCCCCGATTGCCTTTATTAATTGCCTTCATTTCATATAAAATCCTTTGTGACAAGAGCTCGAAAATATAATTGACAGCTTCAAATTAGGTGTGGCATATTGGAAGCGAAGAAATTTTTCTGTACTTTCATAGCCAGATGTGTACAATTCTATTCTCCTGAACGATTCACAACTATTACTACAAACAAATGTAATGTGCATGTAATGAGAACAACAAGCATATTCCCGCATTGCGGTGCTACTGAACTTCCTGTGCCAAATTTTCTCAAGGTATTGCCATCATTGTTATGTCACGTTCACACAGTTGGGGGAGGAACACCGTGTAGACCAGCATTATTATCATTGTTTATTGTAGGACAACTACTGAGTTGGAGGAAATCATGATAAAGTAAACGTATACGAGTTGAGTGGATTTCATGATAGCTACTGTTTAGTTGTACATAAGTAGATATAGATACGTGTATATGCACGGGTGGATTGTAAATCTGGACAAGCCGTATCGGTGACATTATAAAACGTGGTATGACCAGAGTCCAACAAGGATTGTAGATTTTAAGTAAAAATACCATTGAGAAGCTCGGAATGTTTTTACAAATCCGAGTACTATTGTGCCAGGTCACATAAGTGTCACCATATATCACAAATTTCTTATCCTGGGATTTTACTCTGATGAAAGCAGTGGAATATAAAAATTATTCTCCACCACCAAATTCTAAAATACCCTTTGAAATGGTCACATTGTTTCCTTTCTCACCCAGAATTTTGTTAGTCTGGACTATAAATTTTGAATTCGATCCTATTATATCCCACGACGACGACAGTTGCAGTAAGTAGTGAAAGGAAGGGATTGAAAAAATAAAGGTTTCGGCTCAGAATCCTCCAACTTCTTACAAGGGAAGGTCCCCGACTGCTTATCGTGTTCTGGGTACCCACTATGTTTTTTAGAATCTACCAGGACTTCAGATGAAGGATTCATTCATATTTCCGTGTAAAACTCATATTTGGCGCCATGGCGTGGCGCCAAATTTAAAAATTTGCATTTTCGACCAATTTCAAACCCCCATAACTTTTGCAGTTTATGTCTGATTTTCAAAATTTTATGCTTAAAATGATCACAAAAGTCGAAATTTTAGAGAAAAAAATAAAAATAAAAAAATAATAATTTTTGAGATATTTTTAGCATTTTTTCGACGAACCCCCCTTTCTAAGAAAATTACGAAATTTTATGAAAAGTTAAAAGTGATAATTTTTCGATAAATGTCAGGGGATACGAAAGTTGAAGTCCTTGTCATGAGTTTTGCCAAAAATTTTGAAAATCCGTCCAGGATTTCAAAAGTTATGGCGGTTTCAAAAATAAAAACATTCAAATTTGGCGAATTTGGCGCCACCGCACAACGCCAAATATGAGTTTTACACGGAAATATGAATGAATCCTTAATATGGGGTCCTAGTAGATTCTAAAAACATAGTGGGTACCCTGGACACGATAAGCAGTCGGGGACCTTCCCTTGTTAGCAACGTCTTTCTAAAGGCCATAAGATTATTACCCTTATTTGTGGTACTTAAGATCAGAGGACTATCCGAGTTTTGCTTTGATTTATGCATCACAAATTCAGAAATAGCATCAAAATTTTTTATGCAACTCTGATTTCAAATCTAATCAAAGAGGATTTTAACTAAATGATAACTTTTCATATGTACATGTTCATATGTCATATGCCTCGATTTTAAAGATGTATTTAATACGCTTCAACTAAGGATCACCACAATAATAATCTCGATCGGTATTTGTGTACTTACATATAGATACACACTTACAGTACAAGTTCGAACTTGTGGAAGAGAAGAAGCCCATGTTGGAATACCTTTTATACACATAAGCGGGTTAAAATGATTCATCTTCCTAAATCATTTCGTGCTATTGTTGTCCCCTTCCTTACTCACTTTGTTGTATTAATATTTTTGAAACAGGTGTGGTGAGTAAAATAGAAACTTGGACAGGTGGACAGGTATAAATATTTACTACCACAGCAAGGTCGTTTCATCAATTGTACATTATTCATTTTTATTTAAAATCGACTAATTAAATTACGTTTTTAAGAAACATTTAAAATATGATATCGCTCTATATCGTTCTACTCATGGGCATAAGTACGTATGTAGTTCGGAATCCTGACACTTTCCATATTCTGGCAAAAATTACGTATTCCACCCCCGGTTAAGTGGTGCATTCTCACCTCTGGTTCTATTATAAGCATAGTTTGGAAAGGAAAGATCATTACGTTGATAGCTTTATAAACTACTACTAATAATAACAGTCCTTAATTGCATATTAGTCGTCTCGTGGTATTGATTCTTGCTGACGAAGAGTTTGTAAAAGGTCAGCATGGAAATTGGTATATAATGGTGTTTAAAACTAGAAAGAACTGCAATTCATTGTTTCGGGTTGGAGTAGTAATCAATAAAGTTGTCAATCAAGGTAGTGATTGTCTCGTCTCATTGTCTAACTCCGTGAAAACAGACATTCTCCAATATGCCAATGGTCTCTCATTATCCACAATTATTTCCTTGGAACTGTTTGCTCTAGTTTCGGGAAAAGCATTACACACCGTTCTCGCTCTCTCTTTCCCTCTGCATGGGGCCCAGTTGTTTTATTTACAGTATTGTTGCAGGAAAAAGTGGTAAAGTATAACGAACACTTTGTTTAATTAATGTGACCACCGCGCTATAACTGGAAGGATGGAATTCATTTCATTTTCCTCGTCCAAAACCGCAATGGCTTTGGACACGATACGTCAGCTTTGATCATAATAATATGAAAATGGGATCGTTAATTGCTTATCCAGAGGGAAGCTGCTGTTTTGTTTGTTGTGATATAGCATCATTGTCTTCCATTGTCATTATTAAAACCATAACTTTTTTTACTTGGATAAGATATTATTGTGACCAAAGGTTTACCACACCGTCACGGGACCACATACGAATACAACATGTTTTTACTAGAGTTTGGTATGCTCAAACAATATGCGTGCAGCAGGCATGAGATCAAAACCTGGCCAAGAAGGTCAGATTTTTGGACTCCATTTTGCTGCAACATGCACCACCTCAATGCGAATTTAAGAAATGAGAACACTGTGATAATAAATATAACGTAGAGTCCTTATATTATGACTATACGTTGAATAGGATAAGTCGTTTACTCACTTGGATATGTTACATATTCCGACCGACCATGTAATTAATGGGACGCAATAATGCGAGTGAGCTACGAAAAGTATGTACATTGAGTTGTTGTTTGTGGTGGAATTTGGATTCGGGTTTCTGGATTGGCTTGAAAGCAAAATAACGAATGAAACTCCATCAAGTTCATGATATACATAGCTTGGAATGGAATGTGGTGAGACCCCGATGGCAAGTCTAATTTTTATTTCAACTAAAATTGCTTTAAATCAACTCATCAAATTAAATTCGTCTCTCAATCACATTTATTCGCCTGTATTTACTGTATTCGTCTAGTCAGGT